TATACCCTTGGAAATTTAAAAACTTCTTTTTTGTTTTTTTTTTTTTCTAAAAACACCCGTCTCCGTTCCGGTGTTAGTTTCTTGTTGTTTGGGCCCCCCCCCCCCCCCCCCCCCCCAAAACCCCAACCCATCTTCATCTAACCTCCCTCTATCACAGGCCCTCCAAATCCTAACATCCACGCAAACTCCCAACCCAACCCTAGTCCACTGCACGCAGGGCAAAGACCGGACAGGCATGATCATAGCCCTAACCCTGCTCATCCTGCGCGTGCCGACGGACGCCATAACTCATGACTATCTCCTCTCGCAGGCTGGTCTGAAGCCTGAGCGCGAGGAGCGCGTGGCTGAGATGAGGCACATTGGCCTTAGCCCCGAGTGGGGGGACTGTCCGCCCGAATTAATACAGCGCGTTTCCGAACATCTTGACGTGCGGTATGGTGGCGTTGATGGGTATTTAGATTCTATTGGTTTCGGCGCTGAGGATAGGGCACGGTTGGTTGAGGTTCTAGGTGCGTGATAGGGTTTTCGAGAAAAATGAAATGTTTCATGGATCAAGAGTTGTAGGTAGGGAATACATTGCAGTATCATGATTGAGTATTATACTGTCCAATGTAGACAATACTATTATTGTAGTGGGTAAAATTATTTGTGCGAGTTGGGCATTTGCATGGGGTTTGATTGGAATTAGTCTATTTCTTTCTAAAGCGACCTTGCATCCAGCAACGATACATCTTAAGCTTCTTTGCTCTATTAACAAGCATCCGTCTGTCAACGCCAAGCTCTTCGATATCAAACAGCTGTGAATCTACTTTCCCAGCAGATGGCTGTTGCGGGAGGGGATCAGACGTGGTTTCACTTGATCCAACCTCGTTCTCAGTGGTGGGCGTGTCTGTTCCCAACACGCCACTCCATATCCGAGCAAGTTCATCCTGCTTGAAGAAGTAAACACGAGTGCCATCGCCTCGAATATAGAAATTCTCTTCAAGGTAACGGCCTTTCTTGAACCGAACCTGGGCTAGATCACCCCTACCGTAGTCACGAAAGCAAACTTCTCCGCCCGGTTTTAGCACACGGTAAATATTCCGTACTGCTTGCTCCCACTGTAAGGGTGACAAGGCGGAGAAGATGAAGATCATCAACACGATGTCTACGGTGCTTTCTTTCACGCCGGGTGGCAGTTCTTCACCAGCCACGTCCCAGACATCGGCCTGCATCATCTCGTTATTGTACTCGGCATGAGAACGCATGACTTCTACGGCTTTCTTCGAGAAGTCACAAGCATGGAGTTTCAGCTTGGGATTCTTATTATTGGCCAAAATGGGGAAAGCAGTGTTACCAGCGCCAGCACCGACTTCTAGCACGATTTTGGGGCCGGCATCTTCAGTTGTCACTGTGGCCAACACAGGGAATTCCTGCTGCAACCACTTGCGATTCTTGAAGAAGTTGGCCGTATTATTCTTATAGAAAAGATTCCAAAATCTCGCGGGGTCCGAGTTGAATCTGTCTAAAGCCTTGATATTAGCAGAAGTCTAACACAATAGGCTCTTTTGTTTTGCAAATGAAGAAATGGTGTGATAAGTCAGATGGGAGCGAAAGACTATTTGGATGTAAGTTGTCATCAGATGTAATCAGATGAACTATGCATAATTGGGTATCATCACGACACCAAGACCCGTGAAAACTAGTAGACAAGGAATGCAATACGTACTCTTGTCAAAGTCGGAGACTGGCGATGCTCGCTGCATAGCAAACTGCTGCTCAGAGTACTCCTTGTACGCATCGTCAGTCTCCACATGATCCCATGCGTTGAACTCGAAGACGTCGTCGCCCTCCTCCAAGTAGCGTGAGCCGAACATGAAGGGATCGGTCCGCTTCATGTTGTGTTGCGGGTCATGGCTGCGATGAGGGGGCAACTGAGCATTTTGTACTTCAGTGCCCGGCTCAGATATCGTCTCTTGCACAGTCAAGGCAGAGGTCTGTTTCGCAAGGTCAAGCTCCGGCGAGGACGCCGCATCGACTGCAGTAGTCGTGGGAGCGGTCATTATATATAAGATATGATATGCAACACCGCTTCTTCTCTATGCGGGCATTCGCTCTCAATTACCGAGCATGGTTGGTGGTTGACATCCTCGAGGTTGTTTTGAACAACTGAAGAGGAGTGCCAGCGGAGAGAAGTGGGAGAGAAATAAATTCACGGGCGGTCAAAAAATAAAATAAACGGGATTACCTAAAGTTGGTTCGGCTGTGGCTGGTACGCTAAATGGCTGAGCAGATGTCGATCAGGCCGATCTAGGAACACCCTTGTGGCTGGCGCAGACTGCACTTACCTAAATTGTTCGTAGCACTAAGAAGCTTATCGGACGTCACTTCTCAGATCGCGCAGTTGCCGTAATACTTGAATAAATTCCAAGGAACATAAATCTCATGCCGATTTGTATTGTTAGAATAACTTAGAGTGCATCGACACCAGTTTCTAAATTAATTTTTGTAATGGATTCATTATAGCACGCGGAAGGATCTCTACATGTAAAATACTTAAAATAATCATTTTTCGCCATGCCACCAACCCGCCTCATCCTCCCGCGCCCACACCAGTTTACCTCGTCTCCCGTCCAACACTCGAGACGAACATTTCTCAGCTCCATTCTCGCCTCTGCGCCCGTGCCGCCACAAACTCTCACAGCCTCTCGTCGTCTCCCATACAACCACGCCGCTCTCTACAGCATAATAGCTGATATTGACAGGTACAGCGCCTTCCTACCATACTGCAGTTCTTCGCGTGTGACGTCCTGGACGGCGCACAAGGACTCCGAGTTCAGTCGTCACTGGCCGACTAGAGCCGACCTTACAGCTGGCTGGGGTGGTATAGAACAGACCTACACGAGCCGCGTATTCTGCGTGCCGGGGTCCATCGTGGAGGCTTTGAGCGGCGACGGCGCGCGTAGTGGGATTGCGCCGGATATACTGGCCAAGTACGGTCTGAAAGATGAGCCAACTGCTACGCCTTCTTCGACAATAGGGAGTGGGCGCAGCGGCGAGGAGGGCGTGTTCAAGACTCTAGTGACGCGGTGGACCGTGACCCCTAATGCATCAGACGGCAGAGGCGAGCAAACTGAGTGGAGTGACGTGAACCTGAACATTCGCTTCCAGTTCGCGAATCCACTATATGGGGCTGTCAGCTCGGCCGTCGCGGACAAGATCGCGCCGATAATGATCGAAGCATTTGTCGAGCGAGCGAGGACAATTCTAGGGTAGTACCATGAACGGCATCTAGAAATGTCATCAACTTGACACTAAATACTAGATGTTTTGGACAAAACTCTCATACTAAAGAAAACCACGAGCGACTCAAGGATTGCCTCAAGACATCCGTCTTTACTTCATCATTGACGTACCCGAAAACGCAATATACCTTCATATAGATACACCTTTCTACTTCTTAGATTGTATACCACGACATAGGTATATAGACGACTCACGGCAGAGAAAGTCGTTAGAGCACAATAACAAGTTCTATCAAGTTGAGAGTATTCGATTTTTTTTCTGTATACTTTCTTGGATCTTACAAAACGCAAATAAATCAGTGCAAGTGACCCGAAGCAGTTAGGGACACCTAGTCGTAGGGAAAATTTTCTAGACCAAATACCAATCGCAAATCTCTCCCTGCCTGGACTTCTTCATAGCCGCCTGTGCTTACGCCTGCGAACCGCCGCTGCCGCCGCCATTCCCATATGCCTTTCATATAATCGTCCCTCTTGATCTCGTCCAGTAACACGTCACTGGGCTTAAGGTGAAGCGCAAGTCCAACAGTTCATCCTAGCCCATGTTCAAAATTGGGATCCGCATTAGCAAACAGAGTGACAATAAGGACATCTCTTTCTTTAACAACGAGAAGCCTTGCCAGCGCCAATATTCGCCAATGTCGCTATAAGTCCGTAATGAATCCTCTCGGACTGGGGTATAATGCAAAACCAGCTAGGCAAGGAAAGCAATTTGATAAAAGACCCGTGTACTCTAGATGAATAGAAGAATGTGAACGCTACGAATCATGCTTGCAATGGAACAAAATCTTAAGCTGATAAAATCATGCCAACAAATCCCCAAAGCGTATGGAAGCCAATATTTATTTCTTGGCCCTTCAAGCATAAGATTAGCCAGCATTTCAAAGACAAATCTGTTCAAGGATTCGCTTACTTTCTCTTTGGAGGCTTGCCTACCATCCATGATAATACGCCTTGAGAACCTTTGGCTGGCTTTTTAGGTTTAACATTGACAACGTGAGGAGGCATTGAGCCACCCCCCATCTGATGGGGTGGTCTGGCACCAGGGTGAGGCGGTGGTATTGGCGGACCGCCAGGTGGTCGAGGACCAGGTCTTCCACCACCTTGCATAGGCATTCTCCCTGCCATACCAGCAAGGCCGGCAGCACCAGGAGGCATACCGGGACGCATGGGGCCGCCCATGCCTGGTCGGTCCATAGGCCACATTTGCATAGTGATTTGCCAGTCAGGTTCTACCACCTTATCCCACACTTGTGGGAGAATGATCTCGCCGTTGGGTCCGATTAGATCGTAATGACCAGCCTGCACATGAGGGCCAATCACATCGACATGCAGAAAGGCTTGCTTGATGAGATCTTCCATACCCTAGATGATATAATTGTTAGTCGTTATTTAAATAGAAACAGCTCAATCTCGGAACTCACCCCCCAAGTTTGACAGATATGATAGGGGAAGCTGAACTTCCTCCCAACAGCGTCTTTGAAGCGTATTGGTGCCTTGTCCTTGCCCATAGATTTCCGGTTTTGCTCTTCCGCCTTTACCTTTGCTTCCTCAAGGGCTAGCTTTTTGAATGCCTCATCGGCCTTCTTCTTGGCGTCCTCTGCAGCCTTGGCTTCCTCAGCTGCTTTTTTCTCGTCCTCAATCTTTTTACGAGCCTCCATTTCTGCCTTGAGTTTAGCTTCCTCTTGTAGGTTCTTTCTCCATTCTGCATCTTCTGCGGCTTTCTTGGCGGCCGCTTCCTTAGCCTCTGCTTCGGCTTTGATAGCTGCTTCCAGTCGGGCTTTAGCAGCTGCCTCAGCTGCGGCAGCCGCCTCTGCCTCTCTCTTTTGTCTCTCTTCAGCAGCTTTGCGCTCCGCTTCCAACCTGTCGCGTGCTTCACGTTCCATGCGAGCAATGGCCTCTGCCTCTCTCTTAGCACGTTCAGCCTCTGCCTTACGCTCAGCCTCCATTCTGTCACGAGCATCCCGTTCCAGGCGAGCGAGTGCTTCCGCCTCTCTTTTTGCTCGCTCGGCCTCCGCTCTACGCTCAGCTTCCAGCTTTTCACGTGCTTCTTTCTCAGCGCGGGCAACAGCCTCGGCTTCTCTTTTAGCTCGCTCGGCCTCTGCTCTGCGCTCGGCCTCGATGGCTTCACGTGCTGCCTTATCAGCTTCTCTTCGCGCGTCTTCTATCTCTTTTTTGGCCTTTTCCAGTGCAAGCTTTCGCTCTTCCGCACGAACTTCTTCATCTCTCCGCATCTGTTCCATCTTACGTGTGAACGCTTGTTCAGCCTCTTCCCTAATACGTGCCTCGAGATCCTTTTGTCTGGCTTCTGCTTCTCTCCTTTCATTCTCCTTCTTTATCTCAGCTAATTGCTTCTTCATGGCCTCCTTCTCAGGGTCTTCCTTTGGAGGTTCTGGAGGATTTGGTGTCCTTGGTGGAGCAATTTCGGTGGGTGGAGGTGGGGGTGCCTGCCAATGGTATTGTTGTAGATGGCCGGGCATTTGATAGCCAGCCGGGAAAAAGCTTCCGTGTGCGCCATATGGCATCATTTCATTCCGCCCGCCCCAGTGATTCGGAGCAGTAGGGTCGAAATAATTACCGCTAGTTGGGGTAGGTGCAAATGGGTTATTAGCACCATACGGCCCATAAGGAACTACACGGGACTCATAGCCATAACCACCAGCGCCAGCGTGACTTTGAGGATAACCTCCAGGTGGATGGCCGCCGCGGCCATAGTAGCCGGCCGCTGGTGGGCCATACCCACCGCCACGGCCGTATTCGTAGTATTCAGGATCCAGGCTGTCTGCAGGTGGGCGAGAGCCCCGGTGGTGAGATGATGGTCGATGGGCGAGTGTATGTTGCTGTCGATAGGATTCGCGTGGATGGCGACTATCAGGCCGGCGGGGTCTTGCTGGACTAGAGGCAGAATCTGAGGGGTCTAATTCGTCGTCAGAGTCGGCTAAGTCGTCGTCTTCCCAGCCGTCGTCTTCTTCGTCTTCGTCATACGAGGTGCTTTCCCTGCTAGGGTCTTCGTCGTCGTCGTAATAGTCGCTTGAGTGGGTAGTAGGAGTAGCACGGATGCGAATGCGAGTCCTGGATGTCCTGGATCGCTGAATATTAATCCCGTGTTTTGCAGATATTGAGGGAACCGAAGGGAGTCGCGGCTTACGACATTGGATGTGGAGAACTGGCTCAACGTCCTTTACTTATAACCTAAGTTGAGGATGGTAGAGTACAGGGACTTGCTGAAGAGATTATGCGTTGTGTTGCGTTACGCTGTGCTGTGTTATGCTGGTAGGTAGAAGCAATAACTTCCTTGATCGAGCCGCTACGATGATCCAATTCGAACTCAATAGGACGGTTGTCCAAAACAAGATGTTGGTGCCTGAGGAGAATATTTTCAAAATTGGAAATGCAGGGCAATTGATAGACTGAGCCGATGGCGGGGTGCTGTGTGCAGATTCGAAGTCTATCTAGTCTAATTTTGTGGTAGGGATGGCGGGAAGAGCAGCAGTGTGACTGATGGTGGCAGTAATTGGCCGACGCAGGAAACCCAGGAATTTGAGTGTGGATTCAGCTGAATTCACAAACTGGAGGCTAATAGGGCACCAGACTCTTATAACAATAACTAGGGCTTCTATCGAGTTCTTGTTTCGTTGCTGGGAGTCAGAGCGGTGCGTGGATGATCCTTGCTCAGCGAAGCCAAAGTGGTTGAGTTGGGCGGAAAAAATGGGTAGGATTGGGTTGGGTTGCTGCGAGTCTCGCGGTGTGTGGAAGGGCGAGCGAGTGAGGAGTGGGAGGAGTGATTGCGGGCGGTCCCAGGCCCTCTCTGGCAGCAGAGACAGAGCGGGCGAGAGCGGGGAGTGGAAGAGTTAGGTGGCAGTGGGTGGCAGTAGGTGGTACTCTGGTGGTACCTTGGTGCCAGTAATGGTAGCAGCAATGGTAGCAGCGGTGGTGGGCGTAGCGCCCAGCCGGCAGCGGGTTTGGGTGGGCTTGGTGGGCGGGCTTGGTTGGCTTCTTGTACTAGTGACCTCCAGATGCCCGGCGGCGGCAGCACAGCACAGCAGGGCAGGCAAGAGACCTAGAAAGAAGGTGGTGGTGACCACTCTGGACAGCCTGGACAGCCCCGGGGCCTCAGGCGCAGGTATGCAGGTAGCCGTAGCTATGTATGTACCTTGGGTAGGTAGTCTGAATGTATGCGACTAACCGGGCCTCCACCCTTGAGCTGTGGGCGGATCTCTTGGGTCCTTTCGGGTCCTTTCGAGGGCGTCGGTAAGCGACCAAAGGTGTACCCCGTACCAAATCAAGCGCGATCTGAGGTACGTGTAGGTAGTAGAGAGGAGAGACACTGTTGCACGATCCCTTCACGCAGAGGCTTAGAAGCCGCAGAAGGGAGCGGAGGGCTTTGAGGGGAAGCGGTCTCAGATGTGCGCTGCGAAGTTCAATCTCCCACGTCTCCTTTCTTCCCTTGTGTGTCAGGACACGAAGGAATCGGTGACGGCGGTCGAGTCAGAGGGGATCGACCGGTAGATATACACAAGGACGAGCGAGCACCTGGACCTGGCACTAGGTTAGACTACCTAAGACAACAGCCACGAGCCCGTGTCAGCGAGGGTGCTTGGTGTAGTGTATGCAACTAATAAGAGGGGCATCATCGAGCAGTTGCGCAAAGAGCGGTGGATCCTGTAGGTAAGACGGCGGGAGGGACTCGCAGGGTGGGCAAATCGGAGGCCAGCTTTTCACAGAACCAAGGCATAACCAAGGCATAACATCCAACTCTAGTGTCTCCCAGGCGTCCCCAGTCGCATCGCCCAAGCCGCAACAACACCCGGTCCATCTACTTACAAATGGAGCAGGCATGTTGTAGGCATGTTGTAGGTAGGTATGTATGTATGTATGTATGTACAGTAGGTAAATAGGTATGGATCACCACTAGCCGACCTCGATTGGGATCACGATGCACCTCTTATCGTCTATACACTTGCATCGAATAAGAGGCTGGACTAAACCAAACAAACTCCGAATGTAATTCCCACTACTACTTAGGTGTTGTTTTCCCCATAGTTCAAGCATGGGCAGATTCCAATGTGCTTGTGGGCAGCTCACGATTTGAAAGGATCCGAGATGCATGGCTCGGCACAGATAGGTACTCAAAGTACCAACACAATGGGTGCATGGCTGAGATAATAGGAAGACAGGGGACGAACTCAGCGTCGTACTTACAAGAGACAATAGGGATGCGTTTGACACCAATATCGACACCCAAAGTGCTGATTACCCGAAAAGGAAACACCAGGAAGAAGAAAACGCACACCGGGCAGAGTGCAGATATGTGGCGTGGTGACAACGGCGAAAGATAGAGGCAGAGATTAACCCGTCGACTGTCTACCTGTAGACTTCGAGCAAGGCCGAAGCAACACGTTATGTAGGGCGGGAAGAGTGACAATTGTTAAGTGGGCTAATGTGAGTTGTTGGCCGGCAGGGATTTTAGTGTAAAGTACACTATGTAGATATGATCATGGGATACTGTAGACCAGTTTCAGAGGCGGTGCTTTTGGCAGTTAGTAGAATCGGACTAACTAGTCTAGTAATTAACAATCTTCGAGCATGGGTACTGCAGAACTGGACCGAGGGAGGAGGAGGAGGAGATAGAGTTGCGCGACAAGCTGTCCGTGAGACTATCAACTTACCTGCCCGCCAACCACAGCGAGAGGAGCATCCCTAGCGGTAGATGCAGGATTTGGTACACCGCCGCTGCATGGATCATTGCCGTAGGAGGTAGCGCAGATGCAACTACTTAAGCACATATGTAGTACCATACGCACGTAGTACATATATATATATATATATCTATATGCGATTGTCCAGGTTCTGCAATCTGCAAGCTGTTTGCCACCCGAAAGAACTCATCATGCAGCATGTCTGGGTAAGAAAGAGGGGAGTCCCAGGCAATCACACGTTGGGTTCGGTTTTGATTTAGTTCATACCTAGAGAATGATAGAGAGGAGCCTCAACCAAGCAAACCCAGACACTTACACCGAAAAAATGAACAGCAGCGAAACCCCTTGCATCTTCAATGGCCCCCCCATACCTGTGCTTACTTAGTAATTAAGTGGAATGGACAGGTCGTCATCTTCTGGCCAGTAGATATTCTTGGCCTGCCCCATCGTTTGGTTGCCTTGCCATCTCCTCAGAATTTCACAAATGTTCTAGACGGTCGGAGGGGTCACCAGATAATACGTTACTCTGTCCGAGTGGAGAGGGAAGAGCCAACCTCTTGAGAACAAAGACCGGTAAAGCCCCGTCTGCGTCCAACGTTTGCTGAATACCAGAGATGTGCGTATCAGTCAAAATCCGGTCTGGAAACAGCATATTTGATATTTGTTGTAGGGGCTCTTAGGGCCTATCATGTACATGTAAGATTAGGACATCTAGTATATCCCATGCATTGTAAAAGCCCGGATCGATCTCGGATGTTTGGCATGGTGTCATCGCGCCCTGCGAGACGTAGCTGTAAGTAGGTAGGGTAATTCAGTCGTACAGCATCTGCCGAGAACATGGTCTCTGGTGAATGATTAGTGAATAACTATAATGAAACAGCTGTGAAGCCAGGCACCTTCGCTCGCTGGGCTATTGTTTACTACAAATACTTTGTTACGCCACCTTGTCTCTTTTACATCCCTGCCTGATTCGATTCTGCGCAGACAAACCCGACGGCACGAAACTCATGGAAAAGAGCTCGGACCGCGACAACTCATCTATGCCTTTAACCAAACGATAAAAGTACATGGAAATATGTGCTGCCAGCAAGACAGGATGTCCCATCGCCTCAGTATATGTCGCTCGACTAAAGCGGATAGCGGCCGTAATGTTCGTCGATCATCAGTGTTTGGCACCTTGCGGTACCAGTGATAGGACTACTAAGTATGGCCAGAGCCGTCTTTCCTAGACATTCAAGGTGGATTCCGATCTTGATTACGTAGCAACTACATAGTACCAAGCTGTTTGCCTGTATGAGACAAGGAGATAGGCAGGTATACGATGCTTGCGCGACGCATCGTAAGACATGTTGCGGCTACTGCCAGTAGCATCGGGGTCATCGGAGAAATCTTGGGTTAAGGATTGTCACTGGAGCCACGTGCCCGAAGAAAACAAAGGTAGATGAACCGGAAACTTAGGTCTGCTTCTAGGCAGCTTCTACCCTAGAACAGTTTTCTGCCCAATGTCCCACTGGCTTGCTCGGATTCGTGAATAGGGCTCCAACAAGTGAATACGCACGCCACTGCGCATGCCGGTGCTGTTGTGCATTCATAATTTAAGCCTTATTTGTAGACCAACCAGACGGCAAACCCAGATATGAGTCAGTTCTGGGTACAGCGACATAGGGTGAGAGTCCTCTTAGCAAACACGATTTGTCCAGTTAGCAGCCAGCATCAAGCCGACTATAGCGTCACCTAATGGTACCGGTGGAACGCGACTCAAGCAACTCTCGTGCTGCTGTTATCTCCGCTTCAGTATAACCTTGCCAATCCTTCTCACCAGTTGTATTACGGCGAACAATCTCTGCGAGTTTCTCGGTAGCCACCTCATCGAGCTTTTGCAATGTGCCAGGCGTTGGAACTGGCCAATCCTCCGATTCCGTCTGTTTTGAAGATTTCAAAGATGGCTCATTTAGCAGCTGCTGAACAGTCTTGCTGTAAAGTTAGCAACTGGTCGCAATCTCATCATGAGCAAAACCACACACCAGTTTAAGGCCATAATAGCCTCTCAAATGGTTATCACACAGCTCAATACTTCGACAAAATCGCTTCATGGCCTCCGTAAGTCGTTTGGATGTGTCGGATATCTTGGCTGCCATAAGGAGCATTTCACCCAAGCGGGCATGTACCTGAAAGCACAATATTAGCATGACAGCAGAACCTCCGTCACCCAGCGGTAGGACATCACATACATTCCAGGCGTTCGGCTGTAGGACGAGGACTTCTTCTTGGGCGAAAATGGCTTGTGAATATAATCCTTGATTTAGATACAGGTCGGCTAGTTCGGCCCACGCTTCCGCATCAGTAGGAGACATATCAAGCAGTGAGTTTAGAGCATTCACGGCGGACGATGCTCGACCCATAGATCGCAACAGCGCAGCACGCCTTTTTGCTATAGGCTGGATATTACGCCTCAGTACCTGATATTCCAAAATTGCATCAATGGTCTTAGTTTTACTTACTATATTTGAAGGATTTTCCTGTAGAATCTGTTCATACTCTTGCAGGACTAGTTCGAGGGTAGCATTATCCGTAGCGGTGGCCTCCTTGAGCAGGCCCTTTAACGCCATGATCCGTTCGTTATCATTGCCAAATCTGTTCACGAGCCTGCCCAAACACTGATGTGCGGACTCATCGTCACCGGTCCGAAGACATGAGAGCAAGAGGTTCTCGTAAACAATCCATAGTTCTTGTGTCTCGGAAGTTGAGAGCATAGACTGGAGGACAGAGGTCGATATGGCACCTGGAGACTTCTCAAGGATGCTTGGAGCTTGCTGTGATAGACGCAAGGCTGTAGCTGGCGGAAGATGGCTAGGAGGGTGGAGGAGCGAAGAAGACATTGCATATACGCGTGAAGGCCACCCTGATCAAGCGGATAGAGGTAGGCGTGGTAGTCTGGTTATATGGCGGTCCTCATAGGTTATCTGGATGATATTGAACAATATCAATCGGTTTGGGGTGAGATTGGGAAGTTAATGAAGGGGCTCAAGACTGCTGAGCATATCACCAACATCACCTCTCAGTTCGCCTTTACTTTGGCTTGAGACCCTGTCCTTGGCCAAGCTTGTGTTGCCAGCTTATCCATGTATAGGTACTTAAGTAGCTAGGGGGTCGCACTAGTATTATAGCACAGTACGTGCTGTAGGTTGAAACAAAAGCCCCATATTCCTGTACGGACAGGTACCCTTCTCAGCGTTAGGTAGGTAAGCATGTACCCATCTAAACGCCATGTACAGGTACCTATATCGGTGTTCAGCTGGATAGCAGGCGTCGACGGGTGAAAGCAGCTGTTCTGATACAGATACGCTTCCACGCCAACACGTATGGAGCTAGGTAAGTCTAAAATACATGTGCTTAGGTAGACACTGGAAGCTTTTAATGTTCTGAATCTCTATGTCCGTTTGATATACTGAATATCGCATGAAGAGAAACCGAGGATACATACTGAGCCTCTAGTGCCCATCGACATCTAGAGGTTATTTTTTTCTCTCTGGATGACGGTCTTACAGAGGATCATGCTAGGGATAGTGGCTACCTAGGTAGCTTTAGGTAGGTTAGGTACGTATGCGGGTTGCGTCCCGTGCTCATCAGAGACGGGTACGTGGGGTAGACTGTCCGGGGGCTTTCGCAGTCACTACCTCCGGCGGTACCTGCAACACTTGTCCCGCAGGCGGCACAATTACAGATACACTTATCTCGAAGTTGCCTCGGACTAGATCTGCTGTCCAATCTGCCAACACATGATCTACACCAAGCTGTTCAACGGGTTCCTTGCGAAGATGCTTTGCCCTAATACATACATACCTAGTTCTCCGGACTTATAGATGCTTGCTATTCTTTCTAGGCTCTGCACCCAGGACGAAGGAGGAGTTGGCACCGCCGATGTGCGGCTCGGCCCATCATGTGTGTTCGCTTCTGCATTCGCGAGTAAACTGGAATGCGCTAGCTGATGGAATGCCAGGTTTGAAAAGTCGCTATACGACCTCATCAGAGGCTTGAGGAGCCACAAAGGCAATGAGAAGGAGTACATACAGAACTGTTTGAAAGAATGTCGCGCCGAGGTTCGCAGCCAGGACATGGGTTGGTAGCACCTCTCCCTGGCCCGGATCGTTGGACTCATGCAGATGGAAGCTGACCTCCTATCGAAGACCTGAAGGCTACTGCCTTACTGAAGCTGATATATCTGGAAATGTTCGGCCATGACATGTCTTGGGCATCCTTCAATGTTCTCGAGGTCATGGCTTCCTCGAAATACCATCAGAAGCGCGTTGGGTATCTCGGCGCAATCCAAAGCTTCCGTCCAGACACCGAAGTCTTGATGTTAGCCACAAACCTCCTCAAGAAGGTATGCCTCCGCTAGTCATCTGATGTGGAGTATCACTGACTGAGCATTCTAGGATTTGACGGCGACTTCGACGACAACGATCTCTCTCCCCATCGTAACCCTTCCTCATGTTATCACACCGTCTCTCGCCCTATCGGTCCTCCCAGATATATTGCCTCGTCTGAGCCATTCCAGTCCTACTGTCAGGAAGAAAACAATCGTCACGCTTTACAGACTCGCATTGGTGTACCCCGAAACGCTTCGTGCTGCGTGGCCCAAAATCAAGGAGAAATTAATGGACCGAGGCGAGGATCCCAGCGTCACTGCCGCTATTGTCAATGTAATATGCGAGCTGGGATGGCGCCGACCCCATGATTTCCTCTCTCTAGCTCCCAGGCTCTTTGAACTTCTTGTTGATAGTGGCAATAACTGGCTGGCAATAAAGTTGATAAAGCTGGTATGAAGTGCCCCTCCGCCCCTTACTCTCTCAGGGTAACCCGATTCTCTGGCTAATGTGCCGAAGTTCGCAACTCTCACACCGCTTGAACCGCGCCTTGTCCGGAAGCTCTTACCACCATTGACCGAAATTATTCAGACCACCCCTGCTATGTCTTTGCTGTATGAATGCATCAATGGGATTATACAGGGAGGCATTCTAGGGAGTGGAGACGATACCTCGGGGAAAGAAGAAATCGCCTTACTCTGTGTGAACAAGTTGCGGAGCATGATTATGGTCGATGGAGATCCTAACTGTAAGTTGTAAGCGAAGATGAAGATGTGCCTTGACTAATATGAAAGCATATAGTGAAGTACGTGGCACTTCTTGCTTTTAATAAGATCGTCGACACGCATCCTTGGCTAGTTGCACAGCAAGAGGATGTCATTCTTGAATGCATTGACAGTGCAGACATATCTATCCGCATCAAAGCGTTAGACTTGGTCCAAGGGATGGTCAGCAACGATAATTTGATTTCTATTGTTAGTCGCCTCATGAGGCAGCTCAAAATATCGTCGTCTATTGATCGCAAAAATGGGCAAAACACGTCAAATTCTAGTCCCGGAATGTCAGACGATGACGATCTAGAAAGAACCATCAACCCAACACAGAAGACAGCAGAACAAATGCCCCCTCTTCCTGATGATTACAGGATCGATGTGATCAACCGGATCTTAAATATGTGTTCTCAGAACAGTTATACCAATCTGAACGATTTTGAGTGGTATATCGACATACTGACTCAGCTGGTTCGCATTGCTCCCACTCCCAGGAAGATGAACGATATAGAAAATCTGCCAAATTCTGGAAGGTCCAATTCTAGTGAAATATCTGAAAAGATTGGCAATGAACTAAGAAACGTTGCCGTTAAAGTTCAAGCCGTTCGCAGCGCTTGTTTGCAGGCGGCAGAGATCATTTCAAGCCAGCTCAAACACGATGCACCTACAGACCACTCTCTCAATTTAGGGGCATTGGGACCTGTGGCCTGGGTCCTTGGAGAATTTGCCTCGGAATTAGAGGCCCCGGAAGATACGTTAGGACTACTACTCCAGCTGATTCCAAGAATAACCTCACCAGAACCGCTGGCAGCCTGTTTACAGGCTGCTATGAAAATTTTCTCGCAAATAGCTGGGAATCAATTGACAAGATGGACTGCTGAGCACAAATCCAAAATATTACTCTTAATGGCTCGTATTGTTCATGCTTTTGAAGTCTTGACCCTTCACCCAAGCTTAGAAGTCCAAGAACGTGCCGTGGAATTCTCTGAGCTGCTCAAATTAACAGCAGAAGCTGCATCTGCACAGGATACATCTACCGAAGAGGTTTATCAGGACACTCCGCTATTACTCACACAGGCCATACCGTCTTTGTTTGTCGGTTGGGAATTAAAGTCGGTTGCTGCCAGTGCCCAAAAGAATGTGCCACTTCCTGAAGGGTTAGATCTGGACGAACCCATCAATCCAAATCTCAATGCCTTGCTTGCGTCTACTGAGTCATTATCTATCCCAGCTGATGAAGTTGACGAGTTTGACAGCTATTATTATCAACAGGCGCCAGTCACTAGTATTGCCTCTGAGCCTGCGATCACACGCCTCGTGGATGAACCCCCTGACACAGTTGGTTCTTATCAGCAGCCACCTGAGGAATCGTATCTCGATGCAGATATAGTGGCCAGGCGGAAACTAGAACGACTTGAGAAAAATCGAGATGACCCATTTTACATTCAAGAGACCAGCTCGATACAAAGATCATCGACACCTATACATAATATCCTTCAGAGCTCCAATGGCCCCGACCTAGATGTTGATTCAATCCCTATCATGGAGCTTGACCTTGACAAACTCAGTGCTGGTGTGAGTCATGCTCCCACAAGGCTTTCCCAGTCGTCACGGCCGAAGCAACGTCAACAAATTGTCATCGCTGCGGACGAGAATCTTGCCTCTAGTGGTCAGAGCACTCCTAGAAATCATTCGGAAAATGACTCGGGGTCACTTGCTTCGAAAGCAGCACGTGCCAGGCGACTCAAACAGTCTGTCCTCGGCGTTGACTCAACCAATATTGAGAGCCTAGCTCTTGAAGGGGGTGCTGATAGCGGCGTTTATAATCCTGAAGCCCAAAAGCGCGAGGACGCAGAGATGGCACAAGCTATGAAAGAAGTCGAGCGCCTACGGCTCGAGATGCAACGTGCTAATGAACGAATCCAAGTTGCGCAGGGAGTGGACGCCGCGGGCACCATCGTCAAGAAGAAGAAAACGACTGCTAAAACAAAAAAGAAACCTGCCGCTCCCGTCGAAGAAGAGGGCGGGGTTGGCAGCGTGGAGGGTACCAAGGTGGTCAAAAAGAAGAAAAAGAAGGAGAAAGTCCCAGCTAACGAGCAGGGCGAAGCCGAGGGAGACCAAAGTGCAGTCAAAACGAAAAAGAACAAGGTGAAACCGCCAGCCGGTACCGAAGAGACGGCGTAGTGCCATATTCGCCTAGGCATCATCAGCTGTTGCCACTCATGTGTGTAGCTTAAGTCTTTGGAAAAAGCATCTCTAAATAGATTACTGATGACAGTTGATATTCTGATTCCTTGAACCACCTACTACCTCGTATATAGTGGACGCCCTGAATTCTTTCCCCACAAACCATATCCTATCCAATAAGTAACTTCAATCTTGGACTGGTCAACTACATGGAACACATCGCCCCAATAAATTACTTAAAAATCAAAATCTACATCATTGTACTCATCTAGCATGGGCCATGGGGCAGAGATAGATCAGTAAGGGTAGACTCATACATGGGATAACCATACACAATAGAAGAGGAGAAATTCGGGTTTCAAGCAGCAAAGCAGACTCAGACGATACAACAAATTGTGTATAAATGATGTGTATATATAAAAAAGCGTTCTCCATTGGCCTCGTAAAAACATCCTATGCATACACACACAAAAATCACTGTTTGTAGTACAATCTTAAATTGGTACATACAGCCAGCTAACGAATTCAAACACATGCAAATTCCAAGAAGAGGCCCAACAACCTATGCCTGCCTGCCTGCCACGAGCAGGAAAAAAAACATCATATGTGGAAAACATGAAGATGCCTTCCACCCCAGTCCGTTTTCCTTGAGTTCTTCAGCGCCTCGCTTTCCGAGTGGTTTTTTTGTTCTTTGACGCCCATTGTATAAAACGGCACACCAAAGGGAGGGAATAGATAGTATCCCATCATGGCAGTCGTCTCCACCTTCGTCTCCTAGCTTGCTTGCATTATCAATAATAATTATCGCGAAAGGAGACCCGGTGTACCAAGTTCGATTCATTCTCGTTCTTTGCTCCCACACATTGTAAGTGGAAAGGCAGGTGGGGTCTAACATTACTAGTCCATCATTGGCGCGTCAACGAGGGTGACGCCTCTGTCTTGGGTAGGCGTCTCGCTGCCTGGCCTGGCATCGACAGCAGAAACCTTTGGCGTCGAAGGCGTGCTTCCCTGAGTCACGCGTCGTCCCCCTACGAAGCGTGTGCCTGTGGCGCCTGCGCGCCCCAAGCTGTCGCGCTTGGATACAATCGACTCCCCGTCCTGCTTGGGAGAATCACCATTTGTGCCACCGTTGAATTCTGGTGACCCAGATCCATCCGGCACTTCCAGGCTCTGCCTTTTCATCGGGTTCATGCCGAGGCTACTACGTTGGCGGTCGCTTGATGCTGTTGGACTAGCGATGGGAAAGCGAGTCTCAGGACCACCGGTACTACGGTCGCGCCTGTGACGAGGACCCGGCGCTGGGCTTTTGTCGCGGCCTCGAGGTCCGGCCTTTTCAAGCAGAGCCCGTTGCCGTTCCTCCATATGAGCCCTTCTATTGCTCTCGTCTGTGCTTATGGCGCGCGGGCGGTTGTTACTTACAGAGCTAGAGTGTGACAGGGTCGACATGCGCTTCAGCTCGCCAAAGATGGCATCCTTGTGAACGAACAAATCGCGAATAAGCCGGCAAGCATGCTTCTCTTCCATCGTTAGCGATGTGTCTATTCGCGGTCTCAAAATACAAGGCGCAAGTGTTGTCGCTAGGTTTTGGATATAGTCTTCATCTGCTGAGGTCAGGTCTATCAGTCTTGTGAAATGATTCATACAAGCATCAAGCGTGGCGATGTTCGTTAATCGTAACTGTGAGAGTGTTTGCTGCAAGACAGCAACGCGTGCTTCATCCGTGCTGTCTACCGTGGTTGTATTGTAGATAGTCCTGATGATTTCATAGACATGAGAGGACACAAGGGAATCTGCAACATGTCAGCTAGGGCTCAAGTATCCGAATAAATGAAAACATACCAGGTAACTCAAGCAGGTAGAGTTTCAACAAATGAGCAACAGTAGGAATATCAAATTCAGCTAAGACTTCTGCAGAGAAAGGTTTGCCGTTGTTTATCTTGACCCGCAATTTATGAACTTGGGGCAATTGCACATCTGCAAGCCATATCCCGCGCCTTGCTTCGTCGCCTTCAAGATCGGGATAATGGTGGTCTAGATAAGTGAGAAGGGTCGTAACAATGATAGGCACACGTTTCTTATCAGCCCTCGCCCGAGCTTCTAAGTCAACGCCGAACGTTTGTTCATCCACCTTGTTATAGTAGTTCTCATACGTTACGACTTTGGGCGCGAATCGTCCTGTTCTGTAGTTCTCTAGGAGATAGCGTAAATCGCCGCCAGGTTGAATGGTTTCTTGATAGAGAACCATGTTATCAACTGTGGACTGAAGGCTGGGAATAACATTGCCGATGGTGCCCGAGAAATCAAGAACAACTGTCTTGATCGCTTTCAGTCTGTCTAGTTCACATCGCTCAAGGAATTTGAGATGAAGGAAAATGGCCTCCTCTAAGTCGCAGCGCAACTCATCTAGCTTCTTGACACCAGCCTTATACTTATCGTCTGTCTCTCTTGCTTCGCGCCGCAAACGTTCTGGCTGTGTCTCATTGGGGTGCTGGTTATTCAGCACATTCCATCCAGCAAGGTATTCGCTGACAGCACCAACAACAGGAGACTCCGATCCGCTCTCAGGAGATACAGGGATCGAGAATGTCCGTGAAGCAGGGCCTTTCTTCTCAGGTAGCCCAGACATCTGGAAGGCTTTTGGGCGCCATTGATAAAAGAGTTTGGAGCTGTTTGCAAAATTGTTCCCGACATTGCCAACCAAGCGAAGGAAACCATTGGAGACAAGGTCCTGACCGATGCGCTCGGAATAGCTGACGCTGGTCGTGCCCATGTGTCGTTGAAGGTATTCCACGATGTCAGAGCCACAAGATGTGTTCTGGTAGGTCCCTAAAATCGGGACCTTGGTCTCTCCCATCTTGATCGTGTTCATCATATGTGATAAAATTTTCTTCACTTGCTCGGGTTGGTATGTCTCGTCTCCAATCTCATATATTTCCTCCTCTTCTTGCTCTTCCTTTTGTGGGGACACCTTGATCTCGGGAATATTCTGGTTGACCTTAGGACTCATTTCAGGATCCTGGAAAGCCAGCTTGTTCTCCTCTTCGATATCCTCTGCTAAACGACACTTATTAAAGTAAGCGCTGCGCAGCTTCTTCACGATCTCAGCTTGACGATCATGAGCCTTGATACGGGCCTGAAGCTCGTCTTGTGAGTCTTGTATCCGAGATTCGTGTGCATCGCACCAGCGCGCAAAGGGGTTAACAACCAAGTCTCGAATGTTCTGGGCGATTTTTCGGTGATTTCGTGAAGCGTCTTCCATCTCCGTCCGTACACCATCGTACGCCTAGGGAGGGAAGAACAAGTTAACCTTTGTGTTCATCCATCGGGTTCAAGAGAGGTTTTGTTATACCTTCCGCACGCTTGCGCCATCATCGCGAGAGAAACCGCCATTGATTTTGTCGGCTGCCGGGGCAATATCTCCGAGACGTTGGCCATAGACTTCCTCAGCCTCAGCTCTCATGCGAGCTATCGTTAGAAGCTGTCTATTCTCCTGGACGCCCTGTTGAAGCTTGCTGAACAGAACACCCAGTCCTTTTAGAATACGTCAGCTGAGAAATCGCGGGAACCCAGCATGGATGGATGGTCACGTCTCCTTACCTGCAGCATAGTCGGGCGTCCAGAAGGAATCTGCGAAGCCTGGCATCGCAACGGCGCAAACTCGCAACAGGTGTACTTTTCCCCCAAACTAGACGTCGACAGTGGGTTTAAGGTCGCGAATGGTGTGGCTGGACCTCTTGTGGATTGCTTGTGGCCAACTGTCTCTCTATAGCTACCCAGGGTAGAAAGGTAGTGCCTTCAGACAAATATGGCTCGACCGCAGGGATGAGGTGGTGTAGGTCGCCGTACGCGGGACTTTCTCTGGGGGCAGATAGGATGTAATGGATATTGGCTTGCGACGGCGTACGATATAAGCGGTAGTAGTGTTGGCGCAACGGAGAGCTATTGTTGATCTTTCTCGTTCAAGATGGTCGTCAGCTAACAGGCACCCATTAGGTCATACAGGAGCGTATTAGACTGCCTGCCAAGAGGCGCCTACCTACCTAGATAGCTACTACTTCAGAGAGACGCCTAAGTTGGAAAAGAGCGTTTGCTTGTTGAACAAAGAACAAAGAAAGAAGGGCGGCGGCAATGTTGTATGTATTGTGCACCCTGTGCCCTGTGCCTCAGACAGGTACCAAAACTTTTCGGCGTCGTACAAATTTGTGAAGAGAAAATAGGACTCTCCGAGTCTACTAAGTAAGTAGATGGCAGCTCATTCCTGGCGTGTTTCAACTCTCCTTGGGTTCCTATCCAGGTGTCTCCAGGGCCTCGCTGACCCTGGTCGGTACCTACCTCTGCTCGCTCTGCCTACCTAACCTACTGTACACCACCACGTACCTACTTGCCTTGACTCTGCGCTGATTCTGCCTCCCCCCCCCAGGATTCCACCTGTGGCAGCAGTCCAGCAAGCCGAGAGTGGAACACTGCTGAATTCATTGGACGAATGACGCTATCAGGGGCCACGTAGAGAGCTTCAAGCCGCTGGACTGGCTTATTTTAGTGCGAAATCTCTGAGGCTGAGCGGCGTTACCATCCACTCAGGGTCAAGTGTACTCACACTTACTTCGTACTTATAGTACTATATGTATGTAGTATATTCACAATGGATAGGTAGGTCAGATAGGTACTGGTAGCCTGGCTTCTGCAGTGCCGTGCCCCTGCCTAAGGTATCTGCAGGTGTCCTGTATGCACTCAGTAACTTCAGAAACCCTCCATACCTAGTACTTCCCACATCACAATTCCTTCTCGGTGTATTCACATCATTCATATTACCTACACGAGAAAATTGAACGCTACCTAGCTAGGTAGCACCCGCCAGAGCACCCACCTTCCATAAGTAAATTGAATAGAGGCCTCACAAACAGGGACCCAGCCCCCTGGGGCCGTCACTACCCCATTAGCCGCACCCACAAAAGTTTGTTTTAGCGCTTGTTCCGACTCCTTCGGCTTTTGCCCTTACGTACACGTACAGTAGTAGAGACGAAACAGCAGATGAGGAATGTCGTGTTATCTAAGAATATCAGAGACAAGGCAGAGGTAAGGGGAATACCTAGAAGTTAAGGTAGGTAGGTAGATGGATAGTCAATTTAAGATAAGAAATGCACGCCCTTCCATAGGTAGTGTGTACATAAAGGCTGAGAGGTCCCCCTGTCATGACGGCCCTACTTTTTCAAGCTGACTTGACATCAGTTACGCCATGGTAGCCACATCTAAGTACCGTACCTACATATGTCAGGCCCGATCATAGGTACTTGAAACGTACATGGATAGAGACTATAAGGTGAGCATTAAATAATGGTTCGTGATGCTAACTAAAGATTCACATATGGGGCTGTCGAAGCGTCCAATTAGAATAGGGAAATGCTATATATATTATATGCATCAGAGTACTGATAGTACTTAGGTAGTAATCTTGGTAGGTAGGGGTAGTAGGTCCCCGTTAAAGCAGGCGTCGTCAGGAACCGTTGGTGGAGCCTCCTCTGCCAGATAAACGGGTAGGCGCTTGCTTACTTACATATCAAGACGTTTGACATCTTTGCCAGACGTTTATTCCCATTGCATTACTCTCTATCCAACAGCTTTCACCTGCAGGCCGTAGCTTGGCTGCAAGTTTAGGCTCGGATGAGAACAATCTACGCTTAGTGTCAGCCAAACAACGCAATCTTGAACCTGGTAATAAGTATACCTAACAACAATCCCCATCGGCGAGTGACTAGCCCCTTATCAAGCATGTCCAAGAAAGGGATTCTCGACCACGATGGGACTACGGGACGGCCGCGTTCACGACGATCAGTAGGCAAAGTTTTAATCTCATCAGCCTTCATTCTGATTATCCTTGGATCACTCTTTCATCCGAGATCGCCATGTTATCGCCCACTTCCTCAGGGGTACTCGCGCCTTAGCCAAATGTCCATCGAAGACAGGGTAGATGCCATTCTATCCGAGTCACCGTTGATAGGTTTGTGGTGATATCATGAATTAAAGTGTCACAAATGACTTACTGTAAAAACAGATGGACACAATGACTTGGCCATCATGATTCGGGTCAGGTACAACAACCACATCTACCAACCGAATTTCACAGAGCCTTTCACGACAGGAGGCATGATCTCTCACACCGATCTTCCCCGATTGAAGGAGGGCCGAAATGGCGGTGCATTCTGGAGCGTCTTTACGCCCTGCCCAGCTAACGGGACAGACTACTCAGATGAGAACTACGCGGCTAGTGAGCCAGTCCCTCACCCCCTTTCCTTGATTTAAGTAGATGCCTCGATCCTGAACTTACTGGTTATAAGGCGTGCAACTCACGTTGCAACAAATCGACTTGATGACACGGCTGCAGGCTGCATATCCCGAGTCATTCTCGGGTATAGTAGACAGCGAGTCTGCAAAAGCTGCTTTCAAACAGGGCAAGCTGATCTCGCCTCTCGGCGTGGAGGGTTTACACCAGATTGGCAACTCAGTGGCTAACCTGCGGCGATATTATGACATGGGTGCTCGCTATGTGACCTTGACGCATAACTGCGGAAACAACTTCGTAGATTCGGCGCTCTGGGAGAACCCTTTCCGCAAGGCGACGCCATACTGGGGCGGTGTCTCTCCCAAGGGTATACAGCTCATTAACGAGATGAACCGCATTGGCATGATTGTTGACTTGTCACACACAAGCGTCGATACCATGTTAGATGTGCTTGGTGGCCGCGAGGAGAAATGGGCCGGAAGCAAGGCCCCAGTCATGTTCAGCCATAGCTCGGCATACGCCCTATGCCCGCACCCGCGCAATGTGCCTGACCACGTCCTCGAGCTTGTGAAGAAGCGAAACTCAATTGTCATGGGTGAGTAGCTTTTATCATTCGTTTCAACCCCCATTCTTTGTCACGAGAAGAGATGGACTTTGATCTCATGGAATGCCAACTAACGTAAACAGTCAACTTTTCCCCCGACTTCGTCAGCTGTGTCGATAATAACAATCCCAACGGCGTGCCGGACTTATACCCACCAAACAGCACTCTCTCCCACGTCGCTGATCACATCACCTACATTGGTGACCTGATAGGCTACGATCATGTGGGGGTTGGTTCTGATTTCGACGGTATCCCGTCAACACCTGAGGGTCTCGACGATGTCTCTAAATACCCGGATCTCTTCGCGGAGCTGCTGCGCCGCGGAGTGTCGGATGACGATATCGCAAAGATTGCCGGCGGCAACATCCTACGTGTTTGGGCTCAAGTTGAAGAGGTCGCCGCCAAGTTGCAAGCCAGGGGTGAACCGGTTATGGAAGATGACCTACCAAGTCTCTACGAGGCAGATATGTCTTCGATAGCTGGACTACAAGAAGTACTGGCAATATAGAGACTTATATATCCAATTTTAGGGGTTGCGGGATCTACAGCATAAGAAACGCTAGGAAAGAAATTGATATGGCGGGTGAGTTGGGTGCCAAGATGAGAGGATACCATCGCCGTACAAGCTAGACGTGGCTGCCTATAGTGAGCGCAAGGTCATAATTCACATGGGATAAAGATATTCTTGTAAATCTTTTTCTCCCCTTTGTTGCTTCGAAGCACTTTGCATCATAGCCAATCAAGAGCATCTTGTATCTTATATTTATGACTTAGGCCACATTCCCCCATTCAAGATCTCTGGGATTGCTAACGTAAGTCTCGTTGATATGGTACATGGGAAAATATCTCCCCAGACGTGATAATACACGGATGACGGCCCTTTACAAACAATAAATCGAGGGCTAGGTGCTTTTTGTTTTTTGCCGCAACCCTCTAGTAACGCCAGAACCCAATGCTTTCTGCTCCTATATCTTCATCTATCACAGCCGTCCTTGGTTGCGCGGTAATCTCGTTCTGACCTCAATTTTGTAGGCTCAAAAGACTACGCTGGTCATCTTCCTTCCCATTTAAGTATTTCGTGATCCAAAAATACCACGCTCTAGCATGTTGAGCTTCCTCGCCGTCTCGATCTGGGTGCGAGTGCGCTGTCCACGGACGGGTAGACCCATGGCATGGCGACGGCCGCGGTACGTGCCCATATCACGCAATCGCTTGATGTTCTCTTGAACGATTCGGCGTGCGTCGTTTTCAATCGTCATATTGGACAGCTCGGCCGTTAGTGCTGTTACTGTCTTTGCGGGGATCGTGCCCAGCCGCGCCTGCGGGTGAATCGTGTATTTCGCCATGATGCGTGCAGAGACCTGGGGCCCCAGCCCGTAGAAGCTCTCGAGGGCTTTCTGTTTTGGCGAGACTTGTCAGATATAATCCGTCAAAGCTCGGTTTCGCATTCGAAGATTGAGCCGTCAAGTCGGTGGTGTATGCGTTCCTGATTAGATACGAATAAATGGGGGACGTGCGTACCTTCACGAGCTTCCTCTCGTGGAAGTTCGCTCCTAATATAGACACCTAACGAAGTTAACACTCAAGTGTCAATCAGCCTTGAAGAGAAGCGGCTTACCATTGTGGACTGGGTTGTAGCCAAACACCAAATTGCCTGGCTTAGGCTGTATTGCGCTTGAAGTCGTCAACAAAATCGTCAAAGGTCAATCCGAGCTAATTGGTACAAACTACTTACCACTTGCAGTTGCCCAGTCTTGGCCTACTGGACCTGCCCTCCAGCAGATCGGAGTCTGTAAAGGACGCTCAAGCCACACCCTTATCAGGCTGATATGGACAAGTCCACCACGCTAACTCCACAAGCGTACAGCGGAGGGGAGCCCGTGAATAGGACAGAAGGACAGAAGTAGGGCACTGCCTACAGGCTACTTACAGCGGACTGAGAGCACCCCGCATCCTGTCGGAGCGACACACTACCTCGCTAGGTCCTACTAGCTTTGGTGGCCTTTCAGGGGTCTGTTACAGCTTGAGTTAGAACATAGCCTATATGTCCTCTTTGCTGTGCCGCATTTCCCTTTCCCTTCTTTCTCTTCTTCAACACGAACAGGTGGACTAAATTCCTTCTGTTCGAGAGCAATTACGATATTCTGAGGCTGTCCTTGATCGATTGGTCAATAACCACTGCCAACCATGTTCAACGTGCGCCGGCTTTTCGTCAGCGCCCTGCTGTTGCTGGGCTTCAGCGCTCTCCTGCTCGCGCAGACCGCCGAGGCAACCAAGGGACCCAAGATCACCCACAAGGTCTACTTCGACATTGCCCAGGGCGACGAGCCTCTTGGCCGTATCGTCATCGGCTTGTACGGCAAGACCGTTCCCAAGACTGCTGAGAACTTCCGTGCCCTTGCGACCGGAGAGAAGGGATACGGTTACAAGGACTCGACCTTCCACCGAGTCATCAAGCAGTTCATGATCCAGGGTGGTGACTTCACCAAACATGACGGTACCGGTGGCAAATCCAGTACGTACTATGGGCACCCGGGATTGTTCTCACATGCAGTTTGCTAACGACATTGTCATCATAGTCTACGGTGACCGTTTTGAGGATGAGAACTTCAAGCTAAAGCACTCCAAGCCTGGTCTATTGTCCATGGCCAATGCCGGAAAGGACACTAACGGCTCCCAATTCTTCATTACCACCGTGATCACTTCGTAAGACCTCCCTTCTCCTGAACTATTTCTAGTAGTAGGAGACAAATCAGTAGCTGACTATGATTAATGCAGTTGGCTCGATGGCCGACACGTTGTTTTCGGCGAGGTGCTGGAGGGCATGGATGTTGTGACCAAGATTGAGAACGTCAAGACCAAGCCAGGCGACAAGCCTGAGGTTACGGTCAAGATTGCTGATAGTGGCGAGTTGGAGGTTCCCCCTGAAGGTATTCACGTGGAGCTATAGACACATACACAAAAAGCGCACCTACCCAGATGTGATTTCTTCCCATCGCTCTCGCTTGCTTGTAAAGAAAAGAAATGGAAAAGAAAAAACATTAAACCCGTTCGCTCCTTATCTTCGTCATTGGACCTGGTGGATTTCGCTGATACGTAGTCTCGTTGTTCTTTCAGGTCTCTCAGGATCAGCTGAATGGGCTCCAGGTGCTCAAGAAGTCGAAGATGCTGTCCCTGCTCTAAGCACTCCAGTTACACCAGGCACCCCAGAAAAGGCAGGCGGCATCCCAGCCACTCCAGGTTCGGACTCGTACAATGAAGCTGAGGAAGGCTGGTCCGTCCTGCAGAAGGGCTTCCTGTTCATTGTCGTGATTGCTGCCATTGGATTCTACGCCCGTTGGGCCCAGCGTCGTGATGAGCGCGATGAAGTCGGCTACGAGAAGACAATGGCGTAATTGAACCCGCACAATGCATAAAGTAACCTAGGAGATTAGGTGTAGGATGCTGTACAACTAGGAGTTATTCGTTAAGATCGAATTTGTCATTGAGTTTGGGGGGCTATGGAGTTCAAGCAAGTATATAAAGACTGATTTTGTGGCGGGAAAGTGTAGATAGGTAGCTTGGTATTTTTGAAGCCATCTAAAGAGATCCACCAAAATTTTGACATCCCACTTCCACACTTGTACACTTCAACCAACGTACTAAGCCAACATTCCGTTCGCAAATCTCACCTACGTGCCTCAGTAAAAGAAGGAAAGAAAAAATTCAAGTGAAAAATAAGATTACTGAAAAGCAATGAAGGTTTTAAGTCTCAACTTCTTGACATGCGCGGTCAAGACGTGCAAAACCCAGACCGATTCGTATCCTTTGCATCCCAAGGACGCCGAACTTGTGCAGGACGACATCGAGCTCAACGAGGACTTCCTCGTCAACCTGCTGCCCCGCATAGATTGGGCCGCGCTGTCGACTACTGCTACTGAGGTATGGTGTATTTTCTCCCGAGGAGCTTTGTTTTGACTGGGATTCTTGTTGAACATGAGCTCGCTCGCATCTGAATCATCTCCATCAGAGTGAGGTGGGATGAAAAAGCTGCCACCATCCGGTCCATTTACCTCCCTTTCTTCTCGTTTCCTCCTCACTTTATCTCTCATATTTTACACCCTCCCACAACACTAAAACCCCACAGAAAACACCAAAGCAAGCGTACAAATGCTAACGGGCCCCATAGCTCGGCTTCCCAGCCTTACCATCAACGCCACCAACACCAGAGGATCTCCGCGCAGACGCCAAGACGCTGCGCGACCTGCACAACCTGCTGCTAGAGACCCAGATGATGGAGGGCAAGCTCGTCTGCGCCGTGTGCGGCCACGAGTACGCCGTGCACGAGGGCATTGCGAATTTCTTATTGCCCAGCCACCTTGTCTGAGCGCACGGGAACATAAGAAGGAAGGGGGAAGAGCGAAAGGGAGGGTAGGAGTGTCTACGTTCCTGCTTTCCTGCCTCATTTTGCAATTTTCCTTCGCATTGGGATATTTAGGGCTAGAAAATTTAGGATACCCATGTGGCTCGCATAAGCTCGTCTCTTTAAGGCATTAAAGTAATGATGAAAATGACGAGAGGATGAAGGTGCGGACGGGATGAAGCATCTAGGTACGACAAAAAAGAAGTATTCAGCGAGGAAGAAGCGGAAGCGGGATTCATTGAGCCTTTCACCTAGGAGATCTACTACCTCGCATACGCAAGAGCGTTTTCCGAGGGTATCTTGTTCATGCCCATAGGATGCTGGGTAGAGCAACTAGAATGTGTCTTCGTCCTCATCATGCCGCTATGGCTGACAGTCCAAATCAAGAATGCTCATGTTCATGGGAGACAGTCCGGAAAACGGTTAACGTGGGCAAAAGGGCACAGGGGTGGTTGTTGCATGAGTTCGATAAAAGACAGGAAACATATATATCACATTTAGCATACGCGGAAAGGCGTGGTCCTCTCATATCATATAACAAGCGCGTTCTATATCAACAGACCCAAATCCAACACGGCATTTGAGAAAAAGGAAGAAATAACTGCTGTTAATTGAACTCTTTGACTAGATCCTTATACATACAGACCGCTCTTCTTGCGTGGATGCCGAAGAAGATGGTGCATTACGCCCGAAGCCCCTTCAATCAAGGCTTCTATGCTAAACCCATGGCCCCAAACTCCTTATGACAGAATTCGTACACGTTGTTTGATGTATTGTATAGCATGCTACCCGGCTATGTTCTGAAGACTAGAAAAAGGGAAGCCGGGTATGTATTAGCTTGTATATATATCTATTGCTGTTTCTTTTGAGCTGCAGGCCCCATCTCCTTGTCGAAGGCACCGTATGAGACCTCAAGACTCGCTACGGCGGAGATGCCAGCGTACAAGATGGACATCAAGATGATCAAAACGATCAAGCTCATGAAAATACCTGAGATTGCGAGTCAGCCCTGTTGCTATTTCCTGTGATCACATACAGCACTAGAGTATGTAATCATCAGGGCTTGTTGCACCTACCGGGGGTGAAGTATTGGTACTTCTCGAACAATGGCAGATTCTTGCCGTCCTTCTCTTGCCTCCTGACACCATTGACATCGTGAAGCTGCCTCTTGAGTTCGGTGGGGCCGGCACCGTCATCGGTAAACTCAGGCGCGTAGGTCTGAGGTTTCTCTGCTTGAACTCCACCAGCGTAGACGACAGTATAAGATTCGACTGTGGAGGTTTCGTACTGCTCGAGTATCATGCCGAGCTCGTCGTCTATAGATAAAGGATACCGCACGGGTTAGCCACCGACGAACATATCATATTGAGATCTATAACCCCCTGGATCTCAACGTTGGTCCAAAGACGTAAAGGGAGATCTTGGCGATGTCAAGCAGAGGGCTAAGGTTGGGGTCTCTAACCATTTTCTTTGAGCGCCATCTCACTTCCAGCAGCGGATGATGGAACAGGTAGAAGTTCGACCACGTTAATGGAGGACTGCGGCAGCTCACACGTCTCCCGGATGTATGTAGCGATGGACCTCACATCAAACTCGCCTGCAACCTCGGCGATGCTGTAGCTGCTCGTGGTATGGCTAATTGACTCAGTGAGCTTCGGCACGGCGGCGCTCGAGCTCAGGTGGGCAGCGTTCAGATTCGGCTGGGAGATGAAGAGGTAGCGGTTCGTCGGGCATGATGAGAGTAGTTGCTTCGTCGTCTCGAGAACCTGGGAGCTCGACTGCAGTTGATGGTCGCTTGTTGGCTTTGAAAGTCTACAGAGCCGCACTCTGTTAGTACGCTGCTCGTCTGGTGGCGACGGTTCGTGTCATAGCAAGCAAGATCCTTTTCCTGGTTTTAGGTGAGGGTCGCGTACTTAGCTGTTGAGAATAAGATGAAGGGGGAAGAATCTGAGAAAGCATGCGAGGACGCGCACAAGCCCGCGACGGCCGCAGCTACCGATAAACGCATATTCACGTCCTCTGTTTCTTCTTCACTGTGTGATGGAACGGGGATGCAGCGTTCGTTTGTTGCGATGGCGAGGTAGTAGACTATCGAAAGTTCATTGGAGCTTGAGCTTCTAACTATGATTGTCGGAGCCTATCTGATGGATGCAGCATTACATCTCAGGTACATCAGTACTTGCCCCAGCGCGACCTCATAGCGACAAGTTACAGCCCGCCAAGCAAAGACCCATGCTTGTGGCAGGTTATAGCGGGGGTCAGGGGCTGCCCATGCGTGGCTTAACATTTCTAGACTTTCTTTTTTATCGTGACTTATCAGTATCTACTCCAGGTCTACCTATGTAGCTCCCTTACCTGCAAAGTTACATATGTACCTTCAGCTTTGCTGTATTATACCAAAATTTCCCCAGGATCAGCATAAGCCTGCGGGTTTCATTCGCAAAGTGCCATTTGACAAGCAGCAGATGGCTTATAGCAACCCTGAAGCCCAGCAAAAACAATAAATCTTAACTCAAGAATTGCACAATATGTTCGCGCGTCCACGTCCCAAGAAACTCCTCGCCCCGCCACCCAAGAAGCGTAAGAGACAGCACACCCTTGAGGAGATCAAATTCGACAACGACGCGCGCGCCGAGTACTTGACAGGGTTCCATAAGCGCAAGCTACAGCGGGCCAAACACGCCCAGGAACAAGCCGCAGAACGGGCACGACAGGAGAAAATCGAGGCTAGGAAACAGGTATGATATTTTCCACATTCTTATTTTTTTTTTTTTCTTTTCATTCGACTTGTCGGTAGACAACAAAACGAACCCAATTAGCTTCTATCAACGCCGTTTATCAGACGACACTAACCAGCACATTGCCAAACAGATTCGCGAGGACCGGAAGCGACAAGTAGAAGAGCATGTCCAAAGTGTCAACGAGGCCCTGAAACAAGCGGCGCAGGCAGGCTACATAGATAGCGAAGGGGGCGAATCCTCTGACGAGGACTCGGCCGAGGAATGGGGCGGGTTCGAGGACACGTCTGGACAACAAGCTACGATAGACCACGAAGAACAGTACGTCGACGAGGATCGGTACACAACGGTCACGGTTGAGTCTGTCAACGTATCCAGGGATGGCTTGACCAGTTCACGGCCTGACGAGGAAGACTCTGCGGATGAAAACGAAGATGGTGAAAAGGAGTTAGATAAGAAGACTGCGGTCCAGCCGGAGAAAACTGGTAACAGGGATAAGCATGAGCCTAAGAAGAAGAAGCAGAAGTTTAGGTATGAGACCAAGCTGGAAAGGCAAATTACGAATATCAAGCAAAAAGCCAAGAATAAAAGGCGGCCAAGGGGCTGAACATTTCATCCATCGTCCCCGCGGCTTCGTTCTATAAGCATGCTGTATACATTACCATGCTCCGCGCACATAGTAGAGCCTTGATGGGTAGCAGGATCTGGTCTCACATTAAGTGTTTGTCTGCCGAAGCTGCTCTTCTACAATCCCCCACCATTGCCTCTCCCTCCCCCAAAACAAACACCCGAACAGCTCGAGCTAGTCCAGCCGCTACACAGCTATCCCTCTAAGCCGCCCAGTATAGCAGGTCTTAGGCAAACGAAACCTCCTATCTCCACACATCTTATCATCGACATACTTCTTCCCACTCCTTCTTGTCTCCTTCTACCCCCTGAATTTTTCAGCGGTTTGGGCTTTAAGTCGGTATATCGGAAAGGGCTTAGATGTTGCCGATCTCTACCTGAAGCTCCTCCAACTCCTTCTGGAGGGTTGTGTGCTTCTTGTGCATCTCCTCGTACTTCTGCTCCCACTGGTCTCGCTCGTTCTCGAGGGCTTGTACCTTGCGTTCAAAGTGACCGGCTTTTACGTCAGTTTGGCGGAGCCTGTGAGCAGTGGTGGTTAGTTTGCTGGCGGCGGCCGGGTTGTTGCGCTATTAGAGGGCACGTGCTACTTACTTCTCATTTGTTTCACGAAGGGTCTTGTCAGCCTGCTCGGCCTCTTCCTCGAGCAGCTGAAGTCTTCGTTGTAGGGTCTCATTGTGCGTACCATGTTGCTGGCTCTCGTCGGCCGACTTCTTTAGATCCTTAACCGAAGTGTCCAACTTTTCGTTCTCAGCTTCGAGGAGACCGTTCTTGTGTGTGAGGGAAGTGATCTCCTGCTCCTTGGCGAGGTTCTCTTGCTCGAGGCTCTTGATCTTGGTCTGGAGCTCTTCGACTTTGGCGGCGGACTCGTCGGCTTCCAGACGAAGTTGGTTCATGCGCTAGGGAAGGTGATTGAGCGTGTTAGCAGACATGAATGCAGCATACACCATATCATCACAGTGAAGATAAGATATGAGCAATGCAGAGCTCTCGGTTGAGCGCTGCTATGCGGACAGGCGCATAACCAGTCAGGTATGAGCTTATTGTGGCTGCAACTGCTGGAGCTGGCGATGGTGGGGTAGGGGAAGGAGGGTGGTGGGATGCCAGTAGGTAGCTCACCTCCTTGATGCGATCCATGGCTGCAATCGGGGTATTGCTCAGATGTGTAAGATTCCGTAGATTCGAGAAGATAGGTGGAGGCTGGTAGGCAAGCAGGCGGTGGGATTTGGCTTGGGTGGGAAGTGAAGTAAAGCAGGTCAACGAAAGCAGAAACAGATTGAGGGAGGCGGTAATAAAGAAAGGGGACGACGAATGTTGGGTTGATTGATCGACTTGGCTGAATGAAGTGGAATTTCATGTGGTAAAGGAGGGGGATTCCACCCGCGACTGCCCCGCCTCGCCCTGTGCCGTCAACTCCCTACCCACGGTTACCTACATACCTAGGTAGTACATACCTGTACCTACTTACAGTGGATAGGTACCCCCTACTAATGACACTGCTAGGCAGGTACATACCGTCCCTGATCTACCTACTTCGTACACGCCTGGCCTACTAGGTAACCTACAACTGTCAGTACAGTAAGTAAGTACTACTGCACTTCTACCCACCCATATCATGGATTCATGGATTCATGGGTAAGGTAGACACTGTCTGGCCTGCTTCAAGGTTAACACGTAGGGGACACTAGGCAGCGAAGTTAAGGGTTTTGGCTTGCTGTAATTCGGTGCCTAGAGCGACTAGGTAAGGTAGGTACTAACCCAAGGGGTTTAATATACGTGCGAGCTCGAAGCTGTACACTGTATTAACCTGCCTTTTTACAGACAAGATCAATGTGCATACTTGATCTTATGCACTGTATTCTTTGGTCGTTCCAGGTCTGCCTTAAGTATTAGCCTCGCTGTTCGCCTAATACCCGATTAGTGGAAACATGATTGCTGGTACGAAATATTCAGAGGGAAAGAGAAAATATCAAAAATGGGCAACACATCATCAGCGCGATTCTTAGTGGTGACTTGTCGCACCGAATCGCACCTGGCGCTGTACTCAGTAGGTGGTGTGTTAGGCGCTCCGATAGGTACGGTAGCTGCCCAACAAGTTCTCGCAGGTACCTATCTGCCCCCAGCTACAGTGCCTCTAGAGCACCTGATCAGGGGCTCATTTAGGGGGGTCTACCCCTCTCTAATTGGCTGCATTGGCTACCTTGGTGTACGCTAAAAAGGCCCTGCCGTCGGTTGCTTGGGCAACTCCCAGACCTGAGTTGAAAGTAATTAAACAATCCGAACATGTCAGCTCTCGCCATCCAAATCTGTGTCAATCTGGGCCGGTTTGTTCAATTGATTAAGCTCCATAGCAAACACGGAACGCACCAAAGTCTAACCTTGATGAGGTGAAAGCTTCTTCGAGTACCTGTTTATTGAACGCGTGTGATTAACCAACAGCCCAAAAGAGAACATCTCCTTTTCTTTCTCTTCCTCCATTCTTCGCCAAGGCTCAGCAAACACATCACACACCATACCACTCCACACAACAACACACCACACAAAGATAAACCACAAGAACAGCTCAAGGCATGCTCGCAGCACACAATCAAGAAAACATAACCTTCAATCGCCAACATGCTGCTGCCGTCAAGCAGCAGCAGGGCCAGGCAACCCGTCCGCTTGGCGCGAAGACCCCCGGTGCCAAATTCTCTAAGACGCCCATGAAGGTGCCCCTAAATGACGAGAACGGTGCCAATGCCATGACCTCAAAGGCCCTAAAGGGTGGCGACAAGTCCGCTTTTGCGACGCCCATGAGTGAGATCCCCTCGAGAAAATGCCGTCTATAGAGAGAGAGCTGTACTGATGGTGAATTAGCACAACGTGCACGAGCTGTCCTCGGCGATAAGACTACAAACGCGAAAGCCAAGGGCATGCAGACTGTCAACGTCAAGAGCGCTGTTAACGAGATCGAAAAGTCACAAGTCAGGCTTCAGAACACGGTCCGACAACGACAGAGAGAGCCCCAGGCGGAGACCCGCAAGCTACAGGTTCATGCAGAGGAGCCCGATATCTTCAGTGACGACGAGGTCGAGTATTGCCCTCCGAGACCGAAGGATCTTCCCTACGAATCAGACGTTTTCCCTGACGGTGTCCTGACCTTCGATGCACTCAAGCCAGAGAACATGATGAAAGGCTATTACCGATATTACTTTAACCCTGTTGACGAGAATGGGATCTCCAAGCGCGACAGGGAGCTTGCACAAGAGACCAAGAAAGCCATACGGGAAGGAGAGATGAAGATCAAGGCAGATTTGGAGACCTTCGACTGGAGTATCAAGGCTGAGCTTGATGCCGACACTGATCCAGTCAAGAAACCCGTTGCCAAGAAGCTGCCCGCGCCCCGAAAGCCGCTGTCCACCATTCGATCTAGGAACGCCGCCAACGCCCTGTCGTTGGACGATACGACGATGTCGATGCAGAGGAAGGCAGTCAAGAGACCCGAACCTATGAAGCCAATGCACAAAAAGTCGTCCTCATTCGTCATACCAGCACTAAGAACTAATCGACCAGGCAGCTCACAGCTCCCAACAGTGCCCAAGAAGTCTCCTACCGAATTTGACGCTACTTCACGTACGACAATTGGGTACAACAAGGGCCGAGCCACCGCATCGCTGCTAACCAAGACAACTACCTCGGCCCAGCCCAAGAGAAACACAGCTGCGCCGCTGTCCACAACAATTCGAGGCATACCTCGCTCCAACACCACGCTTTCAAACGACTCGGACAAAACCATCACGCCCGCCCGCTACGCACAGAGACAAGCCACAGCCGCCAGCGCCGCGGCCGAGGACTACGCGCTGCGGGAGCGCGTTCCCTTCCTGTCCATCTTCAACCCCAATATCTCCGAGGATGAGGATGAAGAGAGCGACCCCCTAGGCATCAACAGTCGACCGTCGGCATTCCTAGACGAAGACGAAGACGAGGAGTTCGAGCTCAAGCTCGACGATTAATAGCGCAACAAAAAAACGATGCTTCATTTTTTTTTTCAATGTCTCTCCTTATTTCTACAACCACGTGTTATTATGACTACGGAGCTCGATGGATTTGGCGTTATTCCCAGTCGAACGGAGAAATCTCCGTCTAGTATCTGATAGACCCCAGTGGCGCTCACTGGATCGGCGTATGGCGTGTTTTGTTTTTGTGCGTTTATGTATTTTGATTATCACACTTGACTTAAACGCTGCCTGCCCTTGTTGCATCATCATCATCATCCCTAGTTTCAAGCGGCTGGGAGGATAGAAGCGTTAAGAAAGCCAAAAAGCAAGGATGAAAAGGAAGCAAGGGATGATGTCAGCTCGCGTAAGGGTTACTACATTCTATCGCGTTCGTCGATGGATCCAACCAAGCAAAGAAATATTAATTTTTGAAAACTTCTACTTACTCTTTTCCCTGATAAGTATACGTGAATATGAAGAAGGTACATTGCGTCGTGCTGTTACTTCTGTCTTGAATAGGATTTCACGCTGATGATATCTCATGATAATCTGTATGCTTCAACATTTGAAGATATGATTATCTCCAATTTCAGTCACACACACCACGGCATATCCTTGCGATAACTTTATTCTGATCGATTCATCTCATCTTCAGGTGCTATGGGTGCTATGTACTTTTGTTGTTGAAATATGGACAATTATATTAAGAATCCCCGGTGCGTCAATATCCGCAAGCGACTGACCTTGACGCGATGCCGCGGGAGTTCTGCCCCTATGTACACAATCAGCCAGCGTCAGCTTTCCTCAAGGTTGAATTTTCTCGTGCCTCATCCCCTGTCGTCCGGCAAACCCAACCCACCCCCAAGAGATAGTGATTTATCGTTCCTTCCGCGGTCTTCATATCTAGTTAATTACTGGCGCACCCCCGTACTTAGGCCAGAATGCAGATTTACGCTAGAACCCAGTCCCCCTGCCGAATGTTTGCGGGGAATATATTGTGAGAACTCCTCATGTGTACGCATTGGCCGAGCGTACATGCCGAACTAATATTACATGTTTTCTCTTTTTGCCCATGTAGCCATTTTGTTTTGAAGACCTGCCCTTCACATGCATTATATATCAAAGCTGATCCAAAGGCAACGAATGGAGCCTCGAGTCATTATGGAAACGTCAATTGAAACATGAAATGAAGAAAGCAATTGTGCGACAGACAGAGTGGGTATAGGGGAAGGTCCCTATCCTATAGGGCCAATCCCGGCCGACGTCGATGATTGATGAGAAGCTAAGCAACACGGGCTAATTGAGGAACCCTTTACACGCCGCAGTGCCGCAGAGGCAAGGTATACGGTCCAGGCTTCCGATCTCACGCTCGAACTTGTAATCGTAGGTCAATTCCTCGTCTGCGCACCAGGTTAGTCATATCAGTACGGAAGCCGGAGGGGACGGGAGAAGACATACTCTGAGCAATGTCTCGGAGTGCATAGATGACGATCCGTTTGCTGCCCTCCACTTTGATAATCTTGGCCGTGCAATTGGGCATGCAACTGTGATTGATAAACCGAGCGATGCCGCCCTTCTTTGTGGCATCAATGACCGTACTATCATCGATTCTAAATAAATAACTACTGCCTATACCGCTCTTGAGGTATCGGTTCTCCCGAATCTCGGAAATCTGTTGTCGGACCTGCTCGCCTACATACTCGATAATCATGTCGTCTTTGTTGATATTCTCCATAGCATAAAGTCCCCAATTATGAATGGCAGAACGCGCAAATTTGACAGGCTTCTTCCGCTTCTTAAGCTGGTTGAATCGCAACACATCGGAGTCTTGGCCTAATGTCCGTTTCTGATCGTTCAAATCGGCCACAAAACGTCGGTTATTGGCACGGTTGGCTCTTGAATTCCCTTTGGCAAGCAATTTCTCGGCAGCAAGTTTGGCCGCTTCGGCAGCAGCAGCAACAGCATCTCTAGTATCTTTCTTCGCAGCTCGCTGTTGTCGTTCTTCCCGGGCTTTCTGGACTTTAAGGTGATGGGGCAGATACTTTGATTTCTCGGAATTTAGGATCTTTTTCACACCTTCGGTACGAGCAGAACCCGTCGCATTGGGGACATAGTAGCCTTCAATCGTGAGTGGGCTATTAGGCGGCAATGATTCCTGAGCGTTAAGTTCTCGTATACGATTGTGCTTCCATATCCATAAGCGAGGATCTCCAATGTCACTTGGGGCTGTCTTCTTTTTGAGTTTGCTAATATCCGGCTGATCTTTTGGTCCAAATTGGAGATCAGGGATTGTCTCAACTGCCAGTTTGAATGTGGAAGAGATGGGCATGGCAGAGACCACTTTGTCAGAATAACGATCATCTTTAGGTAGTGATTCCTCGATCTCTTCAACAACAGATGGCTTCTGGACCGGTTCTTCAGACGCTGAAGCTTCTTGTTTCTGTGCCTGGTCAAGCGCTTCTTCAACATATGCATCCTCTTGTTTCTTTTTCATGGCCTCTCGCTCCTCGAACAGTTGCTTCTTCGTTTTCTTTTTAGCCTTAGTTGCAGTCTTCTTTTTGCCTTTGCTAGGTTTCTCGAGGGGTGTAAGTGTCTCTACCGCCGCTGCTTCTTTCGTATCTGCTAAATCAGCGTCTGGAAGAATAGTATCTTCAGTAGCACTAGGGAACTCATGTTCAAGCGTATCAATTGTAACACCAAAGAGTTCCTCGTCGGACTTCTTTTGGCGTTTAATAGCAGCCTCCACTTGAAGATCGAGCTTTCTCTTCTTGGTCTTGACAATACCGTCATTAACCAAGAAGCTAGCATCCGTCATAGAGTCTTCGTCGCCAAACCCGTCCTCAAACGCATCTTCGTCTGTACTCATGCGGCTGCGAGGACGTGACTCAACCTCCTCTGTATCGCGCGCGATAGAGTCCCGAACGTCGCCTTCGCCTTCACCTTCAGACGCCTCGTCATCGCTATCTGGTGGCTGCAGACGATGATGCAAAGAGCGGAAAGCATTGCGCACTACAGACGGTCGTTTGCGTGCGAATGGATCTGTGAAACCACGATTGCGCTGAGCAGCGCCGTGCCCTTTCACTTTCCTAATTCGGGGAAGAGCAGTGATGTTAAGACGCGCTGTTCTGCGTTCAATAGGATCAGCACGAGAATTAGGAGTGCTAATAGGCGATACATCGTGATCTTCGATACTGATAATGGGCTTAAGGGGCCCAACTGGATCCTCAATGTTCAACTTGCGCCTCTTAGCCACGTGGTTTCCAGGGTCCAAGAAAGTAGAAAGAGCCGGAACAGCAACTTTGGTCCGTATATGCCTAATTAAATGCTCCATCATCTCACGGCGAACCACTTCGATAGCCTCAGTAACAGGATCAAAATTATGAGCCCGCTGCTTCTTCTCTTCCTCGAGGATACTATCTTCAAGTTGGCGCCGTTCCTCACGAGGTCGGTATTGGTGCTCCTCTCGATACCGTACGTCTCCGACTGGCCGCCTTTCAAGATCACTAGGCCGTGGGTAACCTTGATGTGATGAGCTTTGAAGGGTGGCATTGTGCAATTTCATCGCCATACTATAGGTGAAAAATGCACTTCCATTTGCAGATTGAAAACACCTGCAAGCCTCCTCGTGACCCCTAGTTGTATTAGGAAAGATGATATAGTACCCCAAGCGATCTGTAAGAATATCGTCAAACAAGTAAGATTTCAGGCGCTTCTTCATGTGTGGAACAGTCGTCACCATTACTGGGACGCTTGACTCCGGTACAAAGATATAAGGTTCGCCTCTCAGTGTGGTTGCTATAGAGGGTGCACTGGCTAAAAATGAATTCGGCTTCGCCGCAAGCGTCCAATTCGTTGAGTCGGCGTGTGGCGGTCGTTGTCGCTCAGCAGCAGGGCCCTTCGGCGCAGTAGGGGGAGGTCGAGAGAACCCATCGGGTTGGGATCTCGTACTAACGTGACTATCGCCCTGAGGCCATGGCGAAGGGGACATAGTGTTGACCCGTGATCTCGGACCTACAGGTACGGTGGGTATAGCCATAGCTCGGGCCATCTCCTCCCGGTCCTTCTTGATGATTGCTTCAAGCATCTGCCTACTCTTCTTCCCATCACGATCAAACTCAACTTTAACATGATGGGCCTCAATCTTCCGTCCATTCATTGCCCTTACAGCTCTCTTCGCAGCGTCAACCGCAGACATCGCTGGTCGCCTGTGCTGGGCTTTTGCATCCCGAAAACGGAAAGTAGCGAATCCCAGGTAGCTCCCAGTATCGGGGTGCATCTTGTTGCTGCTCTCGGCTATGTCGCCAAAAGAGGCAAAAATAGTTGCGACTTTTGAGAAGGTGATTAATGGGTTGAAGCCACTGACCACAATCTGAGTAGGCGGCCCGGGCCCGATCGAGGTAGCCGGGTCATAATTGTAAGGCTTGAGGTTGTACGGCGTCTGACGTAGCCGTGCCTTGGGAAGGTGAAAATCAACGTTGATGTAGTCCAGCCAGCTGCCCTTTGAGAGGCGCGGGTCGGGAGGGGGGGCGTCATCTTCCTATACAACGATTTTATTAGCCAAGTATCTCACACCGAAATCAGATGACGACCCCCCTCCCAGGTATGGTATAGTATAGTATTGGTTCACGTACCGAGCCGAAAGCTTTATATTTCGGTTTCATGGTTTTCTTTTCTGTCGACGATAATGTCTTATCAGTTGACGGATCGTGTACACATCTCATGCCCTGTATGGTACGGTTGGGGTCTCGGGCCGGGAGGCGCTTGGCGACACTGGGGGGAGTGGCTGACCGCTCCATAGCGGTAGCGAGGCTCGTAGAGTCAGTTTTGCCGTCATAGGTAGAAGCGGTGGCGTTATGCTCCTTGGATGGCTGCGTGGTGTTGTTGATGTTGTGGTGATATGAAGGTGAACCGATTACAGTTAGCGGGGTGATATCGTTCTTCTTCGGGCCATGCGCAGTGGCATTCACAGCAGATGTGTTATTATGAGAGCTAAATATAGAGGAGGTAGTGCTCGCACGAGAACTGGCGGATCCGACACTATTGAGCATGTCTCCTTGCGGGTACTCGGCATGTGTATCTTGATTTGAGGCTTGCGCAGAGTCCGATATGGACGAGTCGTGCTTAGAATCGTTGAGAGCCGGAGTAGCAGTTCTAGGACGGCTGTCGGGGGTATCGAGAGCCTTGCTATATCGCTCGCGTTCTCGTTCATGGGCCTTGTCTCTAGCAGCACGAGGCGCGTTGGGGAAAAATTCCCCATAGCTAGCACTCGGAGCCATGATATGGAGGGACGTTGGCTGTGGCTTCCTCTACCCACCAAGCCTCATATCTGGCGCCGGAAAACTGGAGACCACCATTCATGTATGTAGCAATGGGAGATGAAAAACGGCTTCTTGTCTTCTGTTCTTTGTTTTGTGGGCTTTTGGCTTGAGGCGATTGAGCCTGTTGGCGGAGAAGGGATGAGAGGATGGGTGGCGGGCTGGACAAGAGAGCAAGAGGATAAGGAGGACAACGCGAAACCTGTGTGTCCACGCGACAGGATTAGGGAGTTCTGACGTGTGTGGGACCTTGGGCGAGGAACAAAGCGCCAGGCTAGATGGATGCCACAGGCGGCAACAAAGATGCTGGGAGGGGGTGTTGATGGTGCACAATGGTCGCGAATAGGTGACGATGGTGCGACGGCGAAGACGACAGCGCAACGAGGGCCAGTTGGGTGCACGAGTCCGGAAGTCAGTGGTAGTACATGAAGATGGCTGAGGGAGGTTAAGGTGTTTCCGCAGCGTCGAAAAGTTGAATTTGGCTGGTATGGAGCAGTGATCTCAGGCTCAGGGATGGAAGCGGTACGTACCCAAGCGCTTGGTGGGGCGGCCTCTGATACCTACTACCTACTCGCTGCTCTAGGAGGTACATATGCAGGTAGGTAGTTTTTAAATAGGCTTGCTTTAGAAAGGACTAGCGCAGTCGGCTGGTGAGACCCATTGCTGTGCTGTAGCGTACTTAGGTACCTACCTATCAGGCTTTCAGCGTCTTAGATTACTGTAGGTACAGTGGGTAGATATAGGTACCTAACCCAGGTTGGTAATCGGGACATTGAGTTTGTACCTAATCTCGTAATTCAGGCATCTACCGGTACCTATGTAGGTAAGTACCCAGCGCACAAGCCACCCATCCCAGGATGGATAAAATGTGGCTGGATCTCGGTTCCTAGGTACCTCCTAATGCCTTGTTCCCCATTACTTGAATCCATCATAGTTTTGCTTGTGACTGACTGACTAAGTAAGTTGCTGACTGTCTTGTTTTACCTAGGTACGCTACCATGATGATAGGTAAGTTTTGGCTTAGAACCTACTTACAGTGGACATTACCATACAGTTAGATATTACGATATATAAACAGTGTGAATGAATATATCCCCCAGCTATTGCCTAGATATATGCTTGTCGAGTGAGCGGCTCAAAGAGAGGTTGGAAGAGACCTCTCTGTCTTTATCCGGCAGGCGGGTATACTATACTAAATTCACCAACATATAACGATACTGTAAATATTTCTAACATTAATAACACCAGATAACGAGGAGATCGATCGCCATGCAAGTAGTATCGTACAAGAAAAGCATGCACTCCCTTTGCCATGTCGGGAGGAAACAGGTTCGCCAAGCGTATCATGTTGGCGCCAATGTCTTCGCGAGCCAATGGCGGCTCACACTAGAGCAACTTGCGAGCAATCTCGACATAACTACATAACCTTCACCCATCAAATGTATAAATTCCCATATATGCGAGATGAAGGCATACTTTTTCTTCCACTGCTCATCTACAAAGGATATGCAAAACTTACCTACACTTCAGGGAGCGGTCGTTGAGGATTACAAATGTGCCAAGTACACTCAGCAATTAGTTAGTCGTACCCACACTTCACTCACTACCCGTCGAACGAGCCGGTCGGGATTATATTACTACGAGTATACATGTAAGCATTATGAGATATGAGAGCTAAGGTTGAGGAGAAGTATAATACCATTAAATATCGCTCTTGACCTCGTGTGTAACTACACTGCCCTTTCTTTCGCGACATTGTAAATTGAGAGACAGGTTTCAATGAGGGTATCCTTCGGCATTGCGAGAGAACGGACTCAGTGAGATGCAATTAATTGCCTTCATCGTAGTTCGACCACAACACAATTGCCTCGATGTCCAAACCGGAACGAGCCGTTGTGGCAGCAATCGATGAAAAGCCGGCACTCGCCGTGACGTCCGAGTCCGATGATGCTTCTACCGGGCCTGCGAACAACGCATCACCGTCTCCGTCTCCGTCGCCCGGAGATCACGATGCCGGGCCGCCGAACGGAGGTTTAGTGGCTTGGCTGCAGGTCGCTGCTGCCTTTGTCCTCTATGGCAATACCCTGTACGTACCACCATCGAAGTCGTCGTGTGATTTCATTTGTACCTTCCCCTGTGCACCCAGCTGACCAATTTCTCTTTGCTTATAGCGGGTTGCTCAACACCTTTGGTGTGTATCAGACGTACTATGAAACACACCTGTTGAAAGAGTACTCAGGATCTAACATCTCATGGATCGGCTCAATCCAGTCACTATTCCTGATGGCTGTCGGGGTCTTCGTAGGGCCGCTCTATGACGCCGGCCACTGTCGGACCCTGCTCATAACGGGCACCATTTTCGTCGCTCTGGGCTTCATGCTGACGAGCATAAGCACCGCGTACTGGTCTATCTTTCTAGCACAGGGTGTGCTCACCGGCCTCGGCACGAGCTTCTTGGTGATCCCTTCCATCGCCATCGTGCCACCATATTTCAAGCCAGCCCGGCGACCCCTTGTTATGGGCATAGCGACGCTTGGAAGTGGTCTCGCCGGCGTTATTTACCCGATCGTATTCCAATCGCTGCAGCCCGCCGTCGGGTTTCCGTGGGCGGTGCGTGTGCAGGGTTTCATCTCATTGGCGCTCTGCCTCTTCGCTGTCATCGTGGCCCGCCCGCGGTACGCAAAGAATACCAAGAAGCGAGCATTTCGCACTCTATTCAAGGGCGCCAGCCTTGGTGACTCATACTTCATCCTCTATGTGATATCGATAGTCTTTAATAATCTAGGCTTCTTCCTACCTTCGTTCTATCTACAGACCTATGCAGAATTGCATGGGGGTGCTGGATTGGCCGTGACAAAGTACCTCCTTGCCATTCTAAATGCATCGTCTATTTTCGGCCGACTTGTTCCGTCGGCTCTGTCCAAGTGGCTCGGCGTTATCAATGCCTTCATCATTACTGTATCCTTGTCATCTATCAGCATCTTTTACTGGATTAGCGCATCCAATATCGCAGGCAGTATCTCAGTCGCTGTGTTATACGGATTCTTCTCCGGTGGTGTGGTGGCATTCGCACCTGTTGTCCTCACGTTGCTCACCGAAGACTTGTCGTACCTAGGAACCCGACTGGGTGTGTTGAATATTTTCAAAGGTATCGCCTCCGTTATTGGCTCCCCAATCGGCGGCGCCATCATCCAGCGCAGCGGCGATTATCTTGGCATGCAGCTGTTTAGTGCTTTTTCGGTTCTTCTCACTGCGGTATTTGCTGGTGTCATTCAACTGATGCTATCGAGGGAAAAGAAGCAGGCCACTTAATACATGTAAATATCTTCCTAGAGGTGAATACAGGGCGAAATCATAAGTCGCAACGTCTACGATATGCCATATTACGTCTCACTTGTCATTCTCACATACCCACAAAACAGTCGATCGTATTCGTATCTTGAGGTTCCGGCAGAGATATTCACGGCACCAGAATTAAGCTCTTTCCGATTAACATCCTGTGGTCTAGGTAGCAGGACAAAGATCGCGACTTGTCATCTTGTAGTCTCCGCAAACAAACGCATAGCATCTATATAAACTGCACTAGGCCACCCAGTGCAGCTAATACTCTATTGTGATCACAGACATGGTAGCTTCTCATCGAAAGCCCTCGACAGGGTGAAAAGACGTGTACTCATGCATGGCCATGTTCATATTTTCCTCCTTAACGCCGTTGTTATGCCACAAAAATTCAGAACCATTTCAAAACGCCGAATAAATTCGCAGTATGCTTGATTCTCTTCACGGATCAGGAGCTCCTGGGAGACGTTCGATCACGTATTTTCCTCGCGCCACGTTCATGACTAAATGCCAGTTAGTAGCCAATTCAGTACCCCTGGTATGGATGCCATGAGGCTATAGAAAGGATATTCATGAATAGAGAGCCTCCAGATGAAACGGGACTACTTACTTGGTACACCAGGTATCTTTCTAATGCGTCGAACGAGGTCTTTATCATTAGTCGCGACGATATAGACGCGGTGTTTCATGCATCTGTCTACAATGCAGTCACTGCGATACGTGTTAGTGACCCCTCTCACTTAACCAATATGAAACAGTTTGAGAACACAAGGAGGGATGGTAGCCTTAGACTTACTCTGCGTATGTGCCTTTATGACTAATGTTCAAAAGAGTTAGTAAATAATCTCCTAATGAAACCATTCAAATACATGTCGAGCTTCCGCGCTCGATCTTCAAGACGTGGCTTCGATTCTACTTACTCGCATTCAATACGCTCCCATCTTTCGTCGCGCGCTATTCGTAAAGCCATCCTGTATCTTTAGAAGTTGTTAGAATAATTCATGTGTTGATGTATGTTTTCGCAACCTACTTTGGACCAAGCTTTTCTAATTCGGCCATCTTGACGAAGTGTTAGTTTGGGTGACTTGCTCAACATATAGCCGTGGGAGTCCTCCACGCATTGAGCTTACCACGCAGGAGGTTATAATGCTATGATATTGTTAGTAATCTCCGTGCTTAAGCTCACCGGGACAGAAAGCGTTTGCTTCTGCTTGTAACCAGGGAAGGGGACCAACGAGGCAAAAGTTGTTCAGACTTACGGGATACATTTGGCATAGAGACAATCTATTGAAATTAGGTGGTGTTAGTCAAGGCTTCCCTACTCAGATACCAGAATTTATATCCCAATAGCTCACAACTCTGCAGTACTTAGGATCAAGCGGAGCGGTTTGTCAACGCTGGCGACTGCAAAGGTGAAGCTCCGTAGTTTGTGTTTCGGATTCGACATACCCATCATCGACTCTAGCAGAGGAAGTTTACTATATACTTCATAAGCACGGCGCCTGTCTGAGCCAAGTGAGGAGCGAGGGATAAATACCGTTGGATCGTATGACTCAAAAAATTGGTATCCACGAGAACTGAATATGGCGGTTTTAGAGCTTGACTAGAAAGATGTTAGCTATGAAATCTGGCGAATGCTTGCAGATGTATCAATGAAGCCAGCCGTGTATGTCACAAGTTGGAAGTGTGTGAATGTGCAGCTTGGAAAGCCAGTCAGTCCACGTTGACTTGGCGATCGCGCAAAGTATCTGGCACGGCATTCCAATATTTGGGATGCGTGAAATGCGTAGCGGTACTTGAATAACCGTGCCAAGACTCGAAATAACCGAAGGCACAGGAATCGAAATGTGTCAAGACTGATATGCAGCCAAAAAAATTTGGATACTGACTTGTGTTGAAAGAAGACTATAATTCTCTGGAGTCAGTATATACTCTTCTAAGGGAAATATGCGGGTTTCCAGAGAACGCTGCGTGCCCCTGATACACATAGGAGATAGCTCTGGGTCTGAAGATGACTCGAAGGGTAAGAAAAAGATCCCAGGGATCACATACGACTGGATGGCGCCTGTGGTATTTCCCGAACGACCTGATCGTTGGAAGGGCCACCGGTCTTTTGGTTCTGAGGGTTCTTGGCCTCAGCCTTGCCTTGATTCTTTTTAAGGCGGGCATCTCGCTGGCCGATGACTTTCCATATACCCTATGTCAGCCAGTCTATATTTCCTATTAATGGCATTTGCTGACATACTGCGTTTGACCTGTGTCTTATTAGTTATATGCTCGAAGCTATTGGGATTGGGATGGAGAGGTCGTTCTCACAGTGGCGAATTTCCGTGTCTTCTTGGCTACACCCATGGTGACGTCTATAGTAGGTTATCTCAACAAGTAGAAATCGGTGAATTTGATACGCCTAGAAATTCCTCTGCCTATTGTGAGAGGGTAATGTTCGGGGGGAAGCAAGGCTGCTAGAAGTTGTCATTTGATAATGGTCCCTACCTCGATACCATCAAAAACCTACACTAAAAAAAATCCGAAGTTTGAATGGCGGGTCCACTTTTCCATGAGCTACCCAAAGCGGCTAGTGTCCGAGGACCATAAGAAGCAATTAATGCACCTACTCTGCACCTACAAATAAATATATGCAATTGAGGCTTCATTCAATTCTGAGAAATCTTCATTTTAGGTATTTTCATAGCCGCTCCATACCTGTCAATTGCCATTCCTCGAACACGATGAGCATGGTATCATACTACGGAGGTAGTTATCATAATGTCCCTATACTATGCCTAGAAAAAGCAGCCCCCGCGCGGTGGCTATCCCAGCAGTGTGCTGGTACAACAGCCCAAAAGATCACCAGATCTGTAATATTTCTTGGCATTGCTGCACCGAGACGAGTGGTTCAGCGCCTAAATAATTTTCGATCAGGCGAGCAGCGGTGGCGCACCGCGCATACTGCTGTGTTCTGTGAGACAGCCCTCACTCTTCCTGTAAGAAGCATGCCATAATATATATGTATAGGTATGCATGAAGACAGCTGCCAAACCCGGGTCGAAGCGAGAAGCGAGAAGCGAGCAAGCGTACCTGCCTCATCGTATGTACCTTACATACGTATAAAAAGTTATATGTGGGTGGCATGTGGGTGTGGTGGACATGAACTAAGCCTCTGCTGGAATGTTGCTCGTGAGCATTACTATGTACACGACCCTGCCGACTGAAAGCACTACATGACCTCGTAGGGGATTATATAAATGTATCCAAGCACGGGATTAGGTATGCAGGTAGCCGTCCATCTAACCTCATTGCCTTACACAGGCATTTTAGCCTCTTCTCGTCCTGAGACAAGTTGACACATACTTACCTTAGGCAGAAGAAGTGAATATAAGCAGTGTACTACCTATGTAAGTAGGAAATGAAAACACGAAGCCTCTAGTGGCTGGTCAGCTTGGTGGACCATCTTGATATTACACTACCTAGTACTCCGTAGGTACTTACTTACTTATTCCGCATGAGCGTCTTGGCTAGGAACAGCGATGATCTGCCTAACCTAGTCTGCTCTAAGCAGCTCTCAACTTGGTATCGGCAGTCCAAGACAAGTAAGTCTTTACGCCAGACTGAGACTATATTACATGTACCTGCTAAGTTGCGGCTACGTTACTGTATGTACGGAATATGTACTTACCAAGTTGGCAGTCGAGTCAGTCTAGGGTTGGCCAGCCTACCCCAGCACTGCACTAATCCTCGTAACTTGCTCCTCCCCTTTTGGACCCTTTGGTCTCTCTCTCTCTCTGCCCCCGTAGCTGCCCCCATCATTCTTCACACGCCGTCGCTCGCTGTGTCGCTTCATTGCCTCGTCGTCCGCTTATTGTTCTCCTTTCTGTTCACGCCAGGGAACAAGTCGCCTGTTCTCGCCTCACCATTGTCCATGCAATAGACACTGCATCTTACTGTTCCGCCTTCATTTGGTTACCAACGCGTATTTTCTTTCCCACTCGCGCCAGTCACTCGTTCTCTCGCAGCATATCGTATATCGTCCGTGTTACCGCCGAACCCGACCGAGACAACGACAGTTCATTATCCCAGCGTCAATCCTGCTTCGCATCAAGTCAACAGCAAACGGCGCTATTACTCGTTTCCGCTTATATGTCGTTGCGGCCGTATCACAATTTCTAGAACACTCAGCACATAGTCCGAAATTCCTGGTCCCATTCCAACTCTCGCCAGTCTCTGGGCTATCATAGGGAAAACTTCTCCATCTCTCTTTACCCCTGGACAAGTTACCCGCCAGCATGCGCCCACCACGATCTATTCTGTTAGGCTTGGCAGCCGTGTTTGCATCGCCCGTTATTGCGCAGAATAATGACGACGATGATGATAACAATAACAATAACAACAACAATGATAGTAGTTCCACATCTGTGAATACTGATGATAATACCTCAACTGCTACCGACAATGATGCGTCCACATCTTCTACAAGGGCACCTCCATCCACCACTACAAACGACGCTGAACCAACGTCGTCGCTACCTGACATAGATGAGACCTCCACGACATCCTCACCTTCTTCAGCAACTTCAACAACAACTACTACAGCAAGTAGCACTACACAAAGCGTCCCGGCTATCACGAGCGACACGGGTGACACTCCGCCCTTACCAACTCTGCCAGGCTCTTATAGTTACCCGCCCCCAGCTGTGCCTCCCACCAAAAATGCCCCCTTTATGCAAAAGTCAAATCTACCCCAGGGCACCGTCTTCATCGCTGTTGGTGCTATTCTAGGCGCATTCGCCGTTGCTATCTTAATCTGGCGGGCTGTTGTTGCTTGTCTGCTGCATCGATCTGTCAAACGTGCTACTTTGGCTCAGCAGGTGGCAAACGACAAGAATTCGTACCCGCCTCCTTCTGCTCCTTTCTACAAGTATAGTGATCACGCGTCTTCTATCTCTCTTGGTAACTCGCCAGGAGCTCGCCCAACTCGAAAATTACGTGGACCGGTACCCTCTGGAACACCAAGCCAGTCAAACCTCTTTTTCTCTCCCACAGCCCCTGCCGGAGCTAGCAATGCTACGAATCGCGAATCACGATTCTTGCCTTCAGGATTCTATGCATCCGGCGCTGCTTCACCACAAGGTCATGAACACTCTATTAGTTTGACCAATTTACGGCCAGATTCCCATGGCCATGCTCGGGCCCTTGAGCCCAGCCCTCCTGAATCTCCTAACCTGGCTCCACCTCACAATGTAGGACGGAGAAATTTAAGCTCAAGCACCCTGAACTTGAACCGGCCAGCGAGTGGCCGAACCCCGAGCGCCTTTCTCGAAGACTTGCTAGGTGACCAACCCGAGCAATTTCCACCAGGTCACCGTAACACGTGGAATCAACCATCAAACCGTTTCTAGATCGAGCCCAGTCTTTCGAGTTCATGCAATGTTGCGTATAGGATGAACCTACAAACTATGCGTTCTGCTCAAGCCAGAGTTATTTTATCTTTGACAAGTTAGCAGCTTCTTTTCCTCAGTACGAGCTTTGTGTAAAGTCTATGTAATGATATGGAGTTGGCATTCAGGAGGCGTTGACAGGAAGCGGTCTACTCGGCATTGGTTTACAGCTCAATAGACTAGGTTACATAACCTCCATCATTGATTCTACATAATATTTCGAAGGTCTGGAATGACCTCCACTTATCCGCGCAAAGGTTGTTGATATTCATAAGAGCTACATGGTTTTCCAGGTGCACGGACGATCGCTAATTGCCTCGACTACATTCTTCGGTCTCACTAGACTTGCTAAGGGGGTTCGAGTGCGTGAGTTCGCTGTGTCCCGAATCCAACAAATAGCAGAGCATATCATTTCAAAAGGTGGATAGCTATCCCTATTATACCAAACACCGCTTTAATGAGCGCCTTCAACTGCTGTATGTATATGTTCAGCTGGTGTGCACGCCCCCAGCTCGCTTGTGATATTGATAGAAATCGAGAATGGCTTCGCATAGAAGATTAGTACAGGAAGATACGGTAGCTCTGTGGATAGATCCTTGAATAGATAGATATCCCTTCACACGAGTACTTATGAGTAAATTAAACAGCATCTATTATCCATCTTGTTCGTATATGGTCCGGTCGGTCGGAAGCAACGGGACCATGTGAAACCTGAAGTCGCTGCGGGGAGGGCATTGTCTCACCTAACCTACCTACCTCCTTACTTACCTACCTGCCCAGCAAGCAAGCAAGTAAGCACTTCATCTCGCCACATTCTGACGTCTTTTTGCGTCGTGTAAGACAGAGAGGCAGACAGACGTAGTGGGTGGGAGTCGACCGCCTGATGTCTTAAACGCTCGATGCTTCAACCATTTTTTTACCCCGGCTCACTTACAGCTCCTTCCTTTTCGCTGCTTACAAATAGGAACAAGATTGACCCTGGAGAAAATTCCCGCGGAGCCCTGCAATCGCATGAACAAATACGCAGATTCATGCGTGGTGGGGAGGGGGTGGTATAAGAATGTACTGATAATCATCTCATAAATTTTCCAAGCAGATATTAATAAATATACTTCACCTCTCTCGATACCACAACCCTTTCACATGATACAATAAATAGTCTGAGACGTTCTTATCATAATATCCGATTGAAATATGCTAATTCCCTAGTATGCTTACGCCTTATGTATCTATCTGGTGAATATGAACCTGAAAAAAAAGCAAAAATGTCTGCGCTATACCGCCAATGATGATGAAAGTGTGCCGTTCCACACGGATATACTTTTGATGACATCCGAGTCCAAATAAAAGATCCAAATATCAGTTCAACCCTCACGACGACCCAGCAGGCTCAATAGAGTCCTCTTTCTCATCATCCACAACACGAGATGTGGTGACGGACCCTTCGTTTAGCGAGTTCACTGCAGTAACCAAATCCTCGTGTCGGATCCCACTTCGCTCACACATACCTCTGAAGATACCGTCTTTGATATTCCAGAGTTCGAGCGGTGTGCCAAGCTCAGCGATGCGGCCCGCGTCCATGACGCAGATACGGTCATAGCCGATAATCGTGCGTAGACGATGCGCGATGCACAGCAGTGTCCGTCCTTTGAAGCCCACGGCCATCGTCTTCTGAATTTTGTCATCAGTCTCCATGTCGACCGAGCTGGTGGCTTCGTCGCACACAATGATTCGCGAGCCACGGACGAGTGCACGCGCAAGAGCCATAAGCTGGCGCTGTCCGAGACTGAAGTTCAACCCTTCCTCCTCCACAATGCTGTCGAGCTGGATCCTACTTGGATCTTTATCGTTAGGTCCGGCGTCGGCGGGAACGAGATCGGCTTGTCGCAATGCGGACCACAGCTCTAGGTCTGTATGTTCAGAAAAGGGGTCGAGATTGCTGCGTACAGTGCCGTGAAATAGGGTTGGGTCTTGTGGTATGATGGAGAGGCGAGAGCGTAAGTCGTGGAGCCCGATGGTCGCAATGTCGATGCCGTCGATGGTGATGTGGCCGCCAGAAATTTCGACGAGACGGAACAAGGTCGACATGATGGAGCTCTTACCGGCGCCGGTGCGTCCCACGATACCGATTCGCTCGCCGCCCTGGACATGCATAGACAAGCCCTTGAGCACAAGCGGCAGATTTTCACGGTATCGCATTTCGACGTTGTCAAAGACGATCTCACCTTTCTCGGGCCACGATGGGCGTACGTCAATCGTGTGCTCGGGTGCTTCCTCTTCGAGGTTTGTGCCATAATGTATGAGACGTTCCACAGCGTTCATGCCGTTCTCCACCTCGGCTAACTGCCGCACGCTGAACTGCAACATCTGCACGATACTCAAGATGTAGGACAGAACCAGACCACCGGTTGACGGGGGCACGCTGAACCGGGATGTTACGACAAGGATACCTGTGGTAAATACTAGCAAGTTACCAATAAGGTCCAGACGCAACGACAACCATCGTTGATTCGAGAACGTCAGGTAATATGCCGAGTTCATCTCGTCAATTGTGCCTCTAAGCTCGCCAACTAAACGGCCCTGTAATCCATACGCACGAATAGAAGCGACACCTGAGATACCCTCGCTAAATTTGGCAAAAACGACCGATCGAAGAACGGACTCGAAGCGCTTTACTTCACGGGCGGAAGAACGGTAGTACGAGGCCGCCAGAATGAAGATGATAGCCAAGGGGACGAGGGCAATGGCGAAGTAGTGAAAGAACGCGATGATAAGAGCGAATACGGAGATGACCGTCACCATTGTTAAAAAGAACATCCTCATGGCATCTGTCAGGTTGTTGTCCATAACGTCAACATCCCTCGAGAACCTATTCGTAATGCGCCCAAGGGGTGTCGTGTCGAAGAACGACATTGGCGCTCGCAATGTCCTCGTCACGGCTTGCCGAAGTAGTGCCTTGCTTGCTCGTGTCCCGAATATTGTCAGCATAAGGGCAAATATGAACAAGAAAATAGCTTGGCCGGTTCCAAGAGCCGCGTAGACGCCGATATAAACTCCCTGAGAAAATCCAAATCTATCCCCAGTCCAGTACGAGAGCCATAGACTTGTCGCAATGTTGCCGCCTTGTGCTATAATGAGAGCCAAGAACACCCAAAGAGCATTGAAGATGCTACCAGACGCCCGTATATACTTGCCATAGACTGACCAAGGAACGCTGGCAACTGCTCGTTCCTCAGCCTGCATCAAACCCCGCGCCTTCTTCTTTTTCTTGGTGTCCTTCTTCGATGACTTCTCTTCGACAGCCACGCCATCGTCGTCTTCTTTCTTTTCCTCTAGGGCCGTTGTTTCCATCAGAGTCTTAAAACCGGGCTCATTCTCCATCAGTTTATCGAATGTATCGACGGCACGAATCTTGCCACCATCCATCCAGACAATACGGTCACAGCGGTTCAGAACCCACAGTTGATGGGTGGCGAGAATTCGACATTTGTCCTTCAATAGCCCTAGAATGGCATTATCCATGATATGGCGACCGACGTGGGCATCGACAGCGCTCAGAGGGTCGTCCATAAGTACTATATCAGCATCGAAGTAAATAGCACGTGCTATATTCTGTACAAATGTGCTGTTAGAAATCGTTACAGATGGTACAGAGACAATAACTTGTTGGCGCTTTGACAGTACACAGCAATATGTGGAAGCAAGCTATGAAAGAGAATGAGAAGTTCATAATACGTACAAGTCGTTGTTTTTGTCCGCCAGATACGGTTATTCCCCTTTCACCAATTTCGGTTGCATCGCCATCTGGCAACATATCTAAATCAGGCTGTAGGGCACATCTAGATTGGCCATTAGTGAGCTGACTTTGAAGAGTTGGGAGGAATTCTTACGCTTTGATAACCTCTTTATACCATTCCCTATTCATATCTTTACCGAAAAGAATATTGTTGCGAACCGAGGTATTTTGAATCCAAGCGTACTGTGGGCAAAAAGCTCTTGATGCGCCAAGAAGCACTTCACCTGAAGTCTTTCGCATGTCACCAGCGAGCGCCGCAAGGAGAGATGTCTTACCGCTGCCAACGGAACCAATGACAGCAATAATTTCCTTGCGTCCGATCGCGAGGTTGAGCTGCTCAAGTTTAAATGGCTCACGCTCCTCCACCAGAGTACTGGCCGTGTCCGAGTTTGATTCCGACGTTTCTGCACCCTTGTCATGCTTTGCGGGCCGTTGGCTTTTCTTCTTTGAAGCAGCCTTTTTTCCAGGTCCGGCTGGCTTATCGTCCTCCTGTGTAGGAGTTCGCTCCCAAGTGAAGCTAGCTTGCTTCATCTCAACAGCATTTTCGCTCTCTGGATCAAAAATGGCAGTGTCTTCTTGATTTTCAGAGAGCATGAAATCCTGTATACGTTTCATCGATGACCATGCATCAACGATATTTCCAATAACCAAAGGTAGCAGGTTGAGTGGTAATCGCAGACCGTTGAAAAGCGCCAATGAAGAAAAGACTTCGGCAGCGCTGAGGCCATGGTCTGTCAGCGAATAGGTGATGAATGAGAGGAAGGAGGCGTAGATGGGAAGTGACAAGCTGACAGAGTTAATAGCATTGCGAATTGCCAGAAGGACTTGAATTCCATGAATCTCACGCTCTCGGACTTCTCCTAAGCGCTTCATGAATGCCTCTTCCCATCCAAAATACTTGACAAATCGAACAGACTGCAGAATTTCTTGAGTAAGGGCGACGCGCTGGTCGGTCACCTTGTTAATCAGTGCTCGGCGTCGGAATAAACTGCGGATAGCCCGAGTAAGAGCCGGAATTCCAATGACGAGAATAGCAAAACCTGCTAGTGCACTATAGGACAAGTTTATGAGCAGGACGACCAGCGTGATGATACATTGAATCGGTGCAGTCCATACGATATGGAACATGGCGGAGGCGGTATCAAGACGATATGTGTCGACACTCATTATGTTGACAACTCGGCCATTACTCCAGCCCACACCGTCGCCGGCAACGCCCTTCTTTCCAGGTTTGGTATCCTTCTTGGTCGTCTCCTCCTCTTTCGTATCGTCCGTTCCCGCCTCTGTTTTCTCACCGTCTTTGCCATTCGCGACGACCTTGCCGCCGGCTTTGGCTCGATTTGAAATGACCATAGACTTTTCGAATATGAAGCTAATCATGACAGCTCGTACTTGGCCACCAATCATCATGCCTCTGTACAGAAAGTGGTTTGTTCCTATGAAACAGTCAGAAAAGGTTGCTTGCACTGTGGAGTAAAGAATCGTACCCAGGCTCTGGAAGAATTGCATAAATGTGACTCCCAGAACTAACCCGACTCCTCTACCAATGGGCGGTGGAGGTCGCCCGCTCTGTTGGTTGTCCCAAGCTTCTTGCGCAAAGGCGATGAGATATCGGAGCACAAACGGCGATAAAACCTGTAAGATGGCGGCCACAAGTTGACATAAACCTCCGACCCAAAATTCCCAGAAGAAGGTCTCGTGGATCGCCCAAAGCAGGGGGTATTTGTCTCCGTTTTTGGACCGCCGTTCGAAGGACTCGGTACACTTGCGAGCCATTACATCTACTGTCCGGCTTGGATTCACTTTCCAGAGATCCATCTGCTCGAGTGGTCTTTTATAGCCAACCTAAAAACTAATCAGCGTGTCTCATCACTTATATCAGCCGTAAGTACATGTCGAGTATAAATCCTTGCCCTTGGGTTCCAATGTTACGTACATTCATCAGGGGAGCCATCCACTGAAATGTCAGCCTACTAAAGAAACTAGCTCCGGCTTCTGCCGACTCCTGCCTTTCTTTGGGAACTGGAGGAATTGACCCCCATCGTAGAGGGTTTGGTGTTTTATACCATGGCTTCTTAGGTGTAGCCGGCACTGAAGCACGAGTTGTGGTGCGCGTCACGGTGCTCGCGTCGGTAACATAGCTCTGGGTACGCTTCAACTCCTCCCTATTAGCACGCTCGTCCAGCGACTCCTCACGGAGGCGAATCTCTTCCTCTGGGTCTTGGAGATCATCTTCGTCGTCGTCGTAAGGTACCGAAGATTCCAACTTCGACGGGGCGTCAACCTCGGCTATAGGGTCTGCTGGCTTCGTCTCCTTCTCGACTTCTTCGTTGGCCATGATTTTAACTTGGCCTTTCTCTTAACACCCACCGCCTGCTAGTTGTGCAGTCGGTGTGGTAGAAAACCACCGTGCTCTAGTTTTAAGAGTTGCAACGCCGAATCATGCAACGCTAGCACCTTACGGCTAATTTTAACCAGGCGTCAATAAGAAACGGATTCTTATCGAAAAAGACAAAACTTAAGAGCGGGCGCGAGACGACGGCATAGGCGACCTGTCTAGAATACTATAACGATCTGGACAATATTTATACCAATCGCAGACAGGAGCACTTGAAATTAAATTATTTTGCCAAACAGCTAAATGTACCCGAATATCCCCAATGCACACCCATATGGCAATGACAAGCGGGCAGGAGCAATAAGAGAAGTAGGGAACGGGAGCAATGGGGCGGCAGTGGCACCGGTAGCGGCAACGGTGGTGTGCGAGAGACGGGTATATAGGTAGAGATGGGTAGAGATAGATGGGCAGGTAGATACAGCAAGATGGATATCTGGGGATGTCTGGGGGTGTTTGGGGATGTTTGAGGATTGTGATAGGTGCGGTGATTTATTATGGTGGATGCCGGCGGTGGTTGATTTATCAGAACATGATGCTTTGATTTTATCTCCCAAATTTGTCGGCCCCTCTTTCCATTTCCCTCGGTGTTGCCGCTACAGCATCTCTCCTTGCGGCGTTAACTTCGCACTTGCCCGGCTCCGAGCCAAAAACAACCATGACCATAACTACTATGTATAACTACTGTATGCCGGTTCATGGCAATTGATAATGGCACGGACACTGACATGGACAGTGCAAGGCTAACGGCATATCCCTGCGAACTAAGCTGATCTAATGCACCTAACCTAAGTACGTAATCTGCAGTGTAACTGCTGGTATCTTCACAGTTTGTCACCTACATCACGTAGGCAATTTAGCCGATTGGCTCGGTCACCTGCTTCGAGGGTACTCATAGTAACCTGGCTACCTAACTTGGGCATCTACAGTGTATACAACTGAAGTACGATGATACTCTAAGCACATATGTATGTAGGTAAGCACCGATATCAGTCACCGTCAATAGTAGCAGGTTAGGATATGTGATGAGTCTACGAGATACCACTGGCGGATGAAGAGAGAGATGAGTCAATCCAGATGCAGTGTAAATTTAAAAATCAAGCTTGCCTGGTGTTACCGCGGCCAAGGCACCTACTTTAAGTAAGAGTAAGTAGGCAGATAGGTAGCGCAGCCATCAACCACTGCCATCACATAGTAAATGCTTGATTTGTCCTCAAACCTTTTTCCATTCGCCGTTTCGTGTATACTATGGTAAACTAGGATTGCCAAGGAGCGCCCGTTTGTCCCAGCTGTTTGGGATTCCTACAGTACTGTACTTACCAAGTATCTACACTAATTAGAATAACGTGCACTGGGCATTGTAACGCGAATATTTTCTTCTTGATTACCAAGCAAAGATTGAAAGACCACGGCATTTCGGTCGAGCAGAGTCGAGCCACCACTAGTGTCACGCTTAAGCACATGTGGGTTCTCTCTCTCTCTCTCTCTCTCTCTCTCTCTGCCTTGTAGGCCTCTTCCCTCTATTCTATTGATAATCGGTCGGTCTCATACCTAGGTGTATGTACGTAGAGTCATAGTATATAATCATCCCCGCCGGAGTAAGGCAACAAAGTAGTCCGTCACACCGCTCATAGAAGTCTCGGGCTTCACGAGTCCAGTCGTTTCAGTCAAATTCTTAATCAGAGAGACGAACAGGCATCAGCGCTAGAACCAAGTTACACGCTTGTCTGCCTACATGCATATGTGAGTATGCCATCGTCGACTCATCATCATCTGCACCACAAAGCCCGGTTTACTAGTACCATATGTTGGGCATCTTGGCCGATCCGGGAACGGACTGGACGGGCTGCATTGGAACCCGTCCCCTGCACGTCGAACGCCACGTCCCATTGGCTGGTAACTGGGTAGTACCGTGGAGTGCCATCCGGTAGACCAGGTCTGACCAGGCACTCGAGTACACTCTCGACTCTCCAGTAGGTATCTTGATGCCAAGAGATGTGCTGAGTTGATCAACTCGAAAATCCAATGCTCTTCTTGTCTGCCGAGTCTGCTTTGTAATAGCTCCCGAGAGTACTATGAGACTTGTACTACTTACAATGTAGTAAGTATGCAGGTGACTACTTCACGCATACCCTACCGACCTATCTACCCTCCATTCTGCCCATCTTACTAGTATAAATGCTGCGGAGGACCATCAATGGTCACCACGGTCCCGAGTCGGCACCGAGATGGCATAGGCTAGCCGATTGGCTGCGGCAGCTTCGAATTCACGAATGCCGTAGCCCGTAACCCGAATTCGAATCCGAGCACACGGCTCAGCCCCACTTGACGGCCAACACCATCCTTTATCTCTATTCTCTGTAGATGCACATATATATAGTACGTTGGTATAGCAGAAAGCGCATACTGTAGAGTATCATGATCAAGCTATGAATATGCAATGATGAATAAAAAATTAGGCTAATTAACTCGCCAATGGATAAAACCTGCTGGTTCGTAACAGGGACGAGCGGAGAAGACTGGCACCTTATATGAATCTTCAGTCTTAATCCTCCTGAGCACATATTCAAGTCTTCAACCACCATTGATAGACCCATTTAATTAGTAGTAGCTAGACATAGCAGGCACACCGCGGGCTTTCATGAGGGCTTCACATTTCTTTATCGAGCTGCTAATACAAACAGGCACTGACACATATATTATTCACTAGGGTAGAGAGGCAGACACATCAATAACTGAACAAGTCAACAAGTGTCGGGGTGTCAATATTTACCGAAGACACCTGAAGTTTTCGAAGGGGACCTCATCCAGATTACGCTATGGAGAGAGAAGCGGGGAGTGAGATAAGACATGAGGTAGTAATAGCGGGTTAGACCAAGGTATCTGTTTTGTTCAAGGATTCCTAACCACATTATAGATCCCAATGGATTAGGTATATGACAACTCACATTGCACTCCCTTTACTCCCGACTTCCTAGGAAGTCGTTGGCCCATTTCGTCAACAAGCTACTATCTCCTACTAGCCTACTTCTCAACTATCTCTCCCTACCGACTTCCTGGGAAGTCGCTGGCAACTCCTGTAAGTAATGTCAATAATCCCTGTTATTCCTATATACTTCTACAACAGCTCACTAGGTAGCCAATCTATATAACCGCAGGACCAACGCCAGAGCAATCGCACTATAAAGCTAGCGAGAGTGTTTTTTTTTTTTTTCCTTCTTTATTTTCTGTTTAAAAAAACGCCCCTCAAGAAACCCACCAAAAAACAGACCTGCATCACTGCCGAAATGTAGACACCGGCCCCCTGAAGCAGCCTTTTCGACAGAGTCTGAGTTTACCTCCTGTTATGTAAATACCTGAAGAAAAGCGAACAAAACTGATTCTCCTTTTCGAAATTCAGTGACTAGATGGACGAACAGACAGACAGCTACACAAACTTCACATAGATGCTACCGCTAAAAGCCACCAAAACACGTACCTAGGCAGATCAAGTATGGACGCCAGGCATGAAACTCAATCGCAGCCTTTCTATATTTTAGTACAATTCCCTTCTTATCTTAAACCAGTCCATTTCCCACCTCATAGTCTGCGCGGGCAGTTATGCTTTTTGATGATATTCATACAATGAAACACGGTGAAACAAACAAAAGATACACAAGCCTCTACCCCATAGAGAAAAGCGGCCCTATAGAGCATTGGGATTCGCCTAAGCCCCTTGAAGTCATAGTTCGCTCATCCTCTCCCAACGCCACGCATGATAAGAATAAGTATTACGAATGGGCTGACCACCAGCCAATTCAACGCCCGTCCCACCAAGAGACACTGAGGTGCTTCGTTGAGGTAAAGCCTAAATGCTCTCAGTATCCTCGTCCTCATCGAGACCCAGCAATGTTTTGTCCACGTCATCAAGTTCCTCATCCTCGTCTTTGCCCTCACCCGCGGGCTCAAGCTCGTCAGCGCCACTGTCAATGCCCAGTAGCTCTTTATCAACATCATCCAGATCATCAGCATCTTCCATCATTACGTCTCCGTTAGCAGCGTTAACAGGTTTACCGTTGACAGTGGCCTTTCCATTCGCCCGGGCCTTTTTTACCCGTACCCGGTCTGGAGTAGCTAGACGTTCGAGCTCCATGATAGGGTCGGGGAGTGTTTCGTCGGTGATTTGAACTACTGGACGTCGTTTGTTTGGCGGAATGATTCCCAAGTCCCGTCGACCGCTCCATCTCTTAAGTCGTCGGTTGGCTCTTCTCACTGCTGCTGCATACGATGCGGGCTCTTCGCCAAAATTGTCCTCCTCTTGAGTTAGCTGACACAGACCACCGAAACCCCGATCTCGGAAGACAGATCTAATGCTTATGGGCGTTCTACCATCTTCCTCATCGCTGTCAACAAAAGGGTCCGTCATGGCATCTAAGCGCCGTTTTGTGCGAATCAACACACCCTCCTGTCGCCTCAGCTTTCGCGAAATGTGGTGCTGTCTTCGGAGACCACGATCGAGTATGTATTCAACACGTTGGCTGCGATTACGCTCCACTGCTAATTGGTGTGCGGTTGGAGGTCGAGGCTTTCGTGGAACGATGCCTTCAGCAGCATGGGAACCAGGAACCGCAGGCGAGGAGGCATCAAAAAGTTGATATTTCAGTGAGGCCCCACCGCGACGTACCGTGCTGTTGGCACCAAGGCGCGATAGAGCTCTTGGGGGCGGAGTTGACCGGGTACTATCCATGTCAGACTCGTGCTTTGAGGGCCGTATGCGTGGTAAAATTGCCGCTGAGGGACTATCCTCAACAAGAAGTTTAGCTCTTGAGCCTCTCTTAGTTTGGCTGTCGACCGCGTAGGCTTGATCCAAGGCAATAATCTTGGCTCTGTGACTTTGTTTCTCACGTCCGAATTCGACTTCTTCTGGTGAATCTATATTCTCGCGTGCTTCTTGCTCTGGTGTCATCTCTTCCATTCGAGGGACACCCTGGTTAGCGAGGCCGAGCTCGTAATCAACTCCGGCTCCGAACGGATTCTCCTCGCAGCCTTCTTCTGTAAAGTCTGACTCCAGGTACTGCCACATTAACCATAGAAATGCCCTCGCACGAGATTTGCTGGTGTAGTTTGTTTTCATAATGAGGTCATGAAATTCGCCACCGCTCGGAAAGTGCAGTTCTGCAATCTGTGGTGCTTGTGAACCGATGAGAAAGATCAAGTTGACGGGATTTGACCGCGGCGCCTTCGAGTTCTTGAACTCGGCCAAGTCATGAGGTTCGGCTCGGTCTTCGGCGGCTCCTTTCAAAATCGACTTCAGCCTGGGGGCATCTTGTAGCTGCTTATAGGCGGATGCATCCTGATGTGCTTGTAATGATGGAATAGCATGATAGGTTCTGAGTTGAGCTCGCATTTCTGGGAAGACTGTATGAGCTGAGTTAGTAAAATCCTTTCTCTATGTGAATATGATGAGGTCACAGTACAGTTCAGTGTAGTATTCATCCGTCCAACATTGACGAGCAGACAGACCATAGCCATTCCTTTGGCAGCCTCGCGATCACTAAGAAGCTTGTCTCGAAGAACTTTGCTAGTCTTGCTACTCCTCGCCATCGTGTCAATGTATAAGTCGGCGAAGCTCTGCTTTTCCGAGTTTCCGAGTTCGTAGCTATTAGTAAATACTTTCGTTTCGTCATCGAAGACAGCACGCAAGAAGTCGTACTGTATGTCACGTCTCCATAAGGGCTCCCCGTCTTCTTTTTTAAGATGCCTAATTTTGCCTACAACAGAGAATGACCCTCCGCCAGAGGTACCACCACCTGCAGCAGATGCCCTAGATTTGCGTTTCGTCCCATGAACTGATTCGGCACCTATCATGCTCGACTCGAGGTTGCCATCAGGCGAGCCGTCTCGGGGGGTACCGCCCGGGCTAGAGGGCTGCGACCATTGGCCCGGAGAGCCATGGCTTGATGTCATGGAAGTCATGGGATAGTTGGGAACGATGACCGACCGGATCGACGATGGAAGAGGACGGGTGTTGGAAAAGCGGGATAGGCAGAATACAAGCTATCGAATTGGGGAACAACCGATGGTATCAAAGGTTATTAACGACGGCGTGATGGCTGAGCGATGGAAACTGATGAGTAATGGAGCAGGTGGTTGCCTGAAGTTGAGTTGCAAAGCATAAGGCCAACGACGCAAAAAGTGCTAGAAGTGCCTAATGAATCAAGAAGCTGAGGAACGGAGATATGCGCGTGAAATGCGCCGCGCGTGTTCAATGGATGGATTCAATGTATTCACAGCCCTGCAAAGGACTGTGCACAGGACACACAGTAGATGTAATAAATGGAATGCAACCGAGGGTTGTTATTCCATTGTACGAGACGGGCGAGACAGTGAGTGAAGGTTGCCTCGTTTTGCACTTTGTAGGGAGAGAGGGAATGGGTTGGTGAACCTGACACGAGAATGTTAGTACCTACCTACCTACCACTTGACCTAATGGAATGGTGCCACCGTCGGCCGGCGCGCGCTGGTCAATTCTGCAAACCTTCCTTTCGTCAGATTCCCACTGGCCAGTACACAACAGGTTAGGCGATCGGGTCAGGATGGGGAACCCACCTACTTACATACCTACAGTAGGTACCTACAGTAGGTACTATGTAGTACATATGCACATAAAGTATGTGCAGCAGTGGACTTTAGATATACTAGCCACCAGCTTTCTGATGCTGCTCGACTGGATCATATTAGATTATATCTACCTACCTCTTAGCTCAGACAGAGTTGGATCATGTTAGGTCATGCAGACTCATGCTACCTACAACACCAGAGCCAGCTATAAATCGTCGTTGATCACGTGATCTGGTCACATATCCCTTTGGTGCCTTTCTCGCCTTTCTCCCATGCCTGGGCACCAGCTTCATTCATGCTCCATATTGTTGCTTTATGCATTTCGAGCTACTACTCTGCTTATTGACTATAGCATCCCGACCAATTCGAGCTAAGGCCAGTACACGGGCGGGATCACGTACCGGTAACGAGCTCGGATTAGGACCAGTAGAGGCTCAGCCAACAACAGACTGGCTCTACATATACTCAGGTTTTACCGTTTTGTGCCATACATTTAAGTAATTAGGTTCAGTATATTCGATGCTTTTGTGCTTTTGCTCAGAGTGAACTTAGTTGGCCCTCGGTCAAATGCCAGAGTATAAGAATTCATACGTGCGTAGTCCTGGAGAGAAACTAGATACTCAAGAAAGATGGTATCTACACAATCAATAATGAACCATGACGTACTGAGACAACCAAACTCTAATCCCCGATGAGAACGGCTCCTCTTGCACCAATAGAACCATTACTACATATCGGCCAGATCTTTAAAAGCCATAATTCAACCTACACTGTTGTCATGGAGCTTCACAGGGCCGCAGATTAAGCCGCAGTGGATCTTGCCAGGCAAGACCCTTTTAGAACATCCCGTCGTCCACATCATACCTAAGAGCTCCCTTGATCCATTCTTGCGTGCAATTGAGGGATCAGAACAATGATCTGTGCAGCGTCAAGAGAATTTGTGGCCATTTGGCGCCTGCAGAATGACGCCGACATTTTCAAGCAATACCAGTCCCAGTCGTCGTTCATTCGCCCCTCCCCCCTGTCGACGAGATCCAACAACCGGCCGATCCGCCTTCTAGCATTCCGAGGGGGGGCCTGGACAGTGAGCTCCTAACATAATCGAAGAATAAGCGGCTGCTGACGTGACCTGAAATCAAGCGAGTAGCAAGGTGTATCTTCGAAGCCCTTCAGATCGGACCCAGCTTGGTGATTATGTGTCCTAAGACTCAAGCTTCGCAAAGGAGAGTTAAGTCGTTGGTACTGCCTTTACACGTAGCTCAGAAGCGACGGTACAACTTACTACTTGATTTCCACTAGTTACCGTGAATGATATAAATCTACAAGACAATGATAATCGGAATGTAAATTGGTTCAAAGAAGCTGCGAGGTTTGACGATAATCTTGATGTGTCCTGCAAATGTAACTCTCACAGCTTAAAGAGTCGGTTCAAACCAGGAGCAAGCCGCTCTCCGTAAATGATAGCAATCGTGTAGTGCGTATTGCGTTCCCGCTGAACAGTCCACATCCGGATAAAGCACTCACCAGTACGGACAAGATATCGTACCATTGCCGTCACAGAACCCGTATCAGCACGATCTCGGTGTAACGATCTCGCGATCACTCCAACAGTTTCAGGGAGTCTTGAGGATTATTTCTTAGTTGTAAGAACCGGCGAAATATTGAGCAGTAAGAGTTCACAAGATTGTTGTTGAGGAGATGGTAGACTCCTCAAGTATCGTAAAAAGTAGATTAATGTATAGATCAATCTCTAAGGCAATGATTGATTCAAAACAAGATATATATTTATGTGCATTACACGCTCATATATTCCCTCCCTAGAACTGTTCCTCTTTTCTAACTCTACGTGACATGGTCGAGAACATCGACTAGTTTGTTTTCTACCTTCAGACGATGTCTACGACCAAGTGTGTATACCATCAAGCTATCCTTCTCGACCCTACCCTACAGCCGGGACAGGAATGGCGATTATAGGTTGAGGGTAGCGGTAGAGTACCTAGGTACCGATTCTATAACACAGATACCTAGGTATCTCTATCATCAAGTTACTACAAATGAGTCTTTGGAACATCGACGCCATACATTTCACAGCCTTATCAACATGAACATCACAGCAACGAGTGTATTGGTAGCTATGAAGAACTGCATGTTTTTTATTACTTAGGAACACTTAACTCAGTTCGTCGCAAATGGATCCTATGCTGGTCCAACACGGCGCAAAAGAACCTTTAGCAAAGTTCTCAGCCGATATCTGCAAAGAGGCTATCTACCAGGCAGATGGGAAGTCATCTCGTCCATATGCCAGTATTGTTGGAATAAGCCCCAGACATGCTCTGCGCATCTCAAAGAGGTCTGGAAATTGTACCTGATCAACCAGACGCCGTTTTTTCTGTTATCTCGCGAACCGTCCCAATATTACCATCCATCCTATGCTATGTCCATAGCCCGCCCTGTCCTGCCATTTGTAATTGGAGGAGAGAGGCAAGCTGTCGCGCGTGAGAGCCCTGCCGAATTTGAACCCACGAGCGTTCTGCTTTTTGTCTATGAAAGAAGATGCCGGCGACATATTCGCAACAAAACGGAACACGTATTCACCCCGTTCTATGAGGATGTGGGAAGAGATTCCATCTCCGTCCAAAGGGTAAAAGCAGGAACATGAACAGAGATTGTCGTCATCGTCGTGAGAAGTATCGGTCCAATGTCTTTCGAAGACCAACCAGGTTCTAATAGAAGAAATATCTCCCGAGACTCAGAGCTCAAGGCCTATCTTTGACCTGGAAAACGTCTCATGTAGCTGCTCGGATGCAATCCCCGCAATCGTCTATGGGTATCAATCGTGAGGAATACGAATGCGCAGCCGTAACAAAGACAAATACCGTCTATCATATGCCAGAGCCTCATGCCATAAGACTCGAACCTGCCGATCCGGATGGGTTGGTCGCAAGTAGCGTGTGCCGTAGATGAAACTAGGTCGGAAACATTGGCGACGTTCCAAAACCATGTGTAAAACCACGCAAATGTATGAATAAGGAAATGCAAAGGAAAAATCTATGTGCTTGTACTCCCCCCACCCAAAGAAAAGCTCATGCTTAATCGCGAAGCAAATAGGCTGGGGGTTGTTGCGCGCCACTCATGGTAAATCGTCACATGAGTAGTTTACCACCAAGAAGCCTGACCGCCAGGACCACCTGGGTTACCATAGCTGCCACCACCGTAGCCAGGGCCACCAGATCCATAACCGCCTCCACCGTTGTATCCAGAGTTTGGTGGGCCACCGTAGGCACCACCATTGTAGCCGCCGGAGGCAGGTGGGGGGCCACCAAAACCGCCACCGAAACCAGGGCCGCCGCCGCCACCACCGTACTTTCGGAAATCGCGGTTAGCACCAGCACCTCGGCCACGACCACCAGAACGACCGCCGCGACCACCACCACCGTAGGAGCTTTCCCGAGCAATGGTCTCTAAGAATGCAGGGACTTCCTGGTTGGCTTCTTTTAGCAACTCAAGAAGCTCGCGAACCACACCACGGTTACCGCGGTTGAAGAAAGCAGTTGAATGTCCAGTATTGCCAGCACGGCCAGTTCGACCAATTCGGTGGACATAGTCGTCAATATCAGTAGGGAGATCATAGTTGATAACATGAGTAACGTTGGGGATATCAAGTCCACGGGCGGCAACAGCTGTAGCGACAAGAATAGGGCAACGTCCGTTGCGGAACATCTCCAAGGCACGTTCACGCTCACGCTGAGTACGATCGCCGTGAATTGACGTTGCTGGGAAGTTCTGGTTGATCAAGAAATCAGACAGTGAATCAGCCATACGCTTCGTCTCCACGAAGATAAGGGTGAGGCCACCGCCATGAGTGTGTAAGATGTCCAACAAAACGGAGCGCTTGTCAACATCCTCAACATATTCAACCTTCTGAGTAATGTTCTCTGATGTAGAACCAACGCGACCAACGGAAAGGAAGACATAGTCCTTCAAGAAGTCACGAGCTAGCATTTGAATGTCCCGTGGGAAGGTGGCCGAGAACATGAGTGTCTGGCGGTTGTGGACTGCGGGCATATCCTCACCTTCCACAATGCGGCGAATCTGAGGCTCGAAACCCATATCAAGCATACGATCAGCTTCATCGAGAACAAGATATTTGATGTTCTGGAGAGAGATGCGTCCTCGTTCTATGAGGTCCACAAGACGTCCAGGCGTGGCAACCAAAAGGTCGCAGCCTCTCTCAATTTGACGTAGTTGAGAGCCGATATCAGCACCACCATACACAACGCAAGGTCGAACCCAAGAGCGATATGCGAACTTGCGAGCTTCATCGTAGATCTGGGAAACAAGCTCACGAGTTGGGGCAAGAATCAGCGAGGTGGGGTAAGCCTTTCGCTGACGACCATAGCCACCAGATGTATTGGCAGGTACAGGAGATGGACCAGTTAAAAAGGCCTGAGAAAGAATAGGGAACAAGAAACCACCAGTCTTTCCAGAACCAGTCTGGGCACAGGCCATAAGATCCCGACCACCCATAACGATAGGAATAGAGTACTTTTGGACAGGGGTGGGGACTTTGTAACGCGCAAGTTCGATGTTGCGAATGAGATGCTCTTCCAGAGGGGGGGTACTGAAGGTAAGCACGGGCTCAGGTACATCATGACCAGAAGCCTCGACGGGAATGTCGTCGTATTTCTCGAAGTTGATGCCAGTGTGCTGTTTGGACGGGTCATCGGGGGTACCGAAAAGTTCACGTTCAACGCGAGGGTTTGGTGGCCCAGGAATATGTTTACCATCCCGCCACTGGCCGTCGCCGGAGCCTCTAGCATGGCCACCGCCTGAAGCGGGATTGCCGTACCCATTGCGGTCAAAGCCACGGTTGTTTCCCCAGCCGCCACCGCCATGTTGACGTTGTGGTTGATGTTGAGGGGGAAAGTCTGGAGTTTGCCCAGGAGCCGGCCCCCATCCCTCAGCACCCGGACGAGCATCGTAGGAATTATTGCTGTAGAAAAACAAACATGTTAGAGACATCGTTTGATGTGAGGAACCCGCAATCGAATATAACGCAACAAGTGGCACTTGCAAGGTGTAATACGCAGGGAAAGGATAGAGCGACTTACCCAGCCCAAGCACTGTTGTTGAGTCCATTCATTCCAGCAGGCGAAGGCCCAGGGCCCATGGGAGCATTACCACCACCGCCCATCTTGCCTCGCATGTGGGGTGGGATATAGGATCGACCGCCGGCAGGAGGTTGAGGCGGCGCCTGGTCGTTCAGGCTTAAGCCATTCATGTTGAGTTGTTCCGCCATTTTGACAGCAAACAAAATCGATCGATATGAAGGAGATCAATGCCGAAGTGTACGTAGAAGGCAGACTATGGTGTTGTTTTTATGACAAGTGATTGTTTTGAATTTCTGAGGAAAATTTTTCTCTTCGTGACGTGCCCAGCCGTTTGAACTCTCGATTACAGGAACAGAATTGTCCTTAATGAGAGAATGCAAGATGGCAAGGAACGCAATACAAACAAGAAAGATAGAAAAACGTAAATGCAGTTGGTCCTGAACACACAAGGACCCCTTTACGCGATGGGTTGAAGAAGGATGGAAGGGTAGGTAAGTGTAGGAGGAGGGTGTGGGAGAGGGAAGAGAGAAAGAAATGAAGATGAGACTAGCCCAAGGGCAAAAAATTATTAGGTGCCTGTGGCCTGCAGGCTCAGGCAGTAAATGACGGTATTGGTGGGTGCAGAAGAGATCACTCCAGCGCAGTTGCAGATGGGGGGTACCTTGTAGTGAGCTGGGAGCCTCGTTGAACTACCTAGGTACCTAGGTCGCCTTTCCCAACCTCAGGAAAGAACAACAGAAGCGAACAGGAAACTTGCCCCCGAGAAGAGTGGCCAATAAGAACAGCTTGAGCCAGTTGCTTTGATTATTGTTATTGTGAAGATTTTTTGGGGGCTTTCGTCTAATTTCAAAGACATAGGACTGACTGAAAGAGATGAGCACTGACTTATGAATTTCTGTTTGTAGGTACATTCAGTGTACTTGTAGGTAGGTTAGGTTCTAGTAAGTATAATTTTGCATGCTACGGAGAGGTAGGTACAGCAAGAGGGCCATACCTAGGTACCTATTGGATGAGTGGGAAAGGGGCGTTGACAGACCCACAATCTCAATGGTTCAATGGTTGCTACGCTAAGGCTGTAGCGATCTACCTATCTACAGTATTGATACGCCTTCTCACAGAGAGACCCTCCTGGTACTTTTATTGCAGTACCTATGTACCACTTACCAAGTCACGACGTTAGGTGAACAGGGTGGCGGCACATAGGAAAAAGGAAAAGCTTCGATGTATACCTAGTGCGCAAGTTCCAGTTGTTTAACAAAAAAAAACAAACCAAAAAACACTAACAGTAAAAAGACTTAGGTACTATGTAGGTATAGTGGGTACATGTACATATCTGGGTCTTAATCATATTCCATGAAAACCCAAACAGCAAGAACCTACTACAGTAGACATCTCTATTCTTGCTTCTTAAGTACATGCCTAGGTGCATTATGTAGGCATCTTTGGAAAGTTAGTAGCAGACATCTGTTTTGTTGACAGGGCTTACCTAGTAGTCTACTGTATCTACTTACTCACCGAGTTGCCGAGATACCCTCTGCCTGGGGAGGTAGCAGTGACCATTGCTTACATGTGAGAAGACCATACTACAGGCAGGTATGAGCATGATAGGTTTGCCTGCCCCCCCAAATATGGGCACTTATCCAGTATGTGTACTATTGTAGGGCAGTGTAGGTGGTAGGTATGTAGGTAATTTTCAGCTATCTGTATACCTGGGTACCAATCTACGACTCAAGTACATGACAAAATGTTGTCTGATTTGACTTGCCTTGACAGCTGTGCTAGGAGCAGCTTGTTACTGAATACTCAAATATTTAAAATTTTCTGGATGCCCTTGCAAGAATGCGAAGGCGAGGTTAGCACAAGTCATGAAGGCAATTAAGTCCCGAATCGTGTCAATGTCTTCTTGACTGACGTCGTTTTGCCTCTTCCAGGGATTTCCCTAGGCACAAGGTTTGATACCCCTCGTGTGCCTACCCCTACAACATGTATGGAGTAGTATATATGCATGTAAGCAAGTACTATCCGGTACGTGATGTGTACTTTGTAGGTGAACAGGGAGGATCCAGGGCAGGTACATAACCTACTAGGTACCGGTAGTTATACTAGGCATGCAAGTAGGGAACCTATTTACTTAAAAAGGAACTCTAATTCGCCTGCTAGCACACATCGAGTCATCTCTAGGAGAACAAGTCATAAGTAGGTACTTACTTAGTACACTACCATCAGTACCTACATACATGATGTACTTTATACCTACTACACAGCTAGTAAAGAATACCTATCTACTTAATACTTACTAGACTCTCCTGGTGCTAGTGGTTAATCTACTTAAGCCTTTGGTTGAGATCGATGGGGTTGTGTCTCTATGCTAAGTATATGTAGTACGTAGTGCTCTAATCATGTAAGTGATATCGGAGATACCAGTAGCAGTATGTTGTCCTGTCGAAGCTACCTAGGTAATTAAGAAAGCCGATATCATTCCGAGCCATGCTAATTTTGAGCCGTACATGCAGAAGTGAAGTATACTGCTGGTTGACTGTGTAAGTTGGAGGCACCAGAGTAGATTTCTAACAGTTGTCGCTGACGGCCATATGTCATACTTAAGTACTTTATATACTTTATCTAGGTACGTCAAATGTCTCTGTCCATCAATTGTGACACAAGGAGTGCTTATGGTATTAGCCTCTCGCTCTGCAATTTTCCCCCTAGCAAAACCACTCCCATACAGCTGCTGACTAGAAGAATTGTGAATCTACGGTATTGTAGGTAATCCATATGCTGAAAGTGAGATACAGTTGGTTGGGGCGGTGTATGCATTCCTTTACTATATACTCGGTAGTCACAGAACCCAGAATGGCTAGGCAAAGCCACGTATGGCTTCGAGAGAGGAGAAATGAACGAGATAACAAAATCCCGTTCTATGTTCAATGGCTCATTAGCACTGGTATCCTGACTCCTCACTCAAATACGATATCAGGAGGGAGTCGCATACAGTAGTTATTGCCCTACAGTTGCACTATTTACGTCCAACTTTTCCTTGTGATTTGTGTTCGTTCAGATTCGAGAGGATCTCCAGGCCTGTTCGACTATCGGGGCACTAGAGATGTTTAAAGGTGCCAGGGCGAGATTCATTGAGATACACTAGTCTTTGAGCCCTGAGATATGCTAGTCAAAAAAACATGGCGAAGGGTGGCGAGCTCTGTTTGCTAAGATACGATCTTACCGTTTCATTTGCTCGTTGGCTTGTGATGTACAAAGATGCCAAGCAAGCCAACTGATACTAGATTGCTTAGGCCAGTTTTACCAGTGTGGTTTTCGACATGTATTATCGTCGAGGTGTTCCAAGCCTTTCAATAAACAATTACTATCGCGCTTAACCGTAGACGAAATATAGACAACTTCTTGCAGCAATTCAACGCTTCGAACAAATCACAATTTGCAGTCATACTCGGCCGAGACGAGACAGAAAGTGGACAAATGAGGCTGAACGTTGTTTCCGCCAACGGAAAATGCAACTCAGCTAACTGGAGATAACGATATGACGCAAAAGGATAAGCTAGTCGAGGAGGTTAGAAGCAATAATAAATGCTTGTAGTTTAAACCTAGATAGTATGCCAATGTACGACAGTGCTATACCTAGCTGGCCGAGAACTTAAGTGCGTGGCATAGGCGGAGTTGACACCCTGTGATGGTTAGTCTTCACAACGTCAGAACAGAACCTCTTAGTTAATATTTACAGTAGAATTTCGTCATCATCAATATGAGCTTGTTTGTATCTGAGACAGATAGTGCCTGATATTCTCGTGAGACGTTTACTGTTGTTTGTTCACAATGGGGCTTCCTAGGGAGTTGCACTTTACCCCTCTGCCAGCAAGAATTGCAGATGGGACTATTTTACTTATGCGAGCTTAGGTCGTTCTCGAAATAGAAATTTCATAGCATTATATTTCTTGTAATCTGCTCCTTATCATAATATAACATGGAGAAATCGCGGCATCATTCAGCTGAGGAACCCGAATAGTAGGAATTGTGCTTAGAACGGAGTTGCCCATACCCGACACTGAATTCGTGGGAGTGACAGATCATCAATCACTATCCAGGTTTTCCGTGTTACAGATGGTTCTGAAATTTCCTCTTTCTTCTCTCCCCTCATTCTTCTGGTAGCATTCTTGTTTAAATTAAACTTTGGTCGTTATGTATTTGACCATAATTGGCCATAGATGTAAGGCTTCTACAGCCGGGGCGACTTCGTCGAGGCTCAAGTTACTGACTAGCGCTAGTAGGAGCTGTTATGTACAGTAGGTAGTTGTACCGTACCTGAGGCAAAGCGGGGAATGATGTAACAGAAAGTGCGACATGAACCTCTCAACGCTCCTGTGCTGTAACCTCTTCACACGGAGATCATTGCATCTCACCGCTTGTAATGGGGTATGTGTTGGAATTGACCGAGTGGATCTGGGCAGATCTGGGAAGTCTTGCGTAGGTCATATATAACATACACCGCTAGATGGCCAGCAAGTTACATATTGTCTTGTGGCCTTTTACCTTCATGACATATTACATTGTGATAGCTAAAAAGCCACCCTCTACGGTTACAGTTATCTCAACAGCGGCAAATCTTCAAGTATCACTCAACAGGACTGGTGTCTTAGTGTGATGGACGAATTGATTCCCGCAGAGACGAGTGTCTCAAGGAACCTGGACAATGTTCTCTTTCCTGTGAACTTTGGCATCTGATATGATCATAATGCCAAACATTGACATAACTTCGTTAGGTCATGTACGCTATTCATAATCTTATGCGACCTCTTGCGTTGCTAGATCGTAGTACCTCAGATGGCCGTCTATTCTAGTCTCGACGACTAGAAGTCTCTCACGCCCCCCATAAGGCGAACTTGATTTCACGATCCATTCAATAGCCAGGGTCGCAATTCAAATGTCTGGTAATTCATTAGCTGCGAACATGATCAATTTGAGCCACATAATCCTAATTTTACAGGGGCAGCCCTAGTCTCGTCGCCTTCTCAAGGACATTTCACGACCTTGTCGTCGTTGAACTCGATATCGCGGATGCCGTCCTTAGTCACAGCCTTGACGATCATGCCCTTGAAGTCGATGGGTAACCGTCTCTTCAGCTCATCGGTACACATCTCCAATACTTTAATGCCTTGTACTAAAGTCATGTCTGGATGGTGGTGTTTGTCGAGAATCGAGAGGCAATAATATTGCGCATAGCCGTGGGCGGCATAGGGTACTGGTGCCAGTGCCGCTAGGTAATCCAGCCAGAACAAGCTAGGCTTGTGGGTGATGGGGTCGACGCCTCCCAGAAGAAGATTCACGTTATACGGCTTTCGCGATCGTAAGCTCGTCGCAAGCTGTCCACGTACGTAATGTGCTAGGGCGGTAGGAGACAGGTCCGTCTCGTTCCGCATGGAATAGAGCTGGGCGTTGGCTTGGATGTACTCGGCAAATTGCACTACGTTACGGGTCAGTAAGGGCTAATAGTATAGAGAGCTATAAATGCAACATGCCTGTATCGCCGGCTTCGCCAGAGAACGCTACGAGAGTGTGCTTGTTCAGTTGTCTAGTCTTGTCGTCGGATGCCTTGAGAATAGTAGCTCCCCGCATAGCAGCCTTCGAGGCGGCGATTAAGGTGAAGTCCTTTCCCGTAATACCCAACAGTACCTCCCTAGTAGTAGTGTGTCAGTACGAGCGAGGTATTAGAGAACAACAACAGTGCCTTCCTACATCTTGATGAGAAGCGAGGTGGGAGAGAGTTCCGGGTATTGCTGGCGATTACTGCTCAAGACGAAGCCACTAAAGGCGTGTCTTCTGTTGCCGTAGTTATTGGAATGATATCGAATGCCCTCCCGAAGATGCAAATATGAGAGACGTTGGTAGGGGAATAACGAAGCCTCGAAGATGTCGCAAATGGCGGTGCAAGATGTCACTGAGATATGATCATGTAGACGCGCAAGGGAGCTACAGCCTAGTTGAAGCCGACCTCATCCAAGCTACAGGTATTCCTAGGCAGTACCTGCTATAACAAGTACTGAGATGTACCACTGTGCTGTGGGCAAGCAGGTAAGTACATGTACTGGAGACCCACGAGACCCACTACGTACGGCTCCATAGCAGCAGGGGTTGCTTCTATTCAATGCTGTTATCGCTTATCGGCCGACCTTCCCAGAACTTTTTTTTGAAGAGCTCAAATAGAACGACGATTTGAAGCGCACAGTACATCGTCATTGTGAAGGGAGATAGTCCGTTTCTCTCGGCAGGATGTCTTCATTCTTTTCTGTTCCTGGGACGCAAAAGAAACGCAAACGAGAGAATGATGGCGCTGCAGGCAGGAGAACCGCGCGACCACGCCCCACTACCAAACCGCAAGCTGCTCCCAAGAAGCCAGTCGAACGCGACGAAGAGATATCGTCGGGAAGCGATGACGAATCCCAACCTGCTGAAGATTTCGAGGGATCTGCCTCAGAATCCGACGATGACGATAAGGACGAAACGGCGGCACAGAAAAGGTTGCGATTAGCCTCGGAATATCTGTCACGTGTACGGCAGGAGGTTGAAGCTACAGGCTGGGATGCTGAAGAAATTGTGAGGATGCTCCTACTGTGCCTAGTGTTGTATTGAATATTGATTGAGAGTTTATCTAATTCTTCGATTAGGACAAAGATATGATAGCTGCGCGACTGGTAAATAGCCCCAAACGCGAGCGCTGTGACTATGATCTAATACTGTCGCTTTTAGGAGGATGATGTGGCAGAAAGTAAAGGAAAAGTCTTCCGTCATGTCGCATTAGATATCGATCTCGACTCGAAGCCAACCATGTTCCGAGATAATACGCACACAGTGACGTCTGTCGCTATCTGCTCACCTTATATCTACCTGGGTGAGTGATGTTGATGAATGTCTGGTTTATCTCTTGAGTCGATGCTCTCATGCCCGCCAGGTTCTGGTGCCGTCCTCTGAACCAGCTAATAGCTAACCGTGTGTGTCAAAAGTCACCAAGGACTCGCAATTGATAAAGTACCGTCTACAACCACCACCGGATGAACAATATAAGCAAACTACTCGAAAGAAGCCAAAAAGACAAGCACCGCCGCGGAAAAAGCCCCAGAGGCTTGCTTCGGTGAAAGGGAGACACAAGAGGGCCGGGGATAAGAATTTTAAAGGCCATGTTGGGCAGATACTGTGTGTTGCTGCCAGCGACGACGGGAAATTCGTTGTGACAGGTGGCGATGACAAAAGAATCGTGGTTTGGGATTCTTCTCTCAAGCCGTTGCGTGTCTTTACGCACCACAGAGACTCCGTGACCGGGGTGGTCTTTCGCAGGAACTCCCATCAGTTTTACTCTTGCTCAAAGGACCGTACTATCAGAGTTTGGGTGAGTCTCGGTCTTCGCATTTCTCCTTGTCGCGAAGCTTTCTTCTAATTTTCCACAGAATTGCGATGCCCTCGCCTTTGTTGAGAGTCTGTTCGGCCATGCCGATTCAGCTCTAGATGTCGATGCGCTGGCGTTAGAGCGGCTAGTATCAGTAGGAGCAGTGAGTAACCCTCAGATTCAATCCTGATCCAGCCTGTGGTAGCCCTTTCTGCTTCTTCCTATGCAATTCTACGCAGCTGGAAACCAGACGAACAACTACTGATATGGTATGATTATAGAGAGACAGGACAGTTCGCCGTAAGCAACACCCCCCCAAAGACCTCTACCCTGATCAGATATGTCTACAAATTACAACAGTCGCTTTGAACTTCTTGAATCCGTAAACTATTCTCATTTTCTCTACACATATACTAAAAATGTTCTTAGTCTGGAAAGTGGCGGACGAGACTCAGCTCGTATTTCGAGCTACTTCTGGAACTGGGGATAAGAAGAAGGAAATCAACAGCGGGGTGGTAAGCTTATGATCTTCATATCTCTTCTAACTACGGCAATTTTGATGGTTAACGTACCTGACTTTAGGATCCTAATTCACTTGCTGCAACTGGAAGTCTTGATCGGGTAGCTTATATCGACGAGAGTTATTTTGTTACAGGATCCGATAACGGTTGCATATCTTTGTAAGAGATCCTGATTCGCTAATCTATTTCGTCAATCGAAATGGATCAGCCCGATTCTATAACCCCTAGCCTTCTTCAATTCATACCTGGGCTAGTACTAACCATTGTAGATGGACACTGTCCAAAAAGAAGCCGCTTGACACCGTAGTAAGAGCACATGGATTAGAGGATCCTCTACCTCCATCTGTTGCTAGTTCAGAAGAGAATCCCTCCTCTAAAGTGGTGCCTCCACCTCAACCCCGAGGCATCACGAGTCTTCGAGCATTACCGTACTCTGATTTGATCCTTTCTGGCAGTACTGACGGATTTATTGGTAAGTATATGTTCTCGTTTGTCTTTGGTATACGCTACCTAGTGCGATATTTACTAATTCTTCTGTAGTAAGCACCCCAATATTTTTGTTGTCATCTGATGGTGCATGATGACAACGAAGTGTAGTGAGAAGATAACATCCAGGCTAACGTCCTTTTTCTTGTAGCGTGTATGGAAATTCGACGAAAAAGAAAAGAAACTTGGAAGTGTTGGTATACTTGGGCAGCCAAGTAAACACATGATCACTAACGACCTGAAAACACAAATATTGACAGATACAATGGAGATCAGTAATGGTGAAGAGGAGGATAGCCATGTTAATAATATCAAAAGCGCCAACATGACAGAGGCAAACCCTTATCAGATCAAGGGAGTCGTCAACGATATAGCCATCATATCAAGAGGCAAGATGGGCGACAATGAGACTTTTAGCGTAGTCTGTGCGGTTGGAAAGGAACACCGTCTCGGGAGATTTAGTTCCGATATAAAAGGGGCTAAGAATGGCGCCGTGGTGTTCGAATTACGGAAAAAGTCGAGGAATGGAGTTGCCGAGAGCGTCAACGGAGTTGGGAAGATACCTAAGACAAAGTGAGGAGTAAAACTGACCTTCTCAGAAAATACGGCGCCTCATAAAATAGACGAGAGGTGCGTCATTGGTGTAAAGAGCACTCTCTAGAAGACATTGTACATATATACCATGCTCATTCTCAGCGCGTTACAATTGGCACAATAACACTTGTGGTACATCCACGGTTTCATAATTAATACAAATTATGAGCACGCAAGGCGGTAGTTTGAATCAGTTTCACGTGCCATTCCTTTTGCACGCCCCTTTTGCCACCACGAGTAGTACAAATGTTAAACAGGTTAGAATACTCTAAATCATGACCCCGAAAACTTCCATACCTGTACCTAGACCATATTCACAGAAGGCAAATGGGTAATCTAAGTAAAGCTTCCATCTAGTTGCGCCATGAGTAAAACCCGGGGAAAACCTAATATAATCTATACATGGCGCTCTTCCATCCATTTGACGAATAGTTTCAGAGCCAACGACGGAAATTAGTTTTGCATTCGCTCATTAATGATTTTATACTCCTTTCTCTGCTTAGTTTTTTGCGTGATCGATTGCTTCGCTTTGCCAAAGGCACGAGCCAGACGCTGGAAGACGTAGTTCTCGCATATCCAGGCGAGCACCAGATACACGATGCCCAGAACCAGCAAGGTGAGCTTGAAGGATGAGCTAATACGCGTAAGTTGCATAAGTTTGCGCAGCCAACGAGCCGGTGTGAACACCATGTATAGGACTATAGCCAGTGCGAGCAGGATGGTCGTCATAAAGGGGTCTAACGATAGTCAGCTTAAATGAAAAAACTATGTATACCAGCTTCAAGATTAATCACGATCTACCCTGCGCTTGAAAGGCAAGAAAGGCCGAAGGTAGTGAGAAATGTGGAATGTTCTGAGTTCCCGGGGTACAAAACTCACAATTCTTTGTCATCGGCTGCCGGAAGGGTCTGCCTGCATTAAGTACTACACCGATGAAGATGTACTCGAAACACGATACTAAGAACAGCGCCGTATTTTCTGAATTCTTGATGTTGGACTTCTCGGGGTCCACATAAGGTGGAATAAACCTTGCGAGGAAATTATTTTTAGCAGAATTCAACCATTATACTATAGGACCACTTACCACTCCTGCTCCCGAACGATTAGAAATGATGCGGCTTGAATAAAAATGCATATGATCATTTGACCCAAAAGGGGTGTGAGGATCTTCCGGGATACTAAATTCGCTGTCGGCCGTTTTGTGCTAAGAACCGGGTATGGCCCAGACCAGCCCACTTTACGAACAGTCAGTACTGATTGGCGTTGGCTACATGATACAACTTACTGAAGATAGCGATTGGCAATATCAGCAGAACGTCAATGAAAAGAAACTTAGAAGCGGTCAGTCAATTGAGAACACGTAAATGATATTGTCAATCTAACCTGAAAGTCACCTAAATTCGAAGCGGACGCGTAGAGGAAGCTGACTGATGTGAACTGGATGGCCGAGTAGAGGCTCATATACTTGAAACAACTGAAACTGGTAACAAGTGCAGCTCGACCTTCTCTATAAAGCAGTTAGCATTTGTTGGATTAGAATTGCTCAAGGTGCTCCAAACAAACCTGATCACATCAGGGACACATCGAATGTCGAATATCCTCGATGTGAAGGGGGCAGCTACCGATGCCTCTGCTTCTGACAAGGATATGCCAACGTCTGCGGCTTTTAAGGCGCCACAGTCATTGGCTCCGTCACCACAAAATCCGCAGCAATATCCAATGCTTTGAAGCTTTTCAACCAGTTCGTGCTTCTCATCTGGGGACATGCGCGCGAATATCTTGCCACGAACGAGCATCTGAATTCAAGTTAGTGTATTTCATGGAGACTAGAGCTCTGCGAGTAGACTTTTACCCTTTGCATAACGTCATTGGGAGCGTAGTCGATGATCCATCGAAACACATCACCACTTATTGCGAGTGAGTAGTTCTTGAGATTGGTTATATCATAAGGCAGAGAAGCATCGCGCTGAACCGGTACAGGTAGTGGCTATTATGACAAGTTTAGTAACGATATTTCCAATCAACGGGGTCCCAAACCATACAAGTAAAGACCGGCTGTCGAGCTGATATGCAGAATCATCAATGCTCTCCCATTGAAGGCGTGCATTTGGGTCCCGGGAATTGCCTTCTGCAAAATGTGGTACAAAACAATGGGCATTTCGATCAACTAGGTCGCAGTTCCTGGCCACACTAATAGCTGTCAAGATATTGTCTCCTGTGACCATGATGGAGCCGATGTTGGATTGGTTGAGTTCCTTCAGAACTGCAGCTGTGGTTGGTTTCAGCTTATTTTCAAATACAATGAATCCGACGAATTCTAAGTCCGTCTCAACGTCTTCCCGGGTCATTTTCTGGGCTTTCACCCAGGACAGCTTCTTCATGTGTTTTGTGGCACATGCGATAACACGATAGCCCTTATGGGTATAATACGACAAAAGTTCGTCATAATCATCAGGAACTAGGCATGTCAGCTCTCAGTCAGAGATACTTGAAAGGAGAAATAATAGAGCATACAGCTTTCGGGTCGACAAATGTCCTTCATGCACTCTGGTGCGCCCTTCACATATACGTCTCCACGTTGTTGACCGAAACCTCGAACGATGACGCTAGCTCGACGTAAATGAGAGACGAATTCGAATGATCTCAAAACCCCAAGTTCCAGGGGAGTCTGTAAGAAAGTTATATATCAGGATAAATCGATGTGATAATAAGCGCACTTACGTTTATGCCGTTGATGTTGGCATACTCATCTGTATCATAGAGCGCTGCAGGTGGAGGCCGTGCGATAGAAGGAGAGAGTCCGCCGTGTTCATCATCTTCTTGGTCACCTCCACCTTGTGTGCCTTCTTCAAAGAGCCATCCCGTGAACTCGAACATTTTCAAGTCTAATGGGTCACCGACAAGTTCACCGTCAACAGAGCGAAGAGAATGGCATGTGGCCATAGTAAAAAGCGCTGCGCGACTGACATCATATTTGTCTCCCGGACTGCAAGCGAGATTCGTGTAAGGCACTAATGCGGCGGCTTTAGAGACGACGTCGTCAAATCGTTTCGTCGACCGGGATACCAGTCTAACGCCAAGAACGTCTAGCCCATCTTCTGTGAGAGTACCTGTCTTGTCGAAGCACATAACATCGAGCTTGCCCCCTACATTGACCCTTTGTGGACTGATACAAAAGATCTGCTTTTTCTTCAGGCGACTGAGAGCAAAGTTTGTTCCTATGGTTAAAGTAGCTGGCAAGGCTGGTGGAACTACAATAGTTATCAAATCCAATGCTCTGACAATGATCAAATGCCAGGCTAGCCCGAGACGGATAAAATTGATGAGAGAGACGATGAAACCTAACAGTGCTATACATGCCATAACTGATATGTATCGAAATGAGTCTCGATAAAATTTGAAGCCTGATGGCTTTGGGAATAACATAGATCGTACTAGAGAGCCTTTAGTCGTATTGAACCCTGTTCGTACAACCATGGCGAGTGCAACTGCTTCGTCGTCTCTGTTGTCATGTGGTCGCCTTGCACGTATTATCTTTGTCCCACAAAAGAGAAAATGGCGGGCCGCTTCAGGTGATATCGTTGCAGCACTAAGGTTCATAATTTGAAGCGTCTCGTTGGTGGCCGGAATCTTGGAGACCGGGACAGACTCCCCCGTGAGCATACTCTCATTTACTATGCAATCCCCGCTTAACAGGAGACTGTCACTGGGGAACTGCGTGAGACTAGGGTCGCTAATCTCATATACGTCACCAGGGACTAAGTCGCTCGAGGAAACGTTTGCCCCTATATTGTCATGTTAGAAAACTGGATAGCAAGAACGGCAGATTAACCTACAGAAGCCATTGCGAAGAACACGCACATCGCACTCAAACCTAGATATTTCGCGCAAACGCCGCATAGTCTAATTCTATCAGAAACCGAGGTGGTACAGTGAGACAGCATAGATGTGAAGTACTTACGGCACGTGTCTCCACGAGCGTTGTAATGATGCTTCCTGCAGACATGACGAATATGCAAATAGCGTAGTAGTAGTACTGATCCAGCGACCAGAGAATGAGACTTGCAATTTGAAAAACGTAAAAGGGATGAAAGACCTGATTTGCCATGTTAGACTCTACCCTCATCTTCGGGGTTAGTAACGCACCTCATCTACAAGCAACTGAGCGACCGACTTTTGTTCAATATCTATGATGTTGGCACCAAAAACATGTTCTCGTTGGTCTTTCTCATCTCCATCGATACCGGATCGAAGATCCCGAATTCTGGTCCAGTTTGGATCCTTCCAGCCGTTGCATACAACAAATTTATCTTTCAATGGGTGAAAAAAGAAGCGAACATAGCGGTAGTCGAGAGTTTGTAGTTCGCTCATAATGGGGTCACCATCATCTTCGAGCAACTGTGCGTACAATTTCTCTGGAGCTCCAAATACAGTAGAAAGGGGTCTGTCGTATGGCTGACGCTTGACAGTTAAGGTTACCATCTCACCCCACTGGTTCTGTACAGGTTCAGGTTAGAACTCATAGTAGATATGCCGTTCAAGGGATGTAGGATACTGACTTCGAGGACAACCCACTGACAGTCACGAAGTGGACAAGGCTCCCCAATCAACTTGACTTGCCATCTAGGCAGCCAGCGCAGAAGCAAGTATGCAAGGCCGAAGGTGATCAAACAAAGGCATAGATAGGCAAAGTACCCAGTACTGCTAGTCCGAAAGCCTGCTACCACAATTGTAAGGTCTTCGCTAACAATATGCAGTTTCTGAGTGACACGGCCATGACCACGGTTGCTCGAGTCGGTCCTAGCGCTATCAGTTCGAAGAAGTCGCGCATGAACAGAAGACCTCGATAAGGTCGACGATCTTCTATGCATAGCATAGCCTTGGTTGCTCTCAATTTCGATTTCACTATCCGAAGGTTCGTCTGCCTCCGGACCTAAGTCAAAAGGGATCTCATCGATGTCGAAGGGAATAGCTCCGTTTTCAACATATTCCTGCTCGGCATCGGGCTCGTTCTCTTCCTCGTTATAGTAGGTGAAGCTGGCAGTTGAATCGGCGCGCTGGCGACGGTGGGAAAATGCAGAGGTGCTCGTCGGCAAGCTTTCGGCGACAGGTCCAGAGAACAACTAAAGAAGAGAATTAGAAGACCGACATCAATAATATTGCAAAAGCGCTGCACACCTCATCCTGAGCCATTTCTACATCCTCAAAAACACTAGCATTGCTGTGGTTGGAGCCGAGCCTATATAGAGGAGCGACCTCGGGACGCCTCCCGGAGACACTAACTTCGTCGTCGTCCATGGCTGAAGAAGACTCTTCACCGCTGCGCCAACCCTTAGCCAACGTTCGGGGGCCAGCGGTGTTTAGGACCAATACCGAGACACCTCGCTCTTGGACTTGCGGATGGTCTTCTGAGGTCGTTACTAGATATGAGCCCTGGAGTTTCCGAGGGGTCTGTTGATATCGTCACGATAGAACATTGGAGCTGTGCAAGACGTGACGCTAGCCGAAATGAGTACCTACCACAGCTGCCACTTTACTTTACCTTTTTGGTAAGGCCTAAGGCATCGGGTCTGATCTCATAGCTCAATGCCTGTGCAAAATAACTTGAGACTGGAATGCGCAATGCTCTGGATAGTTAGAACAATCGTTACCCGACGTACCTGGATATACCTAAGTAATACAGAATAAGCATTGCTTTCTAAGAACACTACCTACCTCTCGCCTACCTCTGAATTCAATAGACAGGCTTGATGTTATACATGCTTATCCAATATTCTGATAATGCAAGGCGATAAGAACCATGTATCTATCGATAAGAATCCAATAACAATACCTCATCACTCATGGTTAGGTAAGATTCCAACAAGGTCAAGCATGAAGGCGCTTGTACTTTATGTACATACCTGTACTTCAATTACCTAGGTACCTACATATATACGTGGGGCAGTCTTTTGGTGGGGTAAATTCTTCGCATTGCCCATTCTAGAAAGACGACGGGAAGCCTTGACAGTTAGGCTTGGCTTGCTCTAGATCTTGACCGTTTTTTGCTTAGATGTCGAAACCACAATGCACATTGCAGGATTACGAGTAAATGAACACGACCAAAAACTAGGATCCCTTTCGATCTGACCTATCATTTTCGAAAGGCGGAGACAGGTGGCATGCAGAATTGGGTAGGGCCAGACCGCAGAGGCAGCCTATGACGTGCGATTTTGTCCATCATCTTGTCCCTCGGTGGAAATGCGAAACTGGGAATGGGTGCATATGATTTGTATGCGTGTAGGGACATGAATGGCGGTGGCTCTGAGAACAATTCACAGTTCATTCTGTCTGATTCCTTCCCCCGGTAGATCCCCGGTTCGCTGCCCGCTGTTCGTTGCCTCGTCTTGCGTTACATAGGTGCCCAGGTGCGAGTTGGCATTTGGTCCAACGTACTAAGGTGCCATTCAATGAGAGTTGGCCGACCACAACCACAAGGCTTCATACAACGTAGATAGGTGCCTAAAATCGGCGCAAGATGTAGGAGGCGGTAAAGATGGCATTTTATCAAGCTCCAAGGCGATGAATCCTTCCTTTCTCCTAAGTTATTGCTAGCAAGCGCTTGGGTTTCTTCTCAAACGCAAGAGAAGCGCATACTTTATGGGGCTACACTGGTCCAACGGCCATCAACGTACGGATACAGGCAGGTAGCGACGAGACAAGAACATCTTTACCTAGGTATGTACCTACTTACATACTCCAATACCACAGCTATCCAAGGAGCTGTTCAGCTATCACACATGTCTCTTCGATCATCGTCGATGGCTGTGAATTGGCCTGCAGACTGCCACTAAGGGTCTCGCTTTCTCCCCACCTCAACGCTTCACCAAACCTACCCACTACCACGTACCCAACGAACTGCTGGGTACAAGGCACTAGGTATCAGAATAGAATGCGCCCGTGTTATCTACCTAGGTACACATATATGTGCATTCCACGTATAATCCACGTACTCTACCCCCTGAGAGTTCTCTTTGGCTTGAAGTATAGTAGGTAGGCACTCTGAGTGTAGGAACTATATATTCATGGAGATGATTGAATGGATGGTCTTGATTTACCCTGCGGCTGGCATCAGTTAAAGGTTGAGACTTGAGCCAGATGTCCGGTACCTAATCGTAGCACTGCCCGCTGTCCCTTGTCCATTGAATCCCACCTAACGTGAATGTGTGTGCACTTGGTTGTTGGGAAATACATACTTCGTAGGTAGGTAGGTAGGCAGGTACTTACTTACACATGTAGATAATGTAGAGGGGTAGTAGTAGTAGGTAGCTAACTTAAACATTCATGTCCCATCCTCCTGTTTTCTTCCACGTCTGTCTCCCCCTACTCTTCTCCTCCTTGTCCTCTCTTCTCTTCAGCCGTCGACTCTCCCTGGTTCTCTCTCTTTTCCAGCTATCTCTGTTGCCAGCTAGCGGCGGGAGATTTGGCCTTATCCTCACTACCTACCTGTAGTACCAAGACCTAGCTGAGTGGTACTTGACCCTACCACTTTAGTGCCTCCAGGCCTACCGTAGTGCTAGCTGCTGTGTGCACATCGCAGGCCTAGCCAGACTTGCCAGAACTTGCCAGACCCGCCCGCACTTCCTACCGCCTCCCACTATCAGAACCCTCTATCCCTGCCTTTTTTCTCCGCCACTTTTTTTCTCTACCCTCTTTCTCCCAACATTATTCCAAACCATCGTCTCGACACGCTCGTAATCAAGTGCCTTCACCATGGCTGAGCCCATCAAGAACCGCAGGCCAGAGGTTGCCGCTCCGTACGTACACAATCCGATTATCGTGCGTGCGCGTTGTGGTGCAGATGAGACAAACTGACGCTGGATTTTGACATACAGTACCCCGCAGAACACGCCTGCCACCAATGCACCCATTTCCTCCCACGCCCAACAACCAGCCGTCGCCAGCATCAAGGAGGGTGAGTTGTCTAATTATCTCCCTCTTGTCTTATGTTTTGCCTCGACTAATCTCTTTTTGCCCAGAGGACTTGGACCGTGCTGCAGCCGCTTCCATTTTCGCCCAGAACCCCAGACTGGTACAGATGATTCAAGGCCGCCTTGGTTCTCTTGTGGGTCGGTCTTCTGGCTATATCGAGTCGCTTCCTGCGACTGTCCGCCGACGTGTTGCCGGCCTCAAAGGCATCCAAAAAGACCACTCAAAACTTGAGGCTGAATTTCAAGAAGAGGTACTTCAGCTTGAGAAGAAGTACTTCGCCAAATTCACACCACTCTACGAGAAGCGCGCTCAGATTGTCAATGGCAAAGCTGAGCCTACTGATAAAGAGGTCGAGGCTGGAGAGGAGGACGAGGATCAGAAGGATGCCGATAGCAAGACTGAGGATAAATCAGAAGAAACCACTAACGTTTCTGGCATTCCCGAGTTTTGGCTATCTGCTATGAAGAACCAGATTTCTCTTGCCGAGATGATCACTGAACGCGACGAGGGTGCTCTCCGCTCTCTGACAGATATCCGAATGGAATATCTCGACAAGCCTGGCTTCCGCCTCATCTTCGACTTTGCACCTAACGACTACTTCACCAACAAATTCATCACAAAAACGTACTTTTACCAGAACGAGAGCGGATATGGTGGTGATTTCATTTATGATCATGCCGAAGGCCACAAGATTGATTGGAAGGAAGGTCAAGATCTTACAGTCCGTGTTGAAAGCAAAAAGCAAAGGAATAAGAGTAAGCAAGCCTGTTTCCACAAATTGCAGGAATTTCTGACTAATTCCCCTATTAGACACAAAGCAAACTCGAATTGTTAAGAAGACTGTACCGACCGAGTCGTTTTTCAACTTCTTTTCTCCTCCTAAGCCTCCAACAGACGACGAGGAAGATGATGCCTCTAGTGACATTGAAGAGCGCCTAGAGCTTGATTACCAGCTTGGTGAGGATATTAAGGAGAAGCTAATTCCACGTGCCGTCGATTGGTTCACGGGTGAGGCTTTAGCATTTGAGGAGCTTGATGAGATGGAGGACGACGGCTTCGTAGACGACGAGGACGATGAGGATGATGATGACCTCAGCGACGACCGCGATGATGACGAGGAGGAGTCGGATGACGATGTATGTCTGATCTGATCCCTTCTGCCTTTTTTTTTTTTTTTTTCATTTACCAACTAACCACTTATCTATAGGATGATGGTGCGAAGCCGAAGCAAGAAGCTCAAGAATGCAAACAGAGCTAGAGGAACCCTTATCTATGAGGCTTCCTCATTGCTGTCCAGACGAATTAATTACAGGATGGGAAAGTCCTATCTATTGTCTTATCCTCTCTAGGTTTGTCGCTCTTGCAAGCCCCTCGATGGCGCCCATGATCGGTTAAACTGCATGCCGCAGGGGCCATGTTGGTCTGCGACGCCTTTTCCAAAAATAGACTGGTATTCCATCAGGGTTCAGGCTGTTTTCCAAAATCTCGTCCTGTATTGATGGTAGTTTTCTATCGAGTTTTACCCTAGCAATGGTTATAATGCCGGGGGTAGCTGGGTTGGCCGGAGAAAGTGGCAGCACGTTGTCCAAAGAGACATAGGGATGGGCCACACAGATTCTTGAGGTCGAACTTACAGAGCACAACTGAGATGCTGGCCTATCTCCGTCCAACAGAGCGCCTCAACAAAAACCGGATGACTTTGCATATATGTATGTCTACACTGCGCCCGGGCTTGAAAACTAATTCAGCTTTGTCCGTGGTTAATGTTAGCTCAACCTCCTGTCTATTTAACTGCCGTGATAGAACAGACACTGTGTCAGGTAGAAGCAACGAATACGTGAAAATAACGATGTTGTATACAGTGAATGAGTCAGACTTTTCAAGTGCAAACGGCCACTAGACTATGTTTAGAGAGTGCCCAGAGAATATAAGGTAATTTAGCGATTCTGGTAGGCATTTGTAGGGTAAGGGGGTAGGTAGTACTACCAGTATTACCAGACATGGCGACAGAACAATTTTGTTGGCGATTTTCGGCGTACACACTAGTTGCTGGATAGAATACTGGAGTCAATTCGAGGTTGATTGCTACAAGTACCCACAACTATTTCCATTAGCGGTTTTGCCAGCCGCAAAATGAGGCTCCGATGTCGACCCGTGGGCCCGTGGGTGTTACTCACCTCTCAAGTCGTCATATAGGATGGGGCCGTTGTAGCGAATCAGAGCTGATGACAAAGCAGAAGTCTAGAGGCAGCAGGCGAACCTGAGCGAGAAAGATACCTCTCAAAGCAAAGTAGGTACCCAGCTGGGCGAGCACTACCACTCTAGACTGTGAGACCCTGAGAGAAACCAGCAAGGAAAAAAAACTATATTTTCCGGCTTTCCCTGACACAACAGTTCCACCAACCCCTTAGTTCATTCAGACTTACACAGCCCAGATAGTCAAGAAGGGTATCTTCCAAGGCTTAGACTAGCCTTCCTACCTTTCCTGCCGTTGGCCCTCCACGTTTTAACCATGGCGCAAGCACGGAATATCTCGAATGCCCACGTAGGTGGTGACTCGCAGAGGCATCTGAGCGTGTCTACTTCGCCCACAGCGGTGCTCCAGTCCCCGCTTTCCAGCTTTGGCGGGGCACTTGGTCGGCGAGGAGTACCGAAACAACTCAAACCCTTCAACACTCAAGACATCAAGATCCTTTTACTGGAAAATGTCAACCAGAGTGGAAAAGACATTTTGACTGCCCAGGGCTATCAAGTCGAAGCTTTAAAAACCTCGTTGCCCGAAGACCAGCTAATCGAGAAGATAAGGTCATTGTCCTGGACTGTTTATCTGTGACAGGCAACTAACGCAATACAGAGATGTGCATGTCATTGGTATCCGATCCAAAACCAAGTTGAACGAGAAGGTCTTGAAGGAGGCCAAAAACCTACTTGTTATTGGATGTTTCTGTATCGGAACCAACCAAGTCAACCTTGAATATGCAGCTCGTCATGGCATTGCTGTCTTCAACTCACCCTTTGCCAACTCACGTAGTGTGGCTGAGCTGGTTATTGCTGAAATCATCACACTTGCGCGTCAGCTTGGTGACCGTTCCAACGAAATGCACCGGGGTGCTTGGAATAAAGTGAGCAACAAGTGCTGGGAAATCAGGGGCAAGACACTAGGTCCGTTGTTTCTTTCCCTCTGCACCCTGATTGCCGATGCTGACTTTCCATAACCGGTTAGGCATTGTGGGATATGGACATATTGGATCTCAGTTGTCAGTTTTGGCTGAGGCTATGGGTATGAACGTCATCTACTACGATGTCGTGAGCTTAATGGCGCTGGGTACCGCCCGACAGGTGCCGACTCTTTCTAGCCTCCTCAACCAATCCGATTTTGTCACTCTACACGTGCCTGAGCTCCCCGAAACTAAGAATATGATTTCCGCTGCTCAACTAGCTGAGATGAAGGACGGGTCTTACCTGATCAATGCGAGCCGCGGGACGGTGGTGGACATACCGGCTCTGATCAACGCCATGCGAAGCGGCAAGATTGCGGGCGCCGCTCTTGATGTTTTCCCAACAGAACCTCGTGCCAATGGTGACTACTTCAACAATAGTTTGAACGGCTGGGACGAAGACCTTCGGAGCGTAAACAACATTATTCTTACGCCCCACATTGGTGGCAGCACCGAGGAAGCCCAACGAGCAATTGGCATCGAAGGTACTCTTTCCTTGCCATATTCCGGCCTCTCTGTGCTAGACTAACTGTGATCCCAAAACAGTGGGTGACGCACTTGTCCGTTACATCAACCAGGGCGTCACGATAGGTAGCGTCAATATGCCAGAGGTCAACCTTCGTTCTATGACATCTGAAGAATCAGACTACGCTAGAGTCAGTTACTCGCCTGTTTCTCTTCCCTGCCTTTCCATAGTTTTTCATGACGAACACAAGAACAAGCTAACTAGTTTGCAGGTAATTTTCATTCACCAGAATGTCCCAGGTGTACTCCGTAGAGGTAAGACGTAAAACCCGCGTTACTCTATCAGCCGCTTACCAATGTGATAGTAAACGAGATCCTCGGCGAACACAACGTTGATAAGCAGATTAGCGACAGCAGAGGCGATGTAGGACTCTCCTTGCAAATCATTTGGCACACAGATACTAATGTCCTTACAGTGCGCATACATGATGGCCGACGTGAGCAACGTTCAGACCAGTGATCTTCGAGATATTCTTGAAAACCTCGAGGCTCTGAGCTGTATGTACCCCTATTCCAGCCTTAGTAGATCGTTGAGGCTAACCTATTCGTTGCAGCTCGTATTTTGACACGTGTATTGTACTAAGCCGGGATGAATCATGATGGACAACGGGCGGAGTTTGACAAGCGGTTTATTTGCAGTATTCAGTAATTCAACTTATATGGCATAGGAGCAACTAAAAAAAAAAAAAGGGTTGCAAAAAACGGTAACAAAAGAAGCATTGACTTGCATGGTTACGAGGTAGACATGGTTCAACATGATACTGGAAAATCAAAACTAAGGGGCGAAATACTAGACGAAAGGAAGAAAACTACACATAGGATGTTCATAGTTTTTTTTTTCTCATTCTCTTCCACAATGTTCAAGAAGTATAAGGAAGCTCCCATTGGTAATCGCATAAACGTAGGTAAATTGGTATAATTTCTAAGGTTGTGACCATCTACTTAGTACAAAAGGGGGCTCAGTGCACCAGTGCACCTACAATATCTATTTTCAGTAACGACGACACCAATAAATAATACCGAGCGTAGTAGTGAGATAGACGCCTTTGGTCGGATGCTTTGATGAGCAAAGCGAGAGGCAGAGAAACAAAAGAACGAGAGGAAAAAAAAAAAAAAAAAAAAAAAAAAAAAGAAGCACCGGCACATACCGGAAGATGAGCCTAGCCACTCATCACGAGGCAAATCCAAGAAAAACAATTGATCGACGAGTTCGAGCAAATCAACACCTTAAAATTACCCCAGTGGACAGGGCTGGTTGGATCCGGTCGGTTTGCGCTTGCAACGGCGGGAAAGGCCGCCAAGATGCGGTCCCTACACAGGTCTCCAACCTCGTCCAAGCTGTTTGGGAACCCCTGCAGAATATGGTCGTACCATTGAATCCGTGGCCGGCCCTTTCCTGTGTCGGGTAGGTATCCTGAAGAAAGAAAAAACTAACATATAAATGTCGCCCGCCACATTCTTCTTTTTCTTTACCCCTTTTACATTATCGCCTTGCGAAGGAAACCTTACCACTGTTAAGTATATGCGATGGTCTTCACAGTTTCAAAATGGGCTGCTTCAAGACCCAAGCTGACGACACACTAGATACATAGCAGCATACCTGCACATGTGTCATGTCTGTGCTATTCGTATGAATTACGTATCCTCTATACGAAGCAGAATCTAGCTTAAATGTTAATGCTAAGAAAATGCGTAGAAGATAGGTGTCGCACCATATGCCATAATAGAAATGGAAGCATTAGGTTGGTAGTTGGCCACACCATCAAATGCATAACTGCATCATCTCCGGGCGGTAGTATCCCTTTAACTGCCACGAACGCTCCAATACTTTACCTACCCAGTTTTAATCACGTGCTATGTCTCTTGTTACCCCTACTAGTAGATCAACATTGCGAATACCTAGGTTTCCCCTGACATGACGTCAAATACTATGTAGCGCCTTGTACCTAAAGCTATGTCTAAGTAAGATACAAGTGCAAGAAATTCTAATGGTTTTAATTGGATATTTAAAGTCTTGGCAGGTATTGGAGCGTTCGTGGCAGTTAAAGGGATAGCCAATGCCCAGATGTATCCTACCAACATGCCTTTATATTCTGAGGACGCTGTCTCCAGCTGATACAGCTATACATGGGGTACTAATCTTAAAACCGCAAATCTGATCATATGAATTATACCTACCTGGTCTACATACTTAGGCACCTATTCGATGATACCAGGTATTGTAGAGTAGGTAGATACAGGTGGGGAAAATACCATGAACATGCAATAAAAAAGTATAGGTAATCAGAAATGAATGCGCTAGGTAAATAAAGAAAGGGGAACCGAAATAGAGTAGCAATGCGAGTCTTAAGTAATCTGTCATCTCCTGGTATGCGCAGGATGATAAGACCCAATCCCATGTCGAGACGAAGGGAGGAGGGAGAAAAAAAAAAAAAAAAAAAAAAAAAAAAAAAAAAAAAAAAAAAAAGGGTTGTATCGGTGAGGTGAGTTGCGCACGAGCTCAGCCGCGGAGAAAAGGATTAACCACCACCACTGGCCTGGCAGCTTTTTGGGGCATATCGATGACGAAACAAATTAATTGCAGAGAAGTTGAAGAGTACCTACCTAGGCATGGATATCCTCATCGGAAGGAATTATGTACCTAATATGAAGCGGTGAGAAGCACAAATGCATTGGACATTGAGTGGTACTTACTTCCTGTCGTCCCTACCTACCTACCCCATTACCACTGTACCATGCAAGCAGGTACCAGCCCACGCAGTGTAGTACTGCCTACAGCACCTCAGAGCGGCATGCACAGGTGGTGGGCGAGATAGATGCAGGATTGGTTGGCACTTCTTTAGCGTACCGATGCGTGCAAAATGCTGTTTCCAGTAGGAGTGTCGAGAGGCAGGGACCATCAGGAAATCGGAAATCAAGTACACAAGGCAGAGTTGGTACACAAGGAGTGCATTTTTATTTGATGCGAATAAGGTAGGTACCTAGGGAAGCATGAAAATCAACATATTATGATATAGGTAGTGTACTTGTCTCTGTCAGAGTCAAGTGGCCATACTGTATGGCTATTACACTACTTCATTACTCAAGTAAACCCTCCGATATCCCGAGGGCTTTCTACTTAAGTAGCTTATAGGTACTGCTATAGCTATTATACGCTTACTAGTGCTAGCTCGTTCTCCATGCCTGGGGTTACCTAAACAAATAGGTACTTAATTAAGTAGATGTGTTGTACAACTGATCTAATACACACACTGGCATAAGGCCCTGATCACTTTTTTTCGAACCCCTGTTTCTCAGTGCTAGTGCTAGCCTCAAACAGGCTACGCGCTCTCCCTTTATCCCCCATATCATCTTTCTTTCCCAAAGGCTGGTAATGAGTGAATGGAGTCAGTCCTTCGAGCTCTACACTAACCTGTCACGAATACACACCAGCCATCCTCGTTCTCAAGCCGTTGTTTGTTTTCTTGATCTCCCGTGTCTTCGAGAACAGACTCTCGACTTGCTCAGATACCCTCCGTCGTCTCGCGTCACATAGTGTACCAACCCTGAGACGATCCATCCTTGTGGCCGTGGCACGCCGCTCCTTTCAGTAGATACCTCGTGGATCTCGATAACCTCCTATCCTATACCATATCTACCCGGATGCCTTCGACTCTGGCTTCCGCCTAACTCCCTCTCCGACTTCTGATTCCTCGCGACGCGCCGCGCTAATCTTCAATCTTAATCTGTTCTATAACTTCTGAACAGCCTCCCATGTCGCATAGCTACGATGTTGGTACAAGAGCTTGGCAGCCTGATGCCACCGAGGGCTGGGTGGCATCCGAGGTTGTCGACAAGTCTATCGACGGCGACAAGGTCAAGTTAACTTTCAAGCTTCAAAATGAGGAGGTACGCCAATTCCGCTCAGCCGAACGGTCTCTTGAAGAATAACCCTGACTGATCACCGCCTCTCTAGACTAAAGAAGTCGTGGTGTCCGCAGACGCTCTGCAAAATGGCAACGACCCATCCTTACCGCCCCTGATGAACCCTTCCATGCTTGAGGCCAGTGATGACCTCACGAATCTGTCCTATCTTAATGAGCCCGCTGGTATGCTCCCTATCAAACCTGCGTTCCGCCCTGCTTATAAACACTGGTGCTAATCTAGTCATTATATAGTTCTCCAAGCGATTCGGCTTCGATACGCCCAGAAAGAGATATATACATACAGTGGTATAGTGCTAATAGCTACAAATCCTTTTGCCCGTGTCGACTCGCTCTATGTTCCGGGCATGGTTCAAGTATATGCTGGTAAACAACGTGAAACGCAAGCACCCCATTTGTTTGCCATCGCAGAAGAAGCTTTCATGTAGGTCTACACCCTTGCATCTAAAAGGCAAGCGTGACTTACACACGATACAGAAAAATGATAAAGGATGGCCGGAATCAGACTGTTGTTGTTTCTGGAGAGTCTGGTGCTGGAAAGACAGTCAGTGCCAAGTATATCATGCGTTACTTTGCAACAAGAGAATCTCCGGACAACCCAGGTGGCCGGTCTAAGAAGGGCGCGGAGGCGATGAGCGAAACGGAGGAACAAATCCTGGCGACCAATCCCATTATGGAAGCCTTTGGTAATGCTAAGACCACCCGTAACGACAACTCCTCGCGATTTGGAAAGTATATTGAGATCATGTTCGACGACAAAACGAATATTATTGGCGCTCGCATTCGGACGTACCTTTTAGAAAGGTCACGATTGGTATTTCAACCCCTAAAGGAAAGGAACTACCACATCTTTTACCAGTTGTTAGCCGGAGCTACAGATAAGGAGCGACAGGAATGGGGACTCTTGCCTGCTGAGCAGTTTGACTATCTCAACCAAGGCAATGCACCTGTGATTGATGGAGTTGACGATAAGGCCGAGTTTTTGGCCACGAAGAGCTCCTTAAAAACAATAGGAGTCGACGAGGCCCAGCAGGCTGGTATCTTCAATCTCCTTGCAGGTCTTTTGCACCTTGGCAACGTTAAGATTGGTGCCTCGCGAAACGACAGTGTTCTAGCTCCTACCGAACCGTCTCTGCAACGGGCTTGCGCAATTTTAGGGATCGACGCTACTGACTTTGCGAAGTGGATCGTGAAGAAACAACTTGTTACTCGTGGCGAGAAGATTATCTCCAATCTCACGCAGCAACAGGCTCTTGTTGTTCGTGACTCCGTCGCCAAATACATTTATTCGAGTTTGTTCGACTGGCTAGTTGAGATCATCAACAGGAGTCTCGCGGCCGACGAAGTCCTAAGTCGTGTTAGTTCATTCATTGGTGTTCTAGATATCTATGGTTTCGAGCATTTCGCCAAGAATTCATTTGAGCAGTTCTGTATCAATTATGCCAATGAAAAGCTGCAACAGCAGTTCAACTCACACGTCTTCAGGCTCGAACAGGAAGAATATGTTCGAGAGCAAATTGATTGGACGTTCATTGAATTCTCCGACAATCAGCCTTGTATTGATCTCATTGAAGGGAAGCTTGGAATTCTGTCATTACTCGATGAAGAATCGAGACTACCAATGGGCACAGATGAACAATTTGTTACCAAGCTGCATCATAATTTTTCCGGCGACAAGAACAAGTTCTACACAAAGCCCCGTTTTGGCAAGTCAGCATTTACGGTATGCCACTATGCCATTGACGTGACTTATGAGTCAGAGGGCTTCATTGAAAAGAACAGGGATACAGTCCCTGATGAGCATATGGCAGTATTACGTGCATCAACAAACAAATTCCTCAGCCAGGTATTGACAGCGGCCTCAGCGGTACGTGAGAAGGATGTTGCATCTTCAAGTTCGGCTGTTGCCAGGCCCGCAGCTGGGAGGAAGATCGGAGTAGCTGTTAATCGCAAGCCGACTCTCGGTGGCATCTTCCGCTCATCGCTCATCGAACTTATGACTACTATTGGCAATACGAACGTCCACTACATCCGTTGTATCAAGCCCAATGAAGCAAAAGAGTCTTGGAAATTTGAGGGACCCATGGTTCTTAGCCAGCTTCGAGCATGTGGTGTTCTTGAAACTATCCGCATTAGTTGTGCCGGATACCCAGGTCGCTGGACGTATGAGGAATTTGCTCTGAGATACTATCTGCTGATCCCATCTTCCAGATGGCAGACTGAGATTCGGCAATTGGTAACGGAAATTTTATCGCAGGCTCTAGGCACCCTCACGGGCACAGGCAGCGATAATTACCAGCTAGGTCTGACAAAGATCTTTTTCCGTGCTGGTATGCTCGCGCACCTGGAGAATTTACGACAGAGCCGTATGAGCGAGGCCGCCATAATGATTCAAAAGAATCTCAGGGCCAAATACTATCGACGCAAGTACCTGGAGGCACGCGAGTCCATCGTCGCCTTACAAACGCTCGCGCGTGCCTACGCCACAAGAGTCAAGGCACAAGAGCTTCGCACAGTCAAGGCAGCCACTACAATCCAAAGAGTCTGGAGAGGGCAGAAAGAGCGAAAATCATTTTTGCGCATTCGCAACAACGTTATTCTTGCTCAAGCAGCTGCCAAGGGTTACCTGCGGAGAAAGCAGATCATGGAGACACGTGTGGGCAATGCTGTCATTCTCATTCAGCGCGTGTGGCGAGCGAGACGACAACTTCGTGCTTTCAGGAGTTATCGCAAAAAGGTTGTCTTGGTCCAAAGCTTGTGGCGAGCAAAACAAGCGAGAAAGGATTACAAGAAGATGCGAGAGGAGGCTCGCGATCTAAAACAGATCTCATACAAGCTAGAAAACAAGGTGGTCGAACTTACTCAATCATTGGGTACGATGAAATCGCAAAACAAGACCCTCGTCAGCCAAGTAGAAAATTACGAAAGCCAGATCAAGTCATGGAAGAGCAGGCACAATGCTCTCGAGACTCGCACGAAGGAATTACAAGCAGAGGCCAATCAGGCTGGAATTGCCGTCGCGAAGTTGCAGGCGATGGAAGAGGAAATGAAGAAGTTGCAACAAAACTTCGACGATTCTACGACGAGTATAAAGAGGATGCAGGAGGAAGAGAGGGAACTCAAAGAGTCCTTACGTACTGCCAACGACGAACTGGAACGTATCCGCGCGGAAACAGCGCATCACCTGAACGAGAAGACAACTCTCAGAGAGCAGCTCACCCAGATGGCCGAGGAATTGGAGCTCGCCAGACGCTCTGGCCCGATCAATGGCGAGCTCATCAATGGCAATGGAGCGCCTTCGCTTCCAAACGGCCTGATCAACCTCGTGTCCTCCAAGAAGCCTAAGCGAAGGAGTGCTGGTGCGGAGCCCAGCATGATGGATCGATTCAGTGCTGCTTACAACCCTCGACCCGTGTCTATGGCTGTCACTAACAGTCGCCCTGGCGCCGGTTTTGTGCCGGGGGTAGACACGATTGAGATGGAGCTAGAAACGCTTTTGGCTGACGAGGAAGGTCTCAACGAGGAGGTTACTATGGGTCTCATCAAGAACCTCAAGATTCCCTCGCCCAGCACTAACCCACCACCATCTGACAAGGAAGTCCTCTTCCCGGCGTACCTGATTAACCTCGTGACGTCCGAAATGTGGAATAACGGCTTTGTTAAGGAGTCTGAGAGGTTCTTGGCCAACGTAATGCAATCGATTCAGCAGGAGGTTATGCAACATGATGGCGAGGATGCCATCAACCCTGGCGCTTTCTGGTTGTCAAATGTCCACGAAATGCTTTCTTTCGTCTTCCTTGCCGAAGACTGGTACGAAGCGCAGAAGACGGATAACTATGAGTATGACCGGCTGCTGGAAATCGTGAAGCACGATTTGGAAAGTCTCGAGTTCAACATATACCACACCTGGATGAAGATTCTCAAGAAAAAGCTCCACAAGATGATCATTCCAGCCATCATCGAGTCTCAGTCACTGCCCGGCTTCGTTACGAACGAAAGTAATAGATTCCTCGGCAAGCTGCTGCAGTCCAACTCAGCTCCTGCCTATAGTATGGACAACCTTCTTAGCCTCTTGAATAATGCTTTCCGAGCTATGAAGGCGTACTACCTGGAAGACTCGATCATTACCCAGACAGTGACGGAGCTTTTGAACTTGGTTGGAGTCACAGCCTTTAATGACCTGCTTATGCGACGAAATTTCCTGTCCTGGAAGCGTGGACTCCAGATTAACTATAATATTACTCGCATTGAGGAGTGGTGCAAGAGTCACGATATGCCAGAGGGTACTCTGAAGCTTGAACACTTGATGGTATGTTGATTACACGTTATGCTAGCGACATATTGCTTTATTTGCTAACTTTTTTTCAGCAAGCAACGAAGCTTCTGCAGCTTAAGAAGGCGACGTTAAACGACATCGAGATTATCCAAGACATTTGCTGGATGTAAGTTAGCGTGAATGGAGTGACTTGATTATGATGCTAACAAGATTCTCAGGCTATCCCCCAACCAAATACAAAAGCTTTTGAACCAGTACCTTGTCGCCGACTATGAGCAGCCTATCAATGGGGAGATAATGAAAGCTGTGGCGTCGAGAGTTACTGAGAAGAGTGATGTTCTTCTCCTGCAGGCCGTAGACATGGACGATAGTGGTCCATACGAAATTGCTGAGCCACGTGCTATCACTGCTTTGGAAACCTATACACCTTCATGTGAGTTGACAAACTACTACGGAGCCAAATAGCGACTAACTTAGATATGCAGGGCTACAAACCCCGAGGTTGAAACGGCTAGCGGAGATAGTATCTGCCCAGGCCATTGCTCAGCAGGAGAAGCTAGAGGCCGAAGGTTTCGAGGGTGAGGAGGGGGACCTCGCCGAAGTTGCGGAAGTCGAAGGTGACGGTGCGTAGAGCCGCACTTTAACGCCCAGACTTCCGGGCTACAACTACCAACCGATACGAATTCTGTGATCTCGACGTGCATGACTTAAAGGTAATATATGATAGATATCGCGGCTTGGCGGGGAAATTACGGGTACCAATAACGAGCCAAGAACGGGTAGGCTTTCCTGGCTGAGGGCTCGCCAGGAGCAGGCGGGTTGGTGTTGACGCTCCGGCCGTCTAAACAGGCAAGCGGCTGCTTGCGTGTACAACTGATTAATGGATATCGAGACATGATTGAACTAGAAAGCTCTCACACAATCCATGGATGGGGCGTTAGAATGCTGCTTATGTTTTTATGGCTGTTATGTTTGGAGGCTCATCAAGCGGGAAGAACAGAGTTGTATCAAAAGACGATCAATACTTTGTAGTATCTACATGTAGCGGGCTTGTACATGACAAGAATATTCAATGACTAGGGGCACAGGCGCCCTCCTCACTCCACACACACACACATACAGGACTGATGATCTGATTGAAGTCTCTTCACAAAAGTGTTTCGCCGTGAGCCCGTTGGCGGCGGATGGTCATGCTATGACCCCTAACGAAATGAATAACTCGCACGTGACTAGCACATGAGAAAGTGCGCTACCATACCAGACGCATAAAATTTTCTACCGGGCACTGTATTTAGTGGTTCTTTCAGGTCATAGTGCATGCATCACGGCGCGAACAGCACCTAAATCTTTAGTGGGTGCAAGGTTCTACTCTAGGTATGCACTTGCATCTGTCGGGCATTGAAGCTGCAAGACTTGAATGGTAATGTTCAGGATACTTGGATTCAAGGACTGCTGCTTGAACTTAGAAAGTTTCACGAGCCTCATCATCATTGGCTTGCATTCTTCAAGGGAAATTGTCTATAAACCTATGTGAAGGGAGCAGCTCGACCAGCGCCATTCGTTCAGCTTTACATAGTACAGAATTGGTTGTTTCTTTTATCGGCCAAATCGCACAGGTTTACACCAAACAACAAATCAGAAGCGACAGCTCTAGCAAGGAGGTGCGAGAGCATACCAAAAGAGCCTGCTGCTGTCACCAATAAAACTTTTTTGAGCCGCAACATCGAGCCACTCAAGGGGAAGAGCGCGTTTCTAATATCTGCACAGAAGGCAGGGGTGGCATCACTACTGAAGGCAAGCATAAGGACCGGAGAGGGAAACAGCAGAGATCGAAGGATGCGCGCAAACCCCAACATCGTCGTGACGGGCACGCCCGGAGTGGGCAAGACAACGCACTGCGAGACGCTCGCCGAGCGCACGAGTCTCCGCCACGTTTCTGTCAACCAGATCGTTAAGGACAAGGGATGCCACGAAGGCTGGGATGAGGAGTACCAGAGCTGGATTGTGGATGAGGATAAGGTAATGAATTCACTTATTATCTTTCATTTCTTTCATTTAAAGTCTCCCCTCTGGCCTTGTATGCCTCATCATGAGTCTGAAAAAATGGAGTGTCGTTTTTTAGTAAGAAGAGTTTGGCGCAGCGGACACGATATCTAGATGATGATGGATTAGGGAAAGGGGAGCCATATCAAGACCGGCCTTTCATGCAATATGAAGCTAACTGATGATGGCATGGCTATGTAGCTCCTCGATGCCCTCGAAGACGAAGTCGCAGAAGGTGGTTGCATTATCGATTGGCATGCTTGCGATCTGTTTCCAGAACGATGGGTTGATCTTGTTGTCGTGCTAAGAGTAGACACGAGCACGCTGTACGACCGGTTGAAGTCAAGGTAAAGATCCCCTGCCCATTTCCCTTTCATCTATTAGAGTTTATTCTCGCCATGAAAAACATGGAAGTTTGCACTTTCAATCGATCCACCATTCCAAGCCTCATCTGGTTTAGGCATGATATATCACCACGGCTGGCATATTTTCACCTACCAAGGTAAAGGCTAACCAGACTGCGCACATGAAGGAAATACCCCGAGAAGAAATTACAAGAGAACCTGGACTCTGAAATCATGGATGTGCTACTACAAGAGGCACGCGACTCGTACGACGAGAACATCGTCGTCGAGCTCATGAGCAATACAACAGACGAAATGGACAGCAATGTGGATCGCATTGAGGCGTGGATCAAGCAGTGGAAGAAAGACAATCCGCCCGACGGCGGCGACGATGACAATGATGATAATGATGAAGAGGACGGGACCAGTTGAATATACGATTAGGTGGTATATTATTAACTTCCTAGCGTAACGGATAAAAAAAAGTGATCTGAATATTTAGGTTGACATGTGGTATCTCGAGCTGAGTTGAATTGAATACGTCCAATCATACGTTGCTGTTGGTTAAAAAGAGATTCAAACGACTCATCATTCACAATATCTTGATCTACTTTACTACGTTACATCTCAATCATTAGATGTGTATGCGAAAGTGTAAGGTTGTGAGGTCCTGGGAGACCATCTGCCTAGGCTGATTGATTATCCACGCCGAGAAGCTGAGCTAAAGGAAAACCTGCACTACCCACAACAACGGACCCCAAGTCTAGATAGCGCCTATGCAAGCATCCAGGGCCGAGAGAACAACTAGGTAAGCTTACCTACAGACAAATAGCTACCTAGGTAATAGGTAACGAAACTACCTAACTAATGCAAAGAATCAAGCCTCTGGGGAATTCGAATTCAGGGTCTGCCAAGCGAAGCGCGTACTATGGTCGGCAGACCCGAATTCGCAGCACAAGCGCAGCACACCGGATGTGTCACTGGCCTGCGGACGTTCAAAGCTTACAAATTCTACAACGCCTTGGGCGCAAGCGGAGTAGATTAGACGGTACGATGTGGATGACGGCGTCATGTATATATGCTAAGAGCGAACTGCGCATAGATTATAGATATAGATGAATATATATAAAGTCGCTTTGAATCCGATTATATGCAGTAAGATTATTCATCTCAACGATAATTACCAGGCAGGCTTGAAAAGTATCCATCCAGACAGACACACAAACTAACGAGGACTTATTTTATCGATACATCGCAGCCCAAATAAACCCACCACATCACCATTGATAACACAACTCACAAACCAACCCTCTCACACCTCTTCCCTCTCGTATATCCACGTCCAGATCAATTTCTCACTCCCGTCAGGAGGAAAAACAGAAAGAATCAACCATCGTTCTTTATAACCTATATCTAAAACGAAAAAAAAAAAAAGGGGGGGGAGGAGAAAACAATCATGTCGAAACCGCAAGAGGTAAACTTCATCACGGGCAACGCGAACAAGCTATCCGAGGTGCGCGCCATCCTCGAGCCCACCGGCATTGCCGTGCGCAACCAGGCCCTCGATCTGCCCGAGATCCAGGGCTCGCTCGAGGACGTGACGCGCGAGAAGTGCCGCGTCGCCGCCGACCTGGTGGGCGGACCCGTGCTCGTCGAGGATACCTGTCTCTGCTTCAACGCGCTGAACGGGTTACCTGGGCCGTACATGTATGTCTCTCCTGCCTTTCCCTTTCTTTTCTTTTCTTTTCTTTTATTTCTTTCTTTGTTCCCTCTTCTCTCTCCTCTCCCAACCAGGAGTCAGGAAAGCGAAAGACGGAAAAGAGAGAGAGAGAAAATAAAAATAAAAAAACGCGGCGTCTCAACTTGAATTGTGTGCTGTTTTCTTAACACGACAAAACAATAGAAAATGGTTCATGAAGTCCATCGGCCACGAGGGCCTCAACAACCTCCTCGTCGCGTACGACGACAAGTCAGCGCAGGCCGTCGCCACGTTTGGCTTCTGCGAGGGTCCGGGCCAGGAGGTGCTGCTGTTCCAAGGGCGCACGGATGTAAGGCTTTTCTTTTCCCTACCTCTTTTTTCTTTCATCCCCAAATTAAATCACATTCTCGGACTCCCATGTGGATTGCCCACTCCATTTCCAACATGATGCATGAAGAGGAAACGATCTGAGAAGGTCGCGGAGGACAACACCCCAGAATGCTAACGTGCCTTTCTACAGGGAAAGATAGTACCGGCGAGAGGCCCGACTCATTTCGGTATGTATGGTAAAGACACCTCATCCTGCTCACACCGCTCTCTATTCAGCGTTCTACATTCATATCTTATTGATAACGAACCGGGGAGCCGCGAACTAACCACATGAACACAGGCTGGGACGCAGTCTTCGAATACGAAGGAGAGACGTAAGTTTTCCATTCCTCCCCCCTTCCTTACGTTATATTACCATGGATATCGAAGATGAAAAGGGGGGAAAACCAAAGCTAATACGGAATGGCCACAGCTACGCGGAGATGGACAAGGCAAAGAAGAACAAGATCTCTCATCGCGGAAAGGCCCTCGATGCGTTACAGCAGTGGATGGCCAGTCGGGTCACGAAATAAGTTGAAAAGAAAAAAGAAAAGCAAAACTTGTCAACACGGCTTGATATCACTGTTAATTCGGTAAGGGACCTACCTAGTGAATAAACAATCAACTCTTATGCCATGGAATGAAATAAATAAAAAAATTGAGGATAATGAGGGTAGGGTTTAAATAGGTGAAATGGAAATAGATTAGATGTGGCGTCTACATCGGCGTTTAGAAAAGAGGGGGGAGAGGGGATATTATGAATTTAATAAAACCCTTACTTATTTTCCATTTAGATGCTGAATATCATCATCGAGTGAGGAACACAGATAGATGCTCACTCACAAATTCTTCTCATCTCCTGGTCGTAACACAGAGTATACAGAACCTCTTTGTTTGCTACGCTTTAGCGAAGTATATCAACGCCAGAGGGTGTGTATACCGGTGTATTTGGTCCAGGAATATCAGAATAGTCAATATGTAGGCTATGCAGGCTGTCTCTAAATCACATTTCTATGCACACTTTCATAACCGCGCCTCATGTCTTCAAGATGCCATAACTAGGTATGCATGCTATAAGCACCAGGCCTGTCAATTCCGAGAGGGATTACTTCTCGTTCAGATTTCATTTTCTCATGATGCTGTGACGGATCGTGTGGAGCCGTTTTGGTAAAGCTAAGGGCTTCACTCTGAGCTGACGTTGTCCACTCATCTGTTTTGAAGGTTGATGAATCTCTGTGTCCTTTATTGTGAGTGGTTTGTTTTCAACCTAGTGAGGTATTTGTCAGGTCAGTTATCAGGACTTGAAATTTAGCCGAGAAAATATAAGAAAAAAGCCTTTAGCCCTTGTCTAGTCGACGCGGACGAATCTCAAAACTTGATAGAACTGCTACTAAGGTGACGCCACAATAGAAGAGTCGACTGGAGTGAAATAAAAATCCTAACTTTCTGATGGCATGTATGGAGGTAAAAAGAGAAAAGAAAAAAGAAGGGTAATGCCGGGGGAGAAATGTAGAAAGAGGTATACGTAGTAACGTCAAGTCAATCCAAAACTTACCTCAAGAGCTCGAATTCCCGGTACTTCCTCAAGTAATTGTTTCCCCTACGGTACAATCTCAAGGCGCCATCGGGATTGCGGTGTATTATGCGGTTCCGGATCTTATGATTCCTATCAGTATCCCTCGCGCTGTTATCATGATGGGCAGCGGCAGTCTTTCCTGCAAGCCGGACCACGCCCTCCGGGTCGTGAAACATAGGATCAAAGACGAGCAGCTTGAGAGACCCGGAAGCACGGCGTTCAAGGCCCACTATGGTCAAGCTGTGGCCACGATGCTGGAAGTAGATGGGCGGTAACTCGGTGCAGCGGACTTTATCCCGCGAGTCAAAGGCAGCATTTTCGAAGTATTTCTGCACGGACGCGAAAAGTGCTGCTTCGGCTACACCTTCTTTGGGGGATTTGAATCCTTCTGCTTCGCAACTGCAATATCAGGGTTTCATCATTAGTACGTTGCTAACAGCAATAAGACGCAGATAGTATAGTCAGTGAGGAGTTGTGCTGGTGGTCGAACTTACGGAATTTGAAGGCTGATGAACATGGCTTGCGCCTATTCATGTTAATTTGGAGCGTTAGTAAAGTCTACCTATTGGGGATGCGCATTCATATGGAGCACTGAGTTATGACTATACCTCTGGAGTTCCAATATATTTCCTCGTTCCCTTCACACCGCCGGTTTCTATCCTACCCGAGGCGTTGATACCCATGTCCCATGCGCTCTCGATATAATCCTGTATCCGAAATATGCTCGGGATCCTCTCACCGAGAACCTCTGCGCCCTTGACACGAGCACCTACGATGTACGACGACAGCATTTGAATGTTGCGGTAGCCGCAAAAACCACCTAGTGGTCTCATCAGCACTGCGTTAGGAGTAAGCATGTAGGTGTAGAGTTTATACCTTCCCCTCGTAGCTTGGAGATGTGCTGCACAGCCGGGTGACATAAGTACGCGTACTCTGTCGAGGGGCTTTGCTCCAAAAGTCTCGCGAGTACTGGTATTATGCCTGATTTTATATATAAGCTTTCGTGTGACAGTTGCGAGCCGTTTGCGCGGTATGAAAAGTACATCTGGCAATAGGGGAATTGACAAACCTTCAGCACTCGTATATTTCCGCTTCCGAAGCAATGCAACAAGTGAATCTGGCATTTGATGCTCGTAGGCATGCTTACCCAGCTCGGAAACCTATATATTCAATATCAGCGAGTGATGAACTTTCAATACTTCACGATTTCACCAATATTTAGCAGAAGAGTGTTATGGGAGAAGAGTCTTACACCCAGGCGCTTCCGCAGCCCCTTCCCATCACCTGGTCTGTTTTCCCAGTCCGCCGGTTTCTTGAGATGTCTCCGATTGAATATCTTTTTCCACGCATCTACGGTGCTATCGTGGTTGACCGGCGGCCGTGCTCGCTCGCGTTCATATCCGTGAGTTGACTGAGCTATATCTTCCGGACTAGAGTATGGAGATCGATATTCCCGCCCATCGGTATTGCCGAGGACGGGCGTAGCATCAGCCGTGCCAGCATCAGAAGCCAGCTCATCATTTTCCTCTAATGCATGAAGATCTATGTGGTCTGCCAGTTCAGCTAGACTGATTTGCTCGAGACACCCATCGATAGGGCATTCCATAAAGAGTCCAACATCCTCATCGCTGCCTGCCTCCCGCCCCACAGGCCGACTCTCCTCAGTCCCGGATACACTTGGGCCGGAATCTGCCACAAATGGGGATTGTCCTTCGGAATGGGACTCTTCCATGTGCTTGAATAGTGTAAGTCCGGTAGCTCAGTATGCAGATTGCTGGGATAGGGAAATTGTGGGGAGACTCGGTGCGGGCCGCTTAACTTACAAGCAGTATGGTGTACTCTACATCTGTCTTGAAGCCGCACAGCGGGCAGGTCATGATATTTTTCGAGGACATTCCGACGTTGCAGTGGTAGTGGAAGTGTAACGCTTCTGAGACGGCAGTGATCTATTGTCCCTGTTGAATGATTGGCCCTCCAGATGCGGCGCTCAAATCGGTCGTGTTTATTCTTCCATAAGACGAAAAGAAGAACATCCAAGGAAGGACAATGCAGCTATGTAGAAACAAAGACGCTCATGTTCTCGCAAGGCAAACCAGCAAGCATCAAGCACCAAGTAGCGTTAGGCCAGCTTCCGAGGCGACGGACCTCGGGGAGGCACTCGGGGCTTGGTTACTGTCGTGGCATGTAGATAGTGGTGATGAGCTGCGTTGCCGATGTGTGTGTGTGAGTGTGGTAGGTTGGTGTTGGGTTGTTGTCTAAATGATGGGTTGACAGGGGTGATGTTAGTGATGATGTTAGTGAGGATCTACAGGAAAGCTCCAGTAGGTACATACCTACATACATATATACATACGTAGGTAGCTAGGAGGGGACAAAGGGATAAAAGCAAACCCAAGATCAGGTTGCAGATAGGACAGAAAAAATCAAGACAATGCCATTGGATTATGAGGCTTTCTTTCTAAGCGGTTTTCCTTTGGTGCTGTGGCCCGCCATTTCTTTTCCCCAGAGAGCTGTCCAGGGCGCAAATAACACAACGCACGCACCTACCTAGGTACCCCAAGTACTGTATCTAGGCCCTGTTGCTGGAAGCATCCAGCGCTTGGTTTGGGCTCTGGTTGCTCTATTCTTAGGCGCCGAACCACTGCACTGCTTCAGTAAGCTGTAAATGTCAGATATAAAATGAATGAAACTTGTGAAGCTTCGTGCTCCGGGGCCAACTAGGTTAGCAGATAACGTGGTTTATTTGTGACCTGAGTACAGAGTAACCAGGTACGTATTTGGGTCATTGGCAAGTTGACCGTGAAAGTCGAGATGGAACGAGCCTTTTGTTATCTTTCCTTAGGTACTCACCGCAAAGTCGTCAGCAGCTTGTTATAGCCAATTGATATCAGTCAGTATCTTTGCAGCAGCACTAGAAGCTACTGATTCGGGTCGCCGGAAGCCTGGCGCGTAAAATCAGCAGTCATGATTGGTAAACACATCGTGTGTATATGTGTGTGTGTATCGGTGAGCTACAAAGCCAGCGCTCCAAAATATCATTTATCATAAAATACCAATGCAAGATTGAGACACCTCAAAACCCCGAACTTTCCCTAGTGAATTATCTCCTTGGCTACATGGGGCAGCATCACATGCCCAAATCCCTACTTCTCCTCATATTGACGTGCCAGCCGACATCAAATAATACAGCAGAGAAAACAACTGAGTATATATACAATGCTCGGCGCCATACAACCGGCCGCATTCATGAGGCTGGAAAGGATGCAAGCGCAATAATGCTGATACAGCCAACCAATCGTTCTAAGGGAATAGACCAGCAAGAATATCCAGCATCTAGAAGTGCACCAACAAATGCAACCGCCCGCCCCAACATCCTCAATCATCAACCCGCAACGACGCCACGACTCCACGGGAAAATCATGTCCTGACCCTTTGCCCCCATGTAATCAAAGACATTAGGAACTAGAAACCCATCGTATATGCACTTCCTGTGTCTCACATATTCATGTGTATCCGTATACCTTTAATCTACGGCGTATACCCTTTTCATGATTCACCGTGTCTAACCATCCGTTCCCGACGTTTCTACCTCTCTCCTCTCTCATTTCAGACGTGTATAAGTCTGCTTCACATTATTTCGCACTTGCCGCCGTTTGCAGCTTCGTTGGGGTTTTGGGCCGTCTCGATCTGTGCGATCAAGAGTTCAAAGGCCTTGCCAACGTTCTCGTTGTAGCGCGCGCTAGCTTCGGTCCACGCACAGTTGAACTTCTCCGACAGCTTACGCCCATCGTCCTGGCTGACTTGTCGCTGTTCTGGCCGTAGATCACTCTTGTTACCCACAATGACGATCGGAACCCAGTCAGTACCCTGTGAGAAAAGGGGGGTATCATTAGGTTAGTCAGCCGCTCCTATGAAGTCAACCCTGGCGGGCCAATTGGTGGCATGAGATTGAATTTTAGATGAGTGGACAAGGATTGCTAGAGGTGAATGGAAAGAGGAGGGAGGGGACGAAAGAGAGGGCAATATCGTACAAGATGATTTAGGATCTTCTCGCGAATGACCTGTACCATCTCGAAGGATGGCAGGGATGAGACAGAGTAAACTAGCATGTAGCCATGGATACCGATGAAGTGCTTCGAGTTGAGAATGCTATATTCATCCTGGGTATAAGCCGCATTAGCACGCGTGGTTTTGTGTGGAAGAGGATCCAGCAGGATAGATGTATCGGTTCTGACGCACCTGTCCGGCAGTGTCGACAATCTCGGTGTTAAAGTCCTGGCCTCTATGCCGGATTACCTTGCTGAAGGTATTCTCGATAGTCGGGTAATAGCTCTCGACGAAATGGCCATCGACAAACTGGACGGCGAGGGAGGACTTGCCTGCATCACCAGCATTTCGTAGTTAGCGATGGTTGTGTCGCACCTATAGAATGTTGCGGTGGAGGGCAGGAGTTGAGGTTTGGGAGGGGGAGGGGGAGGGGGACGATGAGCAAGCATATGTATGCTATGGATAATACATACCGACAGACCTGCTGCCGACAATGGCGACTTTCCGTTGCTTGGCTGGCGGCGGCATTAGAATAGGGACTATAATCTGTAGGTGAGGTTCGGTTTGGTCGACTATGCAGCGGCAGCGATAGCAATCACTTGACCAGACTCGGGAGCAGCAGCAGTAACCCCAGGCCGAGGACGGAGGCAGGAGGGGTGGGATAGATAGAGGGGATAGAGAGATAAGCGCGGGGGTAAGAACGAGAGAGGGAGAGGGAGAGTAGAGAGAGAGAGAGGCTGTGCGGCGACGGGATATCAAGGTTTGTTAAGTGTTATGGATTAAGCTTGCTCATGCCCATGCCGCCCACCACAGCTGGTCGTCTTGTACGCTTGCCGATCGTTTCGCCCTGCTCGCTTGCAGTGCTCGTAGTCCTGGCACTACTTGAACTACTTGAACTACTACTGTAGGTGATCGAGCCGGACGCGTAGTTGATGACGTGCCACTGTTAACCAAGTTAATCACGGCTTGTCAATGTGCGATGGCAAAGCCGATAGTTTGGTGTACATAGGACCTACTATACCGGTATTTGGTCGCACGCTGGTTTTGGCTTGTGACGCAAAGAAACAGACCTGCCTGTGCCGCTGATACCCACGCGTCGCCCCTCTCTGCCTTGAAAGGTTTACCTAGGTGATACCTACAGTGCTGTATTTAGCACGCTCGCTCGCCTGTCATCGCTCAAGACCAATGGATCTCAAAGGCAACCTACCTATATATGTACTGTAGGTATACACTACAGTAGGTATGTACTTACAGGTAGGTACATGGGAGGTGGCAATAATCTAGAATCTAGTGGGTAGGCGGGTATGTAAATAGGTACATACATAGGTAGGTAGGTACATATGTAGGGCGCTGAATCATGGATAGTGGAATACTACCTTATGTACTTGATGCAGAGACGCCAAACCAGCTTCAAAGAATGTGACTGGATAAACTTGGAAGTCAGCTATAATTTACTCTATGGGTATTCTTACTTACATACCTACATAGTACCAACTACTCTTAAATATGGCCGTTTACCAATCGTGTTGATAGGTACCCTACTACGTACGTAGGTATTTAGGTAAGCCTACTACTACCGAGCTCTAGCTATGGGCTCCGTAGATCACATGCACAGTTCAACGCGTTTTTAGAGCAACCTCAAGTCAGAATCATGTATGCAAGGGCCCTCTGGTAGGCTCGGTCCATTTGGTTTTATTGTGGACGGGTATATGGCCCTAGCTATCTAATCCGTGCCCATGGGTATTTATTTGGATGTGGCTTTGTCGCCAATGCTTCTAACGTTAACTCATCGCACTGTCGCTTTCGTGTCCCTGGTGTGTGCCCGCGTGGAAGTGTAGAAATATGTCCTATAGTACATGTCTAATGTCTCGTTATCGTAAATATGTAGAAACATTGTCGTCCAAACGGGTCTCGTCGCAACTAAGCTGTGTATGGCGTGCAATAAGAGTGGCGTACGTCGGCTATCTAGTAACTAATAGCTGCTATTGCTACCTTTCCCGAGCGTCTAATCACGGGCGGCATGGTCCTCCAACTGTTGCACTAGTTGTTGAAGCCCTTCAACAAAACTTCCGTGAGGACGGTCGTCATCTTGGCTCTCGCTTATGGCGTTTTCGACTTGCTCATAATGAGCTATAAACTCTCGGATCGACCCAATCAAGGGGCCGATGCTCTTAGCCGAATGAATAGATATTAATTTCCGGCGAACTGGCCTGTGTAGTGCTAGATAACCAAGCAGTACCGATAAATAACCAAAGGCCACGTTGAGATGAGTCTTTTCCATAGAATCGGCCTAGTGTCGATTGGGTCAGTACACTGTTCCTAATTGTAATAATAGTTTACGCATAACTTACCTCGCCTGTTCGGCGGTGATTGTCTATGAAGAGCCGAATCAATTCATTTACGGGTTCTCGACCTTCATATTCACAATCATTCACCATCTGTCGGACTAGCTCACTATGCTCCGCAAAATTTATGAGGATTCCAAGTCGGAGAACAAGACTATCGAGAATTCCGTCCGCTCCCGTATCCTGGGAGATAAGGGCTAGGGCCTGGGTGAAGTTTCTTGAAATCGAGTCAGCCAAAGCTGGTAGCAATCCCTTTGAAGCAAAGACGTCAGGGGCGGCGAGATTATTGTTGGTGACGTTAATAGTGAGTTTAAGGATCAGATCATTTAATGCTTTTCCATCATGAGCTGGTGTTTGAAGCGACGTATAAAAAGCGTCGGCTATGAGCGGGAGGTATCCTATGGCCCATTCACCATTGCCGCGTCGAGTAGCCGTCATACTCACGGCATGGACATCTAACACAGAGAGCGCGCCGCAAAGCTCAACTGATCGCGCAGTCTGCGGATAGCCCCAGTACTCAGAATTGCTACTAGCATCGGAGAGCACCTCGAAAAGATGCTTTGTAACAGCATCTGTGACAATGCTTTGATCTCCACCAATGAGAACGTCTTGTGCAATGAGGAGTTGAAGACATTTGATGGCGAGATTTCTTGGCGAGATAAATGAAGGTCGCTCCCCATCCCAAATAGATAAGTCTCGAAGTATGCTTTCAATACCAATGATCGAGGTTTGGCTTCTCTTGGAAAGGTTAGTCTTCCGGTCTCTCGCTACCTTTTTTATGTCTTCACTGATGCTAAGGAGCCGAGCGAATGCTGAGCCAGCTTGCTCTGTGCGAAGCAATGAGACCAAGTGGGCGGATGAACCATTGGTAATAATCATAGCGAGCGAGGACAAGATGAGGTAGGTGCAAATAGCATCAGTTTCTTTGCCGATGTCTTTGAGCATGACGTTATCGACTCCGTGATCAAGACACTGTCGTATAAAAGACTTATCTCGCATTTTCTCGGTGACCTGCAACAAGGCTGCTCGACGAGACGATAGATTGGCACCAGGCTTGCCTATCTGGTCGACCATATCTTGCATGGCATCAGCCACGCGCGAATTGGCGCCGGCCTGCCGAAGTTCATGGATACCTCGTAGTTTAGAGCTAGGCGACTTGGATGATCCATCGTCAACATCATCGTAGTCAAACGACCCTGTGGCCGCCGTTGGCTTCTTAGGACTCCCAAGATCCAATCGTCTTCGCGAATACGAATCACTTGGCAGAGCCAAGGATTCTAATAGGTCATCCTCTTCTTCAAGCACCTTCCGCCCCTGCCCATAGGTAAATTTGAGCGCGCTGCTAGACCGTGTAAATGTTCTTGCGCCTGTGGCAGGCGCTATCCTGACTTTGGGTTTTGGAGTTTCCAGCGAGCTTTGGTTGTCTAGATCGTTCGCGCTACTTGATTGGCTGAACATAGCTTGGGACGAGGTATCTTGAGTATCACTGATGTCTTCGTCTATAGCTGTATCATCGCTGGACTCTTGTTCCACTAGAGCATCAATCAATCGTTTCCGTGGCTTTTTCGCGAGACTGTTACCTCGAGACTTATTAACCAACGCGCGTTGGCTTTGCTCCTGTGACATCGTACGAGACAGCGGGTTTGGTTGCTTCGCTTTTCCATCTAGATCTCGGGCAAGGTGTATAGGAATTGGATGTTGGTGTGGTATAGGTTGCTTCTGTACACTCTTGGTTGAAGGCAAATTCACGGGTGCCCGCCTGGGGACATGAGATGGTGGTTTCGCTACAGGCTTAGATACTCTTGGGGGCGTAGGTGTAGGCGGCGGGCTCGATAGTCGAGGCCCAATCGTGTCTCTGCTCATTGAATTGGGAGGAGAGTATTGCCGGGCGCTGGCGCCTTCCTTGTTCGTGACATCGGGCTGCGAGACACGCGAGCGACGAGGTTCTGGCGCAGATGGGGGTTCTTCGTCACTGACTGGTTGCGATTGTTCCCTGGATTGGTAAATCTGTGAGACTTTTCGCTTCCTATCAATGCTAGGGAGCCCTTGCGATGATGCGATTGTGTTTCGTGTGTCACGAGTTTCGTCTAGACTCTTGAAGCGCGCAGACGGTATTTTAGGTTTCGGCGCAGGAACGAGAGGCGAGCGGCGACTCTCCGTCACTGGTTTAGTCGCGACAACAGGTTCATCGTCGGACATAGATTCAGAAGCCGTGACTGGTGTAAAAACAGCCTTTGGTCGTCTCTTCTTCAAAGCCTTGCCATAGGTAGTGACTCGCTTTTGGCGTACCTGTACGCCACGTTCGAATTCGGCGACCATGATTAAGTAGTTGTAATGGCGATTTACTATTGGGTTCGAAACAGCGTTGCTAGATTTGAATGTCGGCAAAAGAAATAAAGGATAAGTTAGGAGTGCTTCATTTTTAAGAATTGTGTAGATGACCGGACACAGCCCGACCAGAGAGTGAGAGAGGTTGATGTCGGGTAATAGGATGTTGCTCCGGATGAGGATGGAGGATCAACAGAGCGCAATGGTGGAGACGCGATCAAAGAAGCGGGACAGCCTCTTTGAGAGTTTAAGGCAAGTGAATTAGCTAAGTAAATGCCAGCACACCGCCGACTGCTCAAAAAGTAAGCCAGAGACAGGTTGGGATTCTCTCAGACATACACATGCGCGTATATGTGTCGTATGCGACCAAAGTTGGAAAAGTCAAGGACTGTAGCATATCGGTGATAAGCTTGTATTGATGGTGTACGAGTAAGTCGATCTGGACAAGAAGCCAGTCCTGAGCAGTTGTGGCTGATGAGGGGGTAGTTACCTAGGTACCTGCAGCTAAAGATGTAACCTTAGGTACCTACTCTACCTACTGTAGTAAGGAGATACCTATGTAGCAGGTAGTACCGGTATCACCAAAATGCCGTTATGCACTTACCTATCTGAAGCAGCCATGAGCTACGGAAGAAGGATAACCCCCCGAACTGTGATTCATTTAAGTAACTTGCACCCCCTCACTGCAGGTACCTTTCCTACCTCATGCCAAGTTCCAGCTGACCTTGGGAATCTCCAACTGTCATTAGGCTCCTTCCAGGTAGCTAAAACTGACGATAAGAGTCCCTAGGTGGGTAGAGCAGGCAGGTGCTAGGTACCTAGCTGTGTACATACCATGGCGGGGTTAGTTAGCTTGACCCTGAGCCTCTATGTACGCAAGAATGTGAGCTAAGCAGGTACTTACTGGATGTACAGATATCTGCTACCTACCTACCTACATACTAGACTTTACAGTAGGTAGGTACTTCCCTACAAAACAAGCAGGACCGTGGAATGAAGATACTGCCTAGGAAAGACAGGTAACTATTCTTCTCACTCCTCATTTCGTCAGTCCCGGCCTACTTAGAACTGGTCCTTGTATGGCTGCGTTGTCTCTACTACTATTTCAACACCGTTGCATTCACTAAGCCAGCGCTGCGTGACCTTATCCCGAGTGTTGCACTACATATTCAGCTCTTCAGTCTTGGCGCTACTTTCACATACATACGCTTTTTGACGTTGGTTCAGATAGTGTGGTCAGAGGCCTTTTGGAGTGTAATTGTGCCAGATAATCGCTTCTGGGAACAACAGCTATACTAAACAGTCTTCAGACTCAACGCACGTCCTTCTGGTTGTTTCATCGTAGCCGGAAACCCACTCTCTAAATCGTTTCAATGGCATCAGCATCTGGAAACCGCCCTCACGTGGGACCTACACAAGTTGTAGGACCTGACTACCGATCTGAGAGCCAGCTACCGATTGCTACTGTCTCAACTGCGGTGAAATACGAGACTGTCACCACTTTGCCTCAAACTCCTCAGCTCATTGCGCTGCTCACGTGAGTGGTTTCCTCCTCTGGACTTCGAGGAATACCAGTCAAGCTCGACTTTTTCTGCTACTACCTTGCATGGATCTGCTTTCTGGCTGGACATCTATGAACATACCGAGTTCTAACGACGGCGGGTGTAGGAAAATACGCGATAAGAACACTGAACGTGCTGATTTCATCTTCTACTCGAATCGGATTATTCGTCTGCTCGTCGAAGAGGGACTCAACCACCTCCCAGTTGTCGAACATACTGTTACCACTCCCGTGGGTCGTAATTATGCTGGTCTCTTGTTTCAGGGAAAGATTTGCGGTGTGTCCATAATGAGGGCCGGTGAGGCCATGGAGCAGGGGCTGCGAGACTGCTGCCGGTCTGTAAGGATTGGTAAGATTCTGATTCAGCGTGATGAGGAGACTGCACAGCCCAAATTATTTTACGACAAACTGCCCGAGGACATCGCCGACCGATGGGTACTCCTACTCGACCCTATGTTCGCCACAGGTTAGTACCCTCGTTGCCCTGTTTCTTCACGAGCAGTGAACGCTAAGTTATATCAACTTGTAGGAGGCTCTGCCATTATGGCTGTTGAGGTCCTCAAGTCCCGAGGTGTCCCAGAGGAGCGAATACTCTTTCTCAATTTGATTGCCAGCCCCGAGGGGATCGCAAACTTTGCAACCAAGTTCCCGAGACTGAGAGTAGTTACTGCATTTGTTGACCAGGTATGTATTCCGATTTTGCTGATATCATTTGACTATCCACTAACGGGTTTACAGGGTCTTGATTCAAAGAAGTGAGTTTCAAAATAATCTGATGCCATCCGTTTTCACTGACAGCAGCCTAGCTATATTGTGCCTGGACTAGGCGACTTTGGTGACAGATTCTACACTATGTAGGGAGCCCTTACCACACCATCACATGCGCATGGGAGACACTATAGTATAGTTGCTGGGAAGAATTCATATTGGTGAGCCTGATACGTTTCATTCCTAGCTCATGCCATACCAGCAATCCATAGAATGGCCGGGAAATCCAGTATAGTACAGCCGCAACCTGCTGTAGAACTCCATTACTAGGCCTTCTTCTTGGCTCCATGTATATCCTGTAGTTAACAGAATATTGAGCGTTGATAATGGCTCGAGACGGTCGCATAGTAATTAATAGTCGTCGTCATCATCCCCTACGATACCCTCCCCTTCGTATCTGTGATCATCCTCATCATCATCAATCTCGCGATCCACTATAGGAGCTCTAGCGCTCGATCTCGTAAACGAAGCCGATCCGGTAGTTCTGTCATTTGCTGCCTCTTTCGCTACAGCATCTAAAAGATTGTTAGTAGTGTTTCTTCCTGCTGACCAGAGTCGCATAAGTCTTGAAACATACCTGCAGCATCAACCCACTCACTGTAAACATCAATAGCTTCCATGAGGGTGTGAATACCACACTGGAATTGCTGGCCACACACAGCACAAGACAAATGGCCCACGCCGGCCTTCTTGTCTAACTTGACATGTACGGACTTTTCGTGATTGCAGAACAGGCATGTAAACTCCTTCGCTAGGCCCTCGCGCTGTAGTTGTGTCGCATTAGCATGGAGACTTCGACTGCTATGGTCCGGGCGACTCAAGAACTCCGAGTTTCCTTGTGGCGTACCTTCTTGGGGCCCTGAGGCTTTCGCGAACTCTTCTTGCGTTTTCCCTACAGCAAACCATGGTCAGTCTACAATAATCCCAAAATGAAACTGTACTTTAACGGCTCACCATGGCAAATGCGTCGGCCTAGGGAGAGAATTTGTTGGTTTGCGGCACGAAGCGTGCAGAATGCAGAGTGTTTCGCGGAGGCGCAAGGTGAATCAAGCAAGCAAACAAAGTGCCCTTTTTGGTTTTTTTTTCTAAACCCAGAACTGCGTTGCTCGAAATGACGTAATGCGCCCCTGGTTGATGGACTTGATTCACGTTAAGTTGATTGCGAAAACTAAGGCCAGACACCCATTGCAGCCAAACATGCTGTTTAGACGAACACGCGACAGCTTTGAAATGGCATGCCTAGGATTCGGTGTGTTGGATGTTGTTCGTTTGCGCGTATCACAATCTATGGTTGGCGGGAGGTGAATACTAACTATAACTGGGCATTATCCCTGGCCTTAGGCGCTTTAATGACTTACTTACTTAAGTACCTACTTACCTCATCCCGAGACATGGAGTGCACTGCGCCACAGTTGAGCCACACAGCCTTGAAAACAGTGCTGCACATGGTACAGACCCAGTTGGTGACTCTGTGTGAATACCTACACAGTTTCACATTTTCAACCATTCCGGAGTTGGATGTCATTGGAGACAAGCTTCCAAAGCTTTCAGAGGTATGTTTTAGTATTTGGTGCCATCTACGTGCAAATGTGAGTGTAACAACACGTAATAAATAACTAAAGAAAAACATTAATAGAATCAGGTGACAGCGACATTTGAAACAAATATATGTGCCTTGATGGCAAAACAACTTCATAAAATTGCAGGAAGCTCTGGGATTACTAATCGTTCCTCGGCCCCTATTCCTTCATTCGCCAGATTCTTATCATATATTGACTATTATGCTTAGGTATTATATGAGCAGCCAACATCATATATACCACAAAATAGCTACACCAGTGCGGCGAGGGCGCAGGCGCGGGCGCGAGTGCGGACTGATACAGGTTGTATGCTATGCAATTTCGATATTGCTTCAAGACTCTGCTGTTTTCATACGGTTGGGGGAGTTCGGTGGCAAACGATAGCTCAATGGGGGATGGCTTAGGTCTTCCAGTCCGTCACGGAATAGACGGAGCACCTCATTCGGTAGCTTCCTGTCCAGCCTTGCAGTCATCGTCGCATTCGACATGCTAATCTTGGCAGAACTTATATTGGGTGTGCCTAGGACTTTCACGAGTGTACAGTCGCCATCGGCCACTACTGGAGTGTGCCTGACGATGCGTAGTATGGGTATTTGCCGGCAGCCTACCAACCCGCAGGGTAATTACATGGCGTATATATATCACACAATCACATTGGTGCTTGAATCTTCTATATCGCTGGATAATCAACCGGGTAATCAGGACTGAAGCTGATTTGCACACAATTTGCCGTGGACTACCTATATCGCCGTTTCCGTTAATCTGTTCGATCAGCCCTGGATGCTTCATTCCAGCTACGGCGAGTGACGTGATGACGCAACGATGAGCAGACGATAAGAGAGTGTAACATGGTCTAGATTCGAACTTGTACATATAACCCTCAAACGGGATAGGATGACCATTCGTCCCTATGTTTCTGCCTTCTGCAGATCTTCACCAGTCGCTATCTATTACCTAATCTTAGTACAGTTGAAGTAAACATATCACGAAGATGAAGTGGACTTCAGTGAGAGCTCTTGCTCTAGCTGTGCCTGTCCAAGCAGGACTCAGGTTCCAATGCAGTACTCTCACCCTTCAAAGACTGGGTACGCGAAGCATGACTTAAGCTCTTACTGTGTCGGGTGGCTACTGACACCGGAGGGTGAAATATAGACCCAGTCGTCCAGCCAGGCGCGAACCCATCTGCCCACCTCCACCATATTGTCGGTGGAAATGCGTTCAACGCTACTATGCTCGGCGATGTGGCCTCGAGGGCTACCTGCACGACCTGTGAGATGTCGGAGGACTTTTCCAACTATTGGACAGCGACTCTGTTTTTCAAGCACCCCACGAATGGTTCTTACCACCGTGTCCCTGTCATACCTGTCAACCCGGGCAACCTCGACGGCTATAGCGGAACTTCAGGCGGACTCACTGTCTACTACACCCAAACTGATCTTGTGCGGGATTCGATAGCAACAAACCCCGTGAAGACATTCCCACCGGTAGTTTCTCTCTGTATTTCTTACGGCTGAGGAATCGATCCACTGATAGAGGATAGGGTTTCCGAATGACCGTAGGCAGTCCGACTAATACTGGAACGCCACACACTGGGCTTCGATATCAGTGCCTCTCAGCCGGTGGTGGTAGAGGCCCTGAGATCGCAGATCTCCCCACATCTCCATGCGCCGGCGGTATCGTAAGTAGCGGTTTATGTCTTCTGTTTCCAGATTTTTGGTGACGTTTGAGGGACACCAGAAGTTCTTTTGGCAGGGCAGTGTTATGTCATGGAAACCTTTTGCAGACCGTGATAGATTCATGGAAATTACCTTGGATGGTGAATACTGACATTGGTTCTCTTTAGTTTGTTACCAACCACTTCCCTGCGTCAGTGCTGATTTGCTCATGTCGAATTCCGCCTACCTGACAGAGAGCTAATTGAATCTAGATGCTGGAACGGCAAGGACCTCGATAGCCCAGACCACCAATCGCACATGTATAACACCATTGTCTCTGATGGCTTCACAAATGCGCCTAAGTGCCCTGCGAGCCACCCAGTTAGGATGCCTCAAGTCACTTATGAGACTGTGTGGGACACTCGACAATTCAACTCAAGGTTTGTCTGACCCCTACCGCCTAGAAGGGTGAAGCAATGCAATATCCTAGGAACCTCAGGCTAACCTCAGCATAGTATGGATTCCAAATCTTCTCACACTCTATTCCCGCGAGGCTCTTGATTTCATATTACCTACGATCTCAGATATTAAGTTACACATTCACTTTATAGCTGTGAAGAAGATCTAACAATGGCGGTTCTTTATAGTGTGGCCATCGGGAACTCCGAACCCATTCGTCTGGAGTTTTGAGGGGGTCAACGGCAAGGGCACTCACGCAGATTACATGTTCGGATGGAAAGGGGACGCTCTGCAGCGCGCCATGAACAAGTCGGAGTGCTTTTACGACGGTTGCGGATCGATCACTAAGCAGCCCAGTATGTAACCACTGGCGCCTTTTTCTTCCCATTCTAGCTACTTAAAACTGTTACCTGGAAGAGCGATTACTGACTCCAGTGGTTGTAGTGGCTACTGCCAACAAGTGCACGGTCCCAGACATGGTGGGCGAGAAATTCGAAGGGTGTACGTATTTCTCTGTCTTCGGCTAATACCTTTGTATTCATACTGATATTCTATGATAGGGCTATCAAAACTTCCAGGTATGTAAGCGACGCAATTGTATGTGGGAGTTTCGACGTGATGGGAATTGATGGAGTGTTGGGAGGAGAGTTCGGATAATTATTAGATATTTATGCCTAGATTGAATTGTCACTTGTTTTAGTTGATTTCCTTATGTCCCGACTTCCTATTGGGACTAGGTAACACCCGTACGGGAAATCATGTTCAGTCGGTGAATATTAATGAGGTAGAAGTAATGGCAGGTGGTACCAGATATAGCAACTTCTTATCTGTGCTCGTCTCAGTTTTGAGGCCGGACCGCTTGGATCGGGGCGTGTGTTTAAATGCCTCCGCTTTTCGGCACCGCCTCCGAATGATTGCTTGAGTTTGACTACCGGGCTTTCTTGCACCCAACCTACATCGGTCGTTGCAGTCCGGTGTCGGTCGTAATACGAGCTCTCCGGTCTTTGAGTTTTCCTTAGCAAATCAATGTATTGAGTGGGACAATACATGCATACATGTACCTGTGTTGCCAATTTGTAGAGACGAGTATTGGCCCGGAGATTTGCACAATTGAAAGGGCGACATGCAAGATGAAGCGGTGACGAGAGACAAAAGGCTGCTAACATGGACACAGGTGGAGACAAACAGTTGTCAGGTCATGGGACGCATTTGATGTGTCACGAGATCTGTTGCCTTTTGATCAATTGTCACGGTGAGAAGAGAACATCCTCCCAAAGGTCTACCGCTCACATTCAATCACCTTGAACATGGTATCTATGCCTCTCTTTCAGCTCTGTTACCGATACATCACACTAGTTCAGGCTTATCATTGTAGCTGGCCGATACGCACATGTACCTGCCTATAATAGTGATAGTTTAGTCCAAGCATCATCGACCTCACCACATACAGTATGTAGTAGTATGTGTTCGTTCAACACCCGCAGGCTACTGTATCCGGGTATGTATTGATCGCGGAGTTCCCCGTGCATCGGTATCTTGGCTCTAGATATATATCTCTGTCTCTTCGTAGGCAGCTACAGAACGCCCAGACTGGCTCGACTGGTACATGTACCCGTGGACCTCCCCCAACGTACCGTATCTATGATATGCCTCTATCCACTATAAGCGCTGCCCCTCCCCCTCATCTCGTCCGCCTACCACGTACCGCCTATTTATTAAATAGGTAGTTCAGCTAGAGTGAAATACCAATCACCTCCTTCTGGTCATTATTTGCCTTACTTATGTCATTGGTAGGTACTATTGAAGTGATACCTAGGTAGGCCACATGCTGCGTTAAGAGCGCTGTCCTGCTGGAATGATAAGTGAAATTAGGAAATGCCAACGGATCCCGCGCTACTCCGGAAACAACTGGATCCTCGAAGATAGGAGAACCCAAAGTCTGCCCAAGGTTGATCGTAGTGTAGCGGGAACGTGTGCTCAAGCGTGCTGTGCCCCTGACTGTATTGTACTTATTGCTAGAACCTAACCTAAGTGAGATATATACTTCAGTTACTACTAGGTAGATAAACAGCCCTGCGGGGCTCTTTCATGGTGACAAGGACGTTAGACTTGATTACCTACCATCCTACCTACATCCCAAGTAGTACCTTACTGCCAGATCTGCCTGACCCAGGACAAGACAAGGCGAGGCAAACCGACCAAACAAGCAATATTGACCTACAGAGCCCAAGCTACCCATCTCAATTCCCTAGTCAACCTCTCGTGAGACTCTCTTCCGCCTCTTCCGCCGCCGCTTTCCCCTTCGATTTGCTCGTTAGTCCTGAAACCTCCTAAAGCTCCTAGTCATTCACTCAACAGTAGTTACGAGCAGCAATCTTCTGAATAGCTACGTAACCATCTGTCCTCGTCAGGGCCTTATTACTCTTGACATATCTGGCACGTCTGTTTGCTGGCCTCACTGAAAAGACCGCAACATGGCAAGCTCAGGATCGAGTGCGGGGGATGTTGGCCACGGTACCGCCGATATCCTTCAAGCTTTGAAAGCTATTCAGGAGAACCAGGCAAAGTTGGCTGCTGAGGTTGAGTCCCTCTCCCATAGGCTCGATACTGTTGTGCCATCTACAGTCAGCCCGACTTTGAATGGGAAGTCACCGCCCGAGAGCAGCCTCCCCGCAGAATCCTCATTGCCCCAGCCTGCGTTGGCCACGTCGTCAAAAGATGAGAGCTCTGCCGTGCGTAAGCAAGCAGAGAAAGCCGGGTTCACCTCTCGGATTATTCTCACGTGAGCCAGTCCCTTTGGGATATCCCATCTGAGTACATGATGCTGACCAGAACCAAGAACATATCCCAAGCAAATAGGCATAAACCCCATCCCCCTAAATTGGGGCGCGCCAGGCCCTGAAAGAGGCCCAGTAGTTGTTTCTAGGGCATCCTCTACCATTCGAAAACGCAATGGTGAGTCGATTCGGCGACTACATGTGACAATTCGCTAACAGCTTTCTTTTCCTATGATATAGCTATCGGAGGTAAGAATCTCACCTTCTCGAAACACGTAGCTGGTGTTCATGGGCAATTTACTGATTTCCTTAGCACATGGTGGCTCATATTCGATTTATTTTGCGCTTGCTGTTGCCAGTAAACAGCTTAACGTCAACCATAAGTAAGGCTGAGAAGGCGAATTTGAGTTAACAAAACGGCTAATTAGATCTCATTCTAAAGACCAGATTTCACAAATACCGAGCCAGCCGCGAATATTGGACCGTTTCCGCAATGGTCTGACAAGGACAAAATCGTAGCTATGGACCCGTGGGGCCATCTGGCTCCCTGGATGTACAAAGATATTATGCAGAAAGAGGACGGTAAGTTTCGCTGTATTATTAATCATCTTTGGATGTCAGAGCATTGCTGAGTTGAGCTGTACACAGTCGACATTCGGCCAACAATTGCCATTACTAAAGCACACATGAAGGTAAGTGACATGCACACAGTATCCCTAAGCAACGCCGTACTAAGACGAGTAGCTTCCGGAACTAGAAGACAGTGTCCGAAGTGGTAGATTGTAAGACATGCATGACTGCAGACTTTAGCCTTACATACTCACCAGACTTTAGAGTACCCGATGGGAAAGTTTGTCTGAATAAGGCAGGAGAGCTTGCTGTGACGAAATTTGCCGTTGAGCCGGTAAGTTTGCTTGTGAAATCTCTCTCATTCTAAGTAACTCAACTCACTATTTGTAGGTCTGGTACTTGCCAGGAGTAGCAGAACGATTCGGCATTGGTACGTTAAGCTTGAAGACTCCGTCGCCGCTGTACACTGCATCACTAACTGGACATCGCATGGTACAGATGAAGCTGTTCTTCGTCGCTCCCTCTTTGAGCACACTGGTGGTAGCTATCCTGAGGTGCGTAAGCCGCGAACTTTTGAGGTATCTGTATCTCACAAGAGTAGCTTATTACCCGTGGCGATATCAAAGTCTTCCTCCCTCCGATTGGTATGCCAGCTTCTCGATCTCAGAACGAACAATCTAGTGCTTACCATTTTTTAGGCGGGCTGACGGTCTACTGCTTCGGAGACCCGGCGAAGATGTCAGACGAGAACGTGAGATTATCCTTGCGAATCCACGACGAGGTAAATACGTCAAATCTACAAGTACACTAGTTGTGACTGTCTGACTGGGGATGTAGTGTAACGGCAGTGACGTATTTGGATCGGACATCTGTACTTGCAGGCCTTACCTAATTTTTGGTATCGAGGAGGCTGTCAAAGAAGCTCAGAATGGCGGCAGCGGAGTTGTCATCTACTTCAGAAAGGAGGGGCGAGCTCTAGGCGAAGTGACAAAAGTGAGTACATGATAGGTCTGGCGGCTAGGTATCCGGGTTTTCATTTTGCTAACGGAATGATGCACAGTATCGTAAGTGGTGAATCAATGTTTAGCCACACAACGTTCGGGTGATTTTTAACCACTCCCATTAGTTGTGTATAATGCCCGGAAGCGCGGTGAAGATCGCGCTTCGGACTATTTCAAGCGAACCGAGAACATTGCCGGAGTCAAGGACATGAGATTTCAAGCGCTCATGCCCGACATCCTTCATTGGCTCGGTATCAAAAAGATTGACAGAATGCTGAGCATGAGCAAGTGAGTCGATACATTGGAAACGAAACAAAGGGTCGTGTGTTGTGTAACTAACAGCTGCTACCCACCCAGCATGAAGCATGATGCTATTGTCGGACAAGGGTACGAAGCTTATCTGTTCAACCTCCGCATACGACTCTACGGAGACTAATAGATGATAGTATTCCCATCCACGAACGGGTAGAGCTACCCGAAGAGTTGATCCCAGCAGATTCGCGGGTCGAGATAGATGCAAAGATCACTGCCGGTATGCCCCAAACGTCGCTGATCGTCTGTTCACAGAGGACAAAGGTTGTTGACAGGCTGTAGGGTATTTCACGACGGGACACCGGATGACCGAAGAAGAACTTCAGGCGGTTCAGGGACGGATGTGGGAAGAGTAAGTGTTCTCGACCATCCACTAAGCTTAGCAGCTTCGTATTGACCAGCACTATCAGCATCGATCACTGAGAGAGGGGCCAATGGGCTTTCGAGTTGGCTGGGTTCTTTTACGCCGATGACCGATGACCGTTGCAGTGGCTAGTGCACGCTACGGGTGGTTGGCATACCATAGCATACTTCGTATGTATGTAGGCATGCGAGCAGGTAGTGGGCAGCAGGGATTGTGCCTCATTACATGCATGGCGCCGCTAGAAATCAGATGGCTTCTTTGCTTGGTGAATTAAGAGATCGCCGCATTCTGGCCACATACTGACCACACTGCCTATCTGGGATCGTCAACGCATTGCAGGTTTACATTGCCTCTCGGAGGCATGTCTTGTCTATGTTCAAATCTCCAAACCCCAAATGGCCGTGTGACTGTTCTACTTACCGTATGTCTGTTGTGATATAGGACCTAGGTAGGCACTATAGTAGCTGATGGCGAATTGGTTTGTAAGTAGCGAGCCCATCCTGTTGTGGCATTCCGGGGATAACAGACCGGTCGGTAACACCGGAATCTTGTGCTTCGCGTATCGCGTCGCTCTGCCGGTACTTAAGAGTAGTACCATCCAATGTCTCACGGTGTCTCATGGTGGTGGTGGTGGCGAACCGAGGCGATGCACAAATCTCCAATGGCATGTTCGTTTCGCGTCTTTTCGGCCCTCGACATTGAAGAGCGGGATTGGTGATGGCAACCAAGCTACCACATCGGCAGTGGCTACTACCTCCACGTACTACCGGTAGCATACGAAGTAATGACGCGAGAATCATTAGATAGCAATTGGCGTAGGTAGTGTACATGGCAGCTCTGTGGTCAGCAATTGGTACGACTGTAAACGTCACCGGCGAGTCAGCGAGTCCCTTGGGAAGAAAACAGGACTTGACGAGCAGCGCTCGGATGTATTCATCCCATACTATAATTGTGCCCCCAATGTATTCCTCCCTATCACCCACTCCATCACAATCAGTCACTCTGTGGAAACCCAATTGTATGCATGAAACCGCGCACGCGACGAGCGGCATTTCGCGGTAACTGGCTGCTTCTCCAAGTGTTGCTGCACGCCTTCGCCTTGTAGTCGCTCCCCCGCGCGTCAAGATCACGATGAATGGTCAACTTCCAATGTAACAGACAGGTACTATGTAAGCTGACGAGGATGCCTGGACCACTTTCCCTCTTTCTCGTAGGTCTCCCCGGCACTAGACATGCCATCTACACTACTGGATGTATAGAGTTAGTAGGGATGTAAGTGTTGTAGTTGTTGTTGGTGGTGGTAGTGGTGGTGGTGGTGATGTTCCCATGAACCAACCATGGTGTTGCTCTACTAGTACTAAGTAGTAGGTAGGTTGTGTGAGACTTGTAGCAGCAGCAGCAGCAGCAGCACATACAGAGCAAATCATAGGCCAATTGGACTTCCGATCTTGTGTGTTGTGGGTTACGTTGCCTGAAGTTGCTAGAACTGGAGGAGTAAAGATGTGCGCTAAGCCAACGGGCCAGAGCTTACACCACGCTACATTCTGCTGCATCCTGGCGGCGCTCGAAGGCTAGAAACAGTAGGTAACTCATGAAATAATTTCACTGATACTGGTGATTCACTACCTACATGTAAATGTGATGGACATACCTATGCGTACATGTAAAGGGCCAAAAGCTGGTTAGTAACAGGGTTACATAGGTTTACACCAGAGTTCTGAAAACAACATCTTAGGTAATACCAGTGTCTTAAGTAGCGAGCAGAGCATAGAGCTGAGGTTACAGTTACGGGGTGTGCAACTACATGGAGCACATACGAAGTACCGGTATACTCTCTCGACTCTGTATGAAATGCCATGATGCTACCTAGTTTCCTGGTATCCACAACCTCCCGCAGCACAAAACTCACAATACATAAATAAAGTCCTTGGAAGTTGCTATATAGTAATATCCACCTGTTAGTACTACCGATTAAATCAAATCTATATTAGTAGCAACAGTATAGACCAGGCAGCGTAGAATATATAGTGCCTTAAGGTGGCATCACACACTCCCTCCCAACTGCGCTCCACCACACCACCAGGAGAAATAAATTGAGGAGAGGTGTGTTGTACGTGGTATAGTACATGTATGGATATGGGCGTATGGGCGGTGGCCAGTTGGCGCAGGTAGCGAGGAGGGGTGTGGGTTGATGGAGGTCTTGGGGCTGTCTTGGTCGTGCCTTGGTCTTGTCTTGGGTCTCTCTGGTCGATTCTTTAGGGCGGTGCAAGACGGCCCAACCAAGTTTACCTACTTGGAGAACCCATGCCGCTTCCAACGCCCAAAACGGGGTGGATGTCGACTAACGGGCGGGATCCAGGAACCAACCACGCCCAAGGGCCAGCACATCAACCCCATCTAGACTTGACATGTGGCAAGCAGGCAGGCAAAGCAGCCGGGGGACGCACCCATGATCGCACTCACCAGGAAGACAAATCGAGCCGGCACGAACTAAACGAGCCAGCTTGTCCCGGGGAACTTCAGGCTGCTTGTCCGCCTCTGGCCTCGTCTTAGGGCCGTCCTACTGACACAAGACATACATGGGAAATCACAAGATGAAAAAAATAGACGGTAAGGGAATGCCTGTCTTAGTAAGTACCATGTATCTGCCTGCCTTAATGTCGCATGTACGCACACGCAGTGCCTACACACCACGAGCAACCGGTAGGTGACGTACCGGATATTCGGGATCCATGCAATTCTGTGGACAGGCATTACCTACTATGTGAGGCCATGGTCAACAGGTACCGCGGTTTTTTCTGTTCGCATAGTGTGATCGATTCCTGTTCCTGGTCTTTAAACCCGGCGATTGCCCCATCTCATCCCATCCTGGTTTGAGACATGGTTGATACGTCTTCTACTACATCTTCCTCTTCATCAGCTTTCCTCCCAGGCTACCCTTCCTTTTCCTCTCTTCATACAAAAGAATCTACCCTCCGTTTCAATTCGCCCTACCAAAGAACCGGGAGCATTACCCTATAATAAGAGCTTGTTGAATAACCGAAAAGCATATCAACCTAGGCAGTTGACTACCTATATTAGTATCACACTGTCTACAAGGTCTCACAACAACCAACCAACCAGCCAACCAAACAATCGACCAACCGTCAACCCGCATACATAAATATACTACAACTCAACACAGCAGTGGCTGAGACATCGCAATGGCTTCAAGCTCATATTCATCAGAGCTAACCAATCACCACAACCACCATCACCACTACCGTCGAGATTCCGCTTCTAGCAATAAGTCTGCAAGTAGCCGACGTCCCAGGCTCCTACGTGCCTATGCTACAGAACCGTCAATCACAACCGAAAATGCATGCAGAGGCTTGCTCACATCTCCAACATACTCATCGCGGCGAGCTACAGACTTGTTGAGCCGTGTGGCTGTCAGCAGTAACTCAACATCAGCAAGCACATCATCCAGAAATTCGGTGATGGAATCTGAGCAGTTAAACGCGACAAACCACGATTCATGTTCGTATCCTCCTGCCGTCGTTATGACGAACAGTCGCTGGACTAAAGCTAATTTTCAAACTTCAAGACTCTGCGTGCTATTTTAGTTTCCCAAGTTTTGATACCTGGGAGGAGGGAAGGCGGCAAGACGAAGAAAAGCATCTGGAAAGGAGACCTTGAAAGTCATATCCCTTTCAAAGATTCTTAGTTTCATTAAATGTCGTGCCCTTAGAGCAATGTGGCCGGAACAGCGCGCACTGAGTGGGATTACGACTGCATCGTTCTTCATGAACTGACTTCATACTCATCGGGCGGGATTACCGGTTAATCAACAGGCGTTGGGGTGTCTGCGGAGTCTGTGTTCCTCAGGAACAGCAGAACGGATTTATGATATTCACTTTGTTGTTTAGGACATACCCCGCTAAATAGGCCAGGCATGGGACTGGGGGATAATACGGCGTTCAGGCATACAGAGACAGCATAGCGATACGGCGCAGTGGCCTTGGCTTAGCATACGCAGGGTAAAAACATGTATAGGAACCTCGTGCATATCATACCACGATGATAACTCCGTCATAGGAAGCAAAACTCAACAATAACTAACTTCAAAATGAGGCTTAGTTGTGACTATGAAGGTAGCTGGAGGATGTGTACTGCAGGTATTGGAGAAAAAAAGAAGGCAGAATACAGTCGAAGAAGAGATATATTATTAGTCCAGGCTATAACATAGACACAATTCAATTGGCTCTCAAAGTTACGTATGCTACTGCTCATGGGGTAGGAGACCAGAGTGAAGATCTCATGAGTGAATGTGCAAGTTCAGCTTTCCTTCGTGTCTAGGTACACCTTACTGCATAGTACTTTGGGGGTAGGTATCTAAGTACCGCTTAAAGCCGACACGTCCGATTATGGCTGGTGCTGTGGCTGGTTCTCAGCCGGGTCGGGGAAACGTGCCGATACGCCACAATCGCTTGCCCACCTAGGAATTATCCACCCACACAATTGGGGCCCTTGAAAATTATTCTGGCCGCACTAGAATTTACAGCAAGCTGCATCCGACATCAAACCGTAATCGCAATCCTTTCCACATCTTCAACATCGTCCAGACTTTGCGAGCCATCCAGAACACCTCGCAATCATGGCGGTTGGAAAGTGAGTCTCTCGAATAACGCCCTTTGTCGCACCCGACTCCCTCGTTGCTAGTCGAATTCGTCGCCAGACAACACGTCGCCCTGCCACTATACCCCGCCGCTCACATCGAAGATCATGCGAGCTAATCGGTGAATTTGTATAGGAACAAGAGATTGTCTAAGGGCAAGAAGGGCCTCAAGAAGAAGGCGCAAGACCCCTTCGCCCGCAAGGACTGGTACTCGATCAAGGTACGTTTCTGCCGGAATAAAAGTTCATAGCTTGATACGGGCCCCTTTTTGAATATGGCTAACCAATCTGTCCAGGCTCCTGCTCCTTTCAACGTCAGAGAGTACGAACGAATTCTTCTGTTGCACAAGTGAACGATTGCCTAACATAGAGTTGCAGTGTCGGTAAGACTTTGGTCAACCGTACCAGCGGTTTGAAGAACGCCAACGATGCCCTCAAGGGCCGAATTATCGAGGTCTCTTTGGCCGATCTCCAGAAGGATGAGGACCACTCTTTCCGCAAAGTCAAGCTACGGGTGGACGAGATCCAAGGCAAGAACTGCTTGACCAACTTCTACGGCCTGGACTTCACCTCCGACAAGCTGCGGTCTCTTGTCCGCAAGTGGCAATCTTTGATCGAGGCCAACGTCACCGTCAAGACGACCGACGACTACCTCCTCCGCCTCTTCGCCATTGCTTTCACCAAGCGTCGCCCCAACCAGGTCCGCAAGACCACCTATGCCGCCTCTTCCCAGATTCGCGCCATCCGAAAGAAGATGGTCGAGATCATCCAGCGCGAGGCCGCTACCTGCACCCTGCAACAACTCACCTCCAAGCTGATCCCCGAAGTTATCGGCCGCGAGATTGAGAAGTCCACACAGGGCATCTACCCTCTCCAGAACGTATGTCACATGGGACTACCTTGCAGCTGCGAGTGCTGTGGGTCGATCACTAGATATACTAACAATGATGCTACAGGTCCACATCCGCAAGGTCAAGCTACTAAAGGCCCCCAAGTTCGACCTTGGTGCCCTGATGGCGCTACACGGCGAGTCAACAACAAACGAGGACGGACAGAAGGTAGAGCGGGAGTTCAAGGAGCGGGTGCTCGAAGAGGTCTAATTTTGCAAACGAGCTCTGGTCATGGAAACGGCGTGGGTTTTTCTGCAACGGCATTAGGTCTCACTTCTGATTGCATTCGGCGTGGCAAGGACGTCACGGATACAGCTACCCACTCAAAAATGATGAATGAGAAAGTTAGCTGAAAATGCATGAATCTATTTGTTTGATAACGAGAGTGATGATAGAGTGTCGTTTCCACTGGGAATACATAAAACCCGTGAACTGGCATTGACAGACAACTGTCTAAATGAGAAAGCCCTTCAAAGCAAGCATCGTGACTGCCTAAGTCATCCTATGAACCTATGAACCTATGACCCTAAGTTTGATGATTTATTGTAAATTGTAGCCTAATAGCAGTGAGCCCTAATTAGCATTATTTCTAATTAACGAATGTTGTGACGCGTAACAAATATTATCGTTATTGCCAGGACATGACTAATGGGTGGCGCTTTAATGAATTTGTCTTGTGAGTCTGGTTCGGGTTCATAACGCAACGTCAGAAAACTATGTCCAACTTTGGATAGATAGGATGTCATCCACTTCTATAATCCCAGAAATATTCGTATGAATATTTCTGGCTGTGTTCATGCGGGCATGCAGGCAGGACATGTTTGTGCTTGAACCGTAAATGCCCAGGCCCAGCTGCCTGCGTTTAAGTTAATGTCGTGTTAATCATGTGCAGTCTTGCATCCCCGTCGCTGAAGGGCGCCCCGTATTTTTACCACAGGCATCTCTTGCACAGTATTACAGCACTCGCTTTCCAACGGGAGTAGATGTAAGCATCAACTCGATCTGCCAAGTTCCTTTTCCTTTTCTATATTATGTGAACCTAGAAATCCATCTGGTTAGATTTTAGTCCCTTCAACGGAAATTGATATCTTCGTTACCGTAGCCAAGCAACAATATAAACACCGACAATCCGTATCCACGCGGCATCATCATATCTCCGCATCAGCGCTCACATCGTTTCATCTCAGACAAGGTCCGGGTGTCTGCATCAGTGCAGCCAGCAATCAGCGCTGTGTACTTACAACCATACGCCCGTGCTACAGATGATAGAGAGGCAAAACTTGACTTAGGATATTGGTTTTTGCTGTGAACGGGTACTGTTAGGCTGCCCACTCGAAGGTGGCAAAATAGACTGTTCCTAAAAACGCACTGTTTGTTACACCTACAATATAGGCACCTACAGTAGGCAAACGACTTGAGCATTGGAATCAACGCTTTACTTAGCCCGACCTCATCGCTTCACCGCCGAAAAGAAGATAGACGAGATATAGCACGTGCTTTACTCGCTACCATCGGTTATCGTCATCATGGCTTCGACATCTGAGGACGCCCTCCCTGTCCTCAAGATTTTGCTTATCGGACCTTCGGGCGCAGGGAAATCTGCATGTAAGTCTAACTGCCTTCGTCTTGCGCGGCACGTCCTGTCAACAACGACACGCGCCCGGACCATCTTTGCATCTTGCGAATATTGCGGTTTATAGCTAACTTGTCATATGATTATATATAGTTTTATTACGGTGTAAGCATTTTATCTTCCATATGACGCCCTCCAAGGATGTTTTCTGCCCTACAACACGCTAACTTTATCGTGGCACCTCACAGACTGTGAAGACCAGTTTGATCCTGAGTCGACAACGGCAACCAGTAAGCAAGTCTCAACTTTTTCGTCATCACGCCGGCTATTTTATGAGGATGACTGCTCTTTTTCAGTAGACTCATGCCTTTGGCTACACCACCGAAATAATTACACATCATGCTTGAATTAACAAGTGCTAACCGTGAATTTTGCAGTTGGGATTGACTTCAAAGTACGTATTTCTCCCCCGAAATATATCCTGTGGAAAGGCATTGGCTTGAAAGATTTATCAAACAGCGGGTGCTTTTCATTTGCTCGCTCTTCACTGCATTGCTCTTCTGACTCTCATTGTAGACGAAAAAGCTAGCTGTCAGGGGCAAGGCATATAAACTTAACATATTCGACACTGTAAGCTTCCCCCCCCTTTTCCTCTTCACCTCTGGGTACTCGCTACATAATTCTGTGGCTTTGTACAAGTTGAACTACACGAAAACGCGGTGCATTTCTAACAGCGTATTACTTCGGGCCGTACGATAGGCCGGCCAGGAACGATTTCGCACACTATCCACAAGCTACTACCGCGGAGCCCATGGCGTCATTCTCGTCTATGATATTTCTAACAAGAAGAGCTTCGCGAGTATGGAGAAGTGGTTCGATGAGGCCAGGATGAATGCGAATCCTGATGCTGTGCTCTGCCTGGTGCGTTTATGCCGCGTCCCTACCCCTTTCCCTCGAGCAGCCCCAATCTTTTAAGATAATTATTTTATATCCTTCGCACCCAACTTCCTTACTGATTCGGATGCATGTAGGTTGGAAGTAAGCTAGATAAGGTGGCCGCAGGCGGCCGCGTAGTGTCATATGAACAAGGCAAAGCATTAGCCGAGGCACAGGGCGCCGAGTTTTGCGAGATCAGCTCCAAGACACGCGAGAATGTCAAGCGGCCCTTCGTCGAGGTCGTCGACAAGATCGTACAGAAGCCACAGTTAATAGCGGGAGCCATGCCCAGCTCAAAAGCTATCGATTTCAACATGGGCAGTTTAGCATCAAACCCTTGCTCTTGTTGAGTATAATAGCTCATCCTCGTCTCGCGTCACTTCCTACCCTCTCACCCAGACTTTGCCTCTTATTCACACGACTATAGCGGAACTGGGATTTGGAGGGTTTATATACAGCTTGGTCTATCTGTCTATGAGGAAATGGATGATTCATGATGATTGGGAGAGCACCGTGCTCTTCCTTATGCGGAAACCGATTTCATGCCTGTACATAACCAGTACGTCTAAGTAATATCCCCTAATGCAACATGTATACACGTCTATGGGATTTCTATACCTCTAGCCTCTATGTCTATGCCTAAACTTATTCTATTTTTCTTTCTCCTTCATATTTGTTCATTCTTTTGGAGTAAGAAATTCGATGACGGCTACAGATAGAAAATCATTAGTCTTGCGTCTACTCACACATGGCGGAAGCAACATCGGTAGCGGGGAAGGCTGGCCAGAACAAAACCTACATTTCAAAAACTCGGCCGGTTTCTCCGAGATGACCCAGTGGCCAGCATCGATATCGACAAGCTCGAAGCGCGGGAAGAAACGCCCAATGATGGGTATGGCCTCGTCAGGGACGTACTTGCTCTGCGTGCCGCGCACGAACAGAGCGGGCTTCTCGAAACGCACCTCGTCCGGGTTGCGGAAGGGGAAATCGCCCAGGTTATCGAGGTTCTTGGCTAGCGTGTCCAGCGGGATCCTGAACTTGATGGCGTTCTTCTTCTGGTCTTCGGGATGGGGCACCCGATGCGTGTTCCCGAGGAGGAATTGCCGGATGTTGATGTCGGATTCGTAGGATGTCAGAATCGAATCGGCCTCACTTTGCCGCGCCACGGCGGCTTCTTCGATTTGTCGCATCCCGCGGATGTATGTTGCGAAGTTCCGGCTCAGTGTTGCGTCTATGGGCGCATTGTCGACGGATACGATGTCCGAGATTAGCGAGGGTTGGTCTAGGGCCAGCGTCATGGCCGTTTTCGCTCCCCTACGGATCGACGAGAACTATTAGTATGGGATCGAATAGTGAAAGTTATCATAGTGTCGGCTGATCTGGCATCTCTCCCTCTAGGTCGAGATTAAAGGGGACGAGACTAGCACATGTGGCAGTGATATAAACTCACATCGAGTGCCCAATCAGTGTCGGCTCTTTTAGTCCGTGCTCGCCGATGAAGCCCGCAACATCATCAGCCATGGCGACGTAGTCGTGACGGGTCGCATGCGGCGACTCGCCATGGTTTCGCAGGTCCTAAACGTCGAGTAGATCCGTTAAACCAAGTCTCCCTTTACTCTTCAATTCTCTTGTTCGGCGATAGCTTCGTGCGAGATGCGACGGAGATTTTCCTGGCGCGAGGAAGGGGGTGTGAGGCTTACAACGGCATAGACGTGTCTATTGAGGTCGCGCGCCAATACTCTATAGTAGCGTAGACGCCAATTAGCCAATGTCGAGCGTTTGGTCTGTTTGCGCTCCTTTGTTCGCAAGATTTGCTGGGCGGGGTGACAGCAGCGGGATTCCTGTACTCACTTGCTCACGCTGCGATTGTTTTTCTTGGACCCAAACAGCCCGTGCATAAATATTATGGGCGCATCTTGTCGATGCCTGTCGGATTTGGGCGGCGCATGGTGGTCGTAGACCAGCTGGACTCTACTGCCGGCTGTGGAATATGTGCGGGATAGCGATCGGATGGATGCGGCGAGCGTAGAGGACCTCGGACTCGCGCCGAGAATGCGCCAGGCCGCCACCATGCTCTCTTTTCTCAGCTGGCGTTCGCGTGGGGTGAGGATATTGTAGCTGAGAGCGAGCTAACAGCAATCCTTCAGTTATGGCGAGGAAGTACAAAGGAATCGCGAAGCATTTTAATTTGCTAAATCTCGAACTTCGATATCGGAAGCTATCTAAGGTTAGGTAGATAGGCAATTTACGTCAGTGGCTCTAACCCGTGAAGATGACCCACCTGAAATGGTACGCGCCGTACTGTGTGTGGACGGACGAACCTCAACGTCCAAAGGCTGACTTTGTCGCTTGTTGGCTTTGTAATATAGCAAAATCTGTCGGCGCCGCGTCATGTACTGACAATTTTCCTGTGACATTGACGCTTAAGACATACATATATTATACTGCACCATCTAGGCAGACTGATGTGAGTTATCTAGTTGTCATTATCTACGACTGACCACATATACCGTCCTGAAGATGAGATGAAGATGAAGGTTCATTTAGAAATGACTCTATATATGTTTTATTACTGTTACTTGTATTCTCATGAAGTTTCGTATCATTTCGTTTTTCTCTTTATCTTTCATTCTATGTGTGCCCTTGCTGCCTTCTACGGGAACAGAAAATCTAACGTTTCATGCATTTTACTCCTGAGTGGTCTCCAGACGCCTTTTTGATGCAGTTATACCGCCAATACTCAGTCTGGCGAAAAAGGCATGATTTCATTATCCCTCTCACATTTCGCTTGGGCGAGAAATGAGATAGGACTTTGACTATAGAAATCATGTCCTCATCTCCATACCCAGAGTTAGTTGCCTCTGCATACATCGAGCGGCAGAGCTCTATCAAGGGCGACCGCGCACCCGTCGCCTCAACAGCTGCACAGATAAGCTTGCTGCTCTTATAACAGTCCTTGGTAGCCGCTTGAGGTGACTAGTCCTGCGTCGTGATCTTGGCGATCTTGTTCCGGGAATAAGTGGAAGCTGCTGGTCCTGCATTGATAGCTTCTCCCAATACACTGAGATCGATATTCTATGCTTTTGCCACTAACATTCCGTAGATTAGCCATGTCCGTTGGGAATGTATCGGGAGTGCTTTTTAAGTGTTCAAGGTGTCTAGAATATCATCTCGCAGGGAAGCGAAGGGATGTAGACAAACAAAACCCTAGTAAGTACTTACGGTTCATGACTAAAGCGGTTACATATAGGTTCATGGCGTATTTCGTTCACAGTCCATGACCGAGCGGACCGCAATAGATAGCAGCAGAGGTGATCGGCTTCCAATCTTTTCTGCAACGATATATGCATGGCCTCTCCGGATATTATGTACTTGGCAAAGGCGCTTGCCAGTTTGCAGGTCTTCTTAGACCCTTGAAAGATGCTGAGGACGCTCTGAGGGTTAAAGATGTCTCGATCTGTCAAACTTTGAGCACTAAGATAGATTCGCCGCACTCTAACTGCATATCTCCTTTGGTCCCTAATATCAGCCAAAGGGATTGCCCGAGGAGAGCTAATATGAGAGCATTCTCAATGAACTTTGACCCCCGATCATTTCCAACCCGGGTGCCAAGACTGATACTTTTAAGTGAATGGTCAGTCCTGATAAATTGGTGACTGGGTACAATATGATGTATGAATCTTAGAAGCGGAATAAAAGACAGTGCAACAGCCCGACATCGCTCCGCCAATGCAATCGTTAAGACCGACAGACTGATACAGATCAAAGCGATTCGGTTATTCACTTTGGACCTTTAACGCCGAGTGTTGACGACATTGCCGTGCCGCGCAAACGCAAGCTCGGTGCCATCGACTTCGCAACCTACCTTCGCCACGCACTGCGGCATGGGGGAGACGGGATTGGTGATGAGAACCACTACAAGCAGCAGGACATTGTCACGACCCGGATCAAGGTCAGCATGCTTGGGGCGGATGTAAACACATATTCAACTGCGGTTAGATTTGCGTCTCATGTTCAAGAAGTTACATTCATTTACCTTCTCTTCGCCTGTGGTCATGCAGCTGTGGCCAAAGTAAAGGCCCCGGTTGGCATCGCAAACAATGAAAAGCAACACGGCGCTCAAGAGACTACTCTTTGGCTTCGTTTATTTACCCGATGTTGCCTTCACTTCACTCTCCACAGTGCTCATCAAAAAGACCAAATCTTCCTACCCGATAAACCAACCTAGCATATCAAAAAGATGTTCCCCTGGCTCATCATGTTATCTCTAACATAATCCGGCTTTCTCAACTCACTCACACCGTTGACCATCACCTGGAGAAGCACATCCGGTTCTAGCTCAAGATGCGGCCGACCATATATGGTGGAGGGCTGAACATACACGAAAGACGGCCCAGTCTGCTCCGGGTTACCACTTGGCTTTGGGGGTGTTGATAGCCGAGTCCACTCTGCACTTAGACACAGCTTGCAAAACTTGCCTGGCAAAACTATCACCAGATTTCCGAGTTGTCGACAGACAGCAGCAGTGGCGAGTCGACCAAGCCAATTGTTCAGAGACCGAACAATGGCGACGCTCCCTGGAGGATCAAATATCTCGTTCCAGTCGTCTATAGTTGTTAGGAACACACGCTCTGAGTCCTCCTCGTGACCCTTCGTGTGGTCGCATTTACTGATAGAGCTGAAAAGAGGTTGTTTCCAGTGATTCGTCTCAACTACTTTCCAGGAAACATCTTCCTCTAGGGCTCGAAGGATGTCTAGATCTGCAACCCATTCTCCGCGGTCATGAACAGAAACCAGAGATTCCAGAAAGTATACTTCAAAATCTCTATTACCATGATTCCCAACATGAACAGGAAAGATATAATCGGTGAATCCGAGGTGGAGAGTTGTAGAGCTGAAGGAGTCGTGGAGTTGACCATCAAAAGTATTGTGGTTCACAAGGTGCCAGTTCGATAAATCCATTTTGCGGGTGAGGGGGGATTTTGGTGGGATCATCAACGCTATCCCTGATCTTCCGATACTACCCCTAACCTGAACAATTTCATGTGCAAAGCACTTGTCCGAAGGGTCGCTGATTAAAATTTTGGCAATGTAAATCGAGTCGCTAATAGCCATTGCCATTACCTCTTGAAGTGCGTTTGGTGGCACCGACAAGCTACCTGTCTCGAATAAGAGAAGACACGAGAAGGTCGAGGACCTATCCAATTTGAATGGCGTGGTGGGTGAATTCTGTGTGAATGGCGAGTACTCCCCAGTAGAAGCACCTGTAGAAGGTATCCAGGCCATCTCAGGGAGACAATTCTCGATGACACTCAGAGATATAGTCGAACTGGGAAGCTGATTATAGATAGAGGACACTGTGGCCAAGACTCGTAGCGATCGGTCGAGTAGGTTCGGAGCAGGCATGTTCACTAGCTTACATAGGTGTGAAAGAGTTTCCTTTCTAGAAACGGGGCTGTTTTTGCTTCGCATGGCCTCCAAGAAGGTTGATAGAGACAACCCAATGGTCGGTTTGAACATGCTGAGGTCTTCATCTGGGTAGCGCTTACTGACCATAAGAGCGACAGTGTCCAAGCTGCCCAGAACAACCTCAAATGTTATATTACATAATCCTGTTATTCTAGCGAGGCTTCTGGTCTGACTGTTGTCATAGATATCAAGGCCGGCTTCGAAGTCAATAAATTCGGAATAAGAATAGGTATCCTCTGGTGCCAAACCATTGACAGAACCAATAATATTGCCACCTATATGTTGTGATATACCGTATCTGGCAAATTCTTCCCGGCTACCAGTCCATTTCATTTGCCCCGGAGTAGTTTTACTGAAACCATCCGTGAAAGAAAAGGAGTCTTCACCCTGGCTTGTGAAGTGTTCAAGGCGATCCGACACATATCGACCCTCGCTAGAGTCCTCTTCAAGCTCAATTCCTATCCAACGACAATGGCGGGCAGGGTTTAGAACCATGCTATTACAGAATCAGAATCGGTAATCCATGTATGCAGCAAAGTCTCCTTAAATTAGAAAATTAATTGAAATCTGTGGCTACATACCGTTGCTGGCCATCGTGTGATCTCTTTATGCCTTCCCTCTGCAAAGGGAGTACAGTCGCATACTCGTAAGTACTACGGAGCTTGGCTGCTTCGTAATCTTGGCGATACCTGATAATGCAGAGTCTAGTATGAACATCTTTGAAGATGGGATGCTTTGCAAGCTCTCTAAAATAGGGTACGGAATCTTCGGGCCGCGCAACAAGGCTGGAGAAAACGTTCATGTCGTCCAATCCAAAGAGCCTAGGTATGGTGGTAGGCTTCCGATTGTCTGATCCGAGGAAGTGTGAGCACCGACGAGCACCTAGTTTCAGTAGCCTGAATCCAACCTGCGCCTCCAGAGATTCTTGATCAAGTAAAGGTTTCACTGCTTCTGCGAGATAGCCTAGCCAAAAGGTTGTCCCGTCCGCGGGCCTTTGTGCTACAGGCTCGACAAACCGCCACAGGTCCACGAGGAACCGTACGATATCCGATTCGGGAAGTGCCCATTGTCGTGTCATGCAGCCGATAGACAATTGTATTAACTGGGTAACGGTGATCCGATTCCCTTGTGTGACGAGTGACTTTTCGGTCATTACGGGGGCCCCATAATATCGTAGGTGGCCTAATGGCAGCGACCAAGATATCCCTGTTTCACTGCGGCCATCGGTATTCAGCCCGATGGTCAGAATCCCAGCATCATTGACTAGAGGATCAGCTTGGCTGACAGGTGTCGGAGAGCTCTGTAGCACCAACATATCTGGATATATATGCCACGATGAAATACCAAGAAGAATTGCGCCGTACTCTACTGACTGAGGAACGCCACGAATAAGATTATCGGCAGCCATCATAGCCGTTGTCCAGGCCTGTAGCACATTCCGATATAATTTTGGTTTGGTGTTCACCGGAAGATTAATGTTGTTCAGTATCAACATTAACTGGGTTTGTTTGATTTTCATTGCCTCATCGGCGGATTGGAGCCATGCTCTTGCGGATGAGTCCCATTGCGCGAGCTGATCCCTTGTGATATCAATTCTTGAATCGTTTCGCGCCATCTGATATTGCGGGTCGGCTTCATCAGTTTGCTCAAGCTCTTTCTTTCTTTCTGCTACTAGCTCTGCCCAAATAGCAATGGCTTCTGACCGCGACCACATTCGGGCTAGCATGCAAGCCAACAAGTGCACGGCGATCGATTCAGCGCCGGACGTTGCCGCAGCCCAAATGCTCGTACCGTCAATTCCAACATGATCTGCAAGAATGCCATGATTTTTGGAAGGTTTTGGATTTACTTTCGGATCGGACGCAACATCAGATGCGCGGGTTCCGTAAGCCTTAATGAGATTAGGTGTTGAGGGCAAGCATTGGCGAAACAAGGCGCCAAGCTTCCGGGCCGTGATATGGACGGGGCCGTCTTCGGCCGCTTTGATTCTTGCCTGGGATAACTCCCGGCCAAGCACTTGGAATTCACGCGGCGCCTCGTACTTCTTGAGAGCGAAATCGAAGTTGAAGTTCACAAGTCCAATACTAGTTTCTTGGGATAGTGACGCGACAGCGGTAGCGAGCTTCTGTATAGACATTTCGGCCTCGGTCAAGGAAATTGATAGCGAAGATGAGGCAAAGGGCAGACTCACTCATATGGTGCATGGTTGCTAGATTAGTCTCTGTGTATAGATGAGGCTGAACTCCTGTACTGGCTGTTACATATACCTACGGATAGGCAACGAGGCAACCCTTGGCAGAAAACTGACGCCTGTTCTTGGGGAGCAGCTTTCCTTGGGGGCGCGTCTGCGGCTATTGGTACTCGACGGTGTGAAGACCACCCGCATATGTAACAAGCATCAAGCTTCTCAGATCAACCAACCGGGACGCCACATAGTTGGTTATCCCATGACAGCATATAAAATATGATGCTCGAAGCGTCTGGTGCGGGGAGCGAATTCATACATTCTTACTGTACCAGCTTGCGGGCTTGCATAGGTAGCATAGGTATGTCAGGTTGCATGGAGTCTCGAGTATGTACATTTTCGTGAAGCCCAGCCCGGGATCGAAGTTGATTAATTTTGTAAAGGTGAGGCTTTACAGCTTGCTGATGCTGTTGACGAAAGGTAGACTTGTGGCATGGGAGAGTAGGTTATATTTGACAGAATCGAGGAAGGCGAAGGGCGTGCAGTTTCCCAATCTGGCATGTCATAGAGGTCCTGTCCAATGAGAGACGTCTGAGCTACTGCTGTACATGTACATACAAGTATTACCTACCTAGGTATGTAGGTAGTCTACTGTTCTCACTCACCCTCCTCTCAATAGCTACATATGTACCTAGGTAGTATTTAGGTACCCAAGATACCAACCAATATGTAGGAGCACCATAAATCTAGGTATTGACCAACCTCAAGTGCGCTTGTTCAGTTGTTTTCAGTTCGTACATAGTGTTCTGTGCGCCCTCCTTTTGCGCTGTACCTACTTCACAGTAAATCGTGATACAGCTAGCAATGGGGTCATAAAGTGGGCCACTCCCCCCCTGAATGAAAGCGATAAGAATCAAGCTCACTACCTAGGTATGTACCTAGTTGTTCTAGCTCAGATGTGGTTTGCTTCAGGGGGAGGGTCTCGGGTCTGATCCTTATTTGAGTTCGGGAGTGATGCTTCAACATCCATCAAGCGTCAAGCACCTGACACACTGCAATGAGGGGTCAGAAAGAGGGGTTGTTGAATTTCAGCCCCAGGCAGTGCGTTCAACAACTTTGGAAAAAAAAAAAAGTATTCGCCGCTAATGTAAGTGTTAGTCCGATGAGAATGGGGCGAGTAGCGCTACCTACCTACAATGTACACATGTACGTACTACGGTGACCTGGTAGGTAGTCTTGAATTGCCTTCCCTCTTTTGTAGACTACCTTACCGCCCCGGGGGGGGGGGGGGGGGGGGGGTGGGGGTTGGGGGGGGGGGGGGGGGGAAGGAGATTAAGAAATCAAACAAAAAAAAAAAGAAGAGAACGAATTAA